ATATCATCCTCTATTCACCTGCCTTTCCCACTCTGCTTTGGCTGCCAGAAAATTGAATTACCTGGACAGGTCCATTATATTTTGCAATGCCTACTGGCTGCACTGGAGAATCCCATTAGAGGTGTGTGTGAAGTTCTATGGCAGGATCAAAGAAAATACTGGTCACTGCTCTGTAGCAAACGTGCTTGCAGCCTCCCTTGCATTGTAAACAGGCTTGGTGCTGACCTTTAAAGCCCTAAACAGCCTTGGTCCTGTATACCTGAAGGAGCGTCTCCACCCCCATCATCCAGCCCAGACACTGAGGTCCAGTGCCGAGAGCCTTCTGGAGGTTCCCTCGCTCCGAGAAGTGAGGTTACAGGGAACCAGGCAGAGGGCATTCTCGGTAGTGGCGCCTGCCCTGTGGAACGCCCTCCCAGCAGATGTCAAGGCAATAAACAACTATTTTACTTTTAAAAGACAACTGAAGGCGACCCTTTTTAGGGAAGTTTTAAATGTCTGACGCTGTATTGTTTTTAATATTCACTTGGAAGCCGCCCAGAGTGGCTGGGGAAACCCAGCCAGATGGGCAGGGTATAAATAATAAATTATTATTAGTAGTATTATTGCCTCCTGCCCGACAACTCCCCCTTCCTGCACCTGCTCCTGTGACTCTTGAGAACAGCTTGATCTGCAGATATTAGCAACAACAACAACAACAACATTATTATTTATACCCCACCCATCTGGCTGGGTTGCCCCAGCTACTCTGGCCGTCTTACAGCATGTATAAAAACATAATAAAACATCAAACATTAAAAACTTCCCAATATAGTACTGCCTTCAGATGTCTTCTAAAACTTGTGTAGTTCATTTATCTCCTTGACATCTGCTGGGAGGGCGTTCCACAGGGCAGGCGCCACTGCCAAAAAGGCCCTCTGCCTGGTTCCCTGTAACCTCACTTCTTGCAATGAGGGAACTGCCAGAAGACCCTCAGAGCTGGACCTCAGTGTCTGGGCTGAATGATGGGGGTGGAGATGCTCCTTCTGGTATATAGGGCCAAGGCGATTTAGGGCTTTAAAGGTCAACACCAATGCTTTGAATTGTGCTTGGAAAAATACTGGGTCCTAGTGCTTCCTTCCATGTTTTGGAAGCTTTTCCTCTGCTCTCCATGAAACTGATCTATAGGGTAACATCTCATTTCAGCCACTGTGATAAGAAACGTTCACACTGTCTATGCTTTCTGTTTAACACATATAAGCCATCCCTACCAGGAAGCCTGCTGAACAAAAATTTGCATGACAAACAGTGAAACAGACATGCAGTTAGTGCTTGCAAATGGCAAAACCAGTACATTGGAACTGGACCCTGACTTGAGTATCTCAGACTAAAGTCTTCATTTAAAGCCTCCTCCAAGCAGGAAGGGGGAAATCCTTGCACAGTTTGCAGAATTTGCACAGAAATAGTCCTTTGGGACAACGGTCGCTACAGCGCAGCTGACAATGTCTGCAAATTTCAGCCACTTATAACCAGTCCAGTTTTCCTTCTGGATCATGTGGCCAGCATGACTAAGCCGCTTCTGGTGAACCAGAGCAGCGCATAGAAACACCGTTTACCTTCCCGCAGGAGCAGTACCTATTTATCTAATTGCACTGTGACGTGCTTTCGACCTGCTAGGTTGGCAGGAGCAGGGACCAAGCAACGGGAGCTCACCCCGTCGCTGGGATTCGAACCGCCGACCTTCTGATCGGCAAGCCCTAGGCTCAGTGGTTTAACCCACAGCGCCACCCACGTCCCTAATGCTGAAGTAAGCCCCACTGAATTCAGTGGAATTAGGTTAGCATTTGAGTCTGATCCAGGGAAGCTGCATGAATTGCCATTCTTCAGACCCATGGTTTTGTTTGGGAACATTTTATGCTCCTAAGCTCCATTGAAAGCTGGCTGGGGGTAATAAAATGTCTCTAGAAACTTGTGTGTGCGTGTGGTAGTTTGATTTCATTTTGTTTTTGATGTTAATGGAGCTGAAGCATTGCTTCCCGTTGCTTCGCCTATGTCTTTGTCTTCTCTATGCAGGCTACATAATTCAACTTTCCTTTTTTCGTGAAGCTGGTTACTTTAAAACTACTTTAGAGCGAAAGATCTTTCATGCAACTATTAAGCCATATACTACTGGGGAAAGAAGGGCTTCTTTTCTTTCATCTATCTTTTCTAATAATCCACGCTACAGTCCTTTCGGCACTGATCAGCAATGAAATTCTCATTGATTAAATGAGCTCTGCACAGATGCCTAAACTATGTTGGGTAGGAGCACAACTTGTCTGCAGCTGTTTTAGCTCTTCTGGCTTTTCCATCTTTTCCTTTCCACTGATGATGAAGGACTTTCTCTAATTGGGAGGAAACAGCATGAAGAGCAGACTCTTCCTGTCCTCTCTACTCGCTCATATCACTGTCTTAATAAATCTCTTCCCCAACTGAAATAACTGCTGCCTATAATGCCCAATTCAGTCAAAGAGATGCAGCGTGTGGCGCAACTCTTGAAGGGCTATACCGCTTCAGAGTGCATGTTTGAAGACATCCAGCCTATTTTGGTATAGTCCTTCCAGGGCACAGTGAGAAGACTCGCAAATGAGGCATGCAGTGATGTGATGGCGCAATGAATGACACAAAGCCAAATGCATGCATTGCTTGGTTTTCTTCTTCTTTGGCGATCACTCGTAGCCGAGTAAGATTGTAAGATTCCATGAAGACGGTCTTAACAGTGAGTCCTTAATTGACTGTGGAGGCCAGTTCTGGATCCACACCTCCTTCCACAGTGGAGACATTAGTTTCTGGGCGGGAGCTGATCACAATGAGGGTTTGCCAAGCATGCCTTCCTCTTAGCATGTTTCTTCCTTTTGTCCTCAGTTCGAGTGTCTTCAAAGTCCATGACACCTTTGGTAAAGGCTGTTCTCCAATTGAAGAGCTCGCAGCCAGTGTTTCCCAGTTGCCGGTGTTTATACTACATTTTTTAAAATTTGCCTTGAGAGAGTCTTTAAACCTCTTTAAACCAACATTACGCTGGTGTGTGTATTCAGCGTTTGTGTACTTTATTGTTTTGTCTATCTGTCTGTCTGTTTCTTTTGTTTGTTTGTAAGTATGCTTAAATAAAACTTTAAAAAATATCTAAATACAAATAAAATTAACCAGCATTACGCTTTCCATTTTTAAGTTCAGAATAGTCACTTTGGAAGACGATAATCAGGCATCCGAACAACATGACCAGTCCATCGAAGTTGATGTTGAAGAATCATCGCTTTGACACTGGTGATCTTTGCTTCTTCCAGTACACTAGCATTAGTTCGCCTGTCTTCCCAAGTGATGTGTAAAAAAATTTGGTACACCATTCATGGCAGCAGATTGGATTGTTGCCCTGGTACACCTCCAAAGTGAAAACAACGCTCCATGGTACAGGACCCACAAGTAAATTGCACATTGGTGAGCATCTGATGTACAGTACTGCCAAGTCACGGTGCTGGGGGTTTCGCACCTAATTCTGCTTTGAATTATTTCACGGGGTATTTATGTGGTTTATGTGGGCTCACGTTGATCCCAGGTTTCCACTAGGTGGCAGCACAGCAAAATGTTTCTAGCACAGAGTGCTAACATTGTATTTGCTCACTGAAACCTCACACACGGTGCTGCTGTCACGCGGAGTCAAATCATTCGTCCATCCAACTCAGTATTGTCTACACTGACTGGTAGTGAACTCCAGGGTTTCAGACAGGAACCCTTTGCAGGGACTGAATCTGGGGTCTTGTGAATACAAAGCAGATGCTCTACTGCTGAGCTGAAACACATATTCTGTGCAGCAAGATATATTTTCAAAGGAACAACAGTGGGGAAAATTACTGGACCACGTGAAACATTTCTCATTTTCATATGGATTTGCCAAAGCTACTCAAATACAGACTTTCTGTCTTTGGCACCTGCTGCACTGCAGTCCACTGCAAGGCATAGGTAAAGGTAAAGGGACCCCTGACCATTAGGTCCAGTTGTGTCCGACTCTGGGGTTGCGGCGCTCGCTTTATTGGCTGAGGGAGCCGGCGTACAGCTTCCAGGTCATGTGGCCAGCATGACTAAGCCACTTCTGGCGAACCAGAGCAACGCACAGAAACGCTGTTTACCTTCCCGCCGGAGCGGTACCTAGTTATCTACTTGCACTTTGAGGTGCTTTCAAACTGCTAGGTTGGCAGGAGCAGGGACCGAGCAACGGGAGCTCACCCCGTCGTGGGGATTCAAACCGCAGACCTTCTGATCAGCAAGTCCTAGGCTCTGTGGTTTAACCCACAGCGCCACCCGCGTCCCTTCACTGCAAGGAATATATTAGTGTCCAAATTCAATTGCTTTTTCTTGGATAATGTTAAGTTTCTACAAAGTCAGAATTCCAGATGCCTTCCGACCCATTTATGGAAAATGGCACTGGGAGCATTTCAGAAAGTGTGTTGTTAATGAGTAATAAAAAGCAACAGAGGAAAATACGAGAAAGGAGGTTCTGACTAAACACCAGGCGGCAAGAATGGTCTCCCTTGGAAGGTGGAGACAGAGTCTTTTTAGGGCAGAATTGGACATTGTCGGCGGTTTGTGGCAACAGTCACCAAAATCAGCTGCCTTTTCCCTCTGCTCTCCAGAGTGATTTTAAAAGAGGTTATGTTTGGCAATTTTCTGCTCAAATTTCCCTTGAATGCACTCATATGATTCAATGGACCTTGATACAAAAACTAAAGTAAACTAAAAATCCCTGCACATAGAAAACTAGCATGTGAGGGGGTCTGGCCCTCACTTCCTATCTGACAAGTTAGTTTTCTAGTACAAATGTTTGTTTTGGTACTAATGATGTGCTCCTCCACAAATATATGCCTATACCACTAAAGTAATTTGTTTTGCTTAAAGGGGTGCGCTCCCAATCTCTGCCAAGAGGTAGCAAGGGGTCTTGACACTTCACCAGGGTTTGTGTTCCTTCGGAATGAAACATGTTGGAGACTGTAGCATCTTTAAGAAATACGATTTATTTACACCTGAGTTTACATGGAGGGAGTGCAGAACATTACATGCCAAGAGTGTCTCTTGTTGATCTCCTCATAGCTTCAGGAAGATTGGGTCCAGAACAGAAGCCAGTCAAGCTGGAAACTTCCCCCTTCCACCTCTGCTATTGTCTTTTGCTACTAATACCCAGTTGCAGGAGGGACGCGACCCCATTTCTTGTCTGACGCTAAACGTGCCACCGTTTGTCCGGGTAATGAACTCTGCCATCGCCTGTCTTTGCTGGCACCTCTGTCAGCCAATCTCTTGAACAAGAGAACTAGCTCAGCCTGTGTTTTTTTACACTGTATTTTTACATCTTCTCTTAATACTCCAAACGTTAGCGAAATTCTACCATTTACTAAATAAGGAATTACGGGGGAATCTGCCTCCTCCCACTTTAGTATCTGCATATAGTTATACAGTGGTACTTCAGGTTACATATGCTTCAGGTTACATACGCTTCAGGTTACAGACTCCGCTAACCCAGAAATAGTACCTCAGGTTAAGAACTTTGCTTCAGGATGAGAAAAGAAATCGTGCTCTGGCGGCACGGCGGCAGCAGGAGGCCCCATTAGCTAAAGTGGTGCTTCAGTTTAAGAACAGTTTCAGGTTAAGAAAGGACCTCCGGAACGAATTAAGTACGTAACCCAAGGTACCACTGTAAAGGTATGTATTGTGGCTCATTATCAGTGCAAACAAAGGTGTGCATGGACCATCGTGAATCTGTTGATGTGTTGTATTATTTCGGACTGCAAGCAAGGACCAAACATTTGAGTGCTCTACCAATATCAAACATTCAAACCTAGCAATCCAATGAGAAATGGTCTAATCCTGGCTAAGAAAAGAGACCATGCATTGACAATCACCTAATCAGCAGTCTGGATGGGAAAAGGGAAGGCCTTTTTGCTTTATGCCTTCTCTTTGCCTTAAACAGGGTTATATTTAAGCTGGGGAGATCAGTTATAACCTCCAGGTCAAACAGTTTCTTGAATCTGTCCACAAACTGGTTTTCCTTCTCCAGTCGGAACCTCATGGCCCAGATGATGACGGTGTTGTCCTTGCACAAGTGGTCAAAGGTAAGGAGCAGCTCGTTCAGGTAAGGGTGGTGGTACACAACGTCGGCCGCCAGGATGTAGTCAAACTGGCACGAAGCCCTGGGGAAATTCTTCTCCAGGTCGACCCCCCAAAACAGTTCCTTTGCCTGGGGTTCATGCTTGCATTTGGCCTTTGTGTTTTTGACAAGGTTGTATCGAAGGTTCCCCAGCAATTCAGGCAAATCGGTGGCAACCACACGTGCACCTGTGGCAGGAAGGGGCCACAGAATGAATGCTTAGCAAATCTAAGACAGTTTTGCAGGAATGCTCTCTGGCATCATTAAAGGCAGTAGGAACATGGGCAGCTGTTTAGACCAAAGTCAGACCATTGGTTCCTCGATAACTCAGTACCATCTACACTGACTGGTAAAAGTTCTCCCAAATTTCAGACAGGAAGTCTCTCCCAGCCTTGTGTGGAGATGCCAGGGATTGAATCCGAGACCTTCAGCACAGAAAGCAGACACTCTATCACTGAGTTACAACCCTTCGGTCTGTGGGTCATTACTACCGCCAAACCAACAATTCATATTTTGCCAGATGGGCACATGAAAGGGCTGAGGCTCACAGAGCTTCCCTGTAAAATTTGCTAGAGAGAACTCTGTGAGATCACTTCCTTTGTCTGCCTTGGCAGGAAGCTGTAATACTACAAGCTTCCTTCCTGCCAAGGCATATTTCTCTTTCTTCATCATGCCTCCAAGCTGACCATACGTGCAGCTCAGACACAATTTCTGAACTTACATTTTGTACTTTTGTAACTTAGATAGTAGTTATAAACCTGCCTTTGTTTTGCTAATTCAAAATCTAGAATATGTAAGTAAATGCTACTATTATTTCTTCACAAAACAATGTGTGTGCGATTGCTGTTTTCAAGGCGGGGAAAAGGGATAATACCAAGAAAAATCCAGCCTGCCTTAAAGAATCCTGGATTATTGTTTCTAGAAGGTTAAATCAACCTTGTCTTCCAAATTCTGGCCACAATGGATGGTACTCTGCTGATCTCACTCACATGGGCAAGGAAGGATAATAACTACCGTATTTTTCGCTCTATAACACGCACCCGACCATAACACGCACATAGTTTTGAGAGGAGGAAAACAAGAAAAGAAATATTCTAAACGAAACAGTGGATGTATGATTTTTGTGGTTCATGCTGCAGCCACAGACATGTGATCTGACGGTGAGTTTGGGGTAGCCCAATGCAAAAATCCTGAGGATCCAGGTGGATCCATGCTTTGTAACCATGTTTTTGCACCATTGTGGCCCCAGGCAACAGTGGGTGCGTGATTTTTTTGGTGCAGGCTGTAACCATGGATCCTCTGCTCACGACTGCAGCAGATCCCCCCGCCATCCGTAGGCATTCGCTCCATAACACGCACAGACATTTCCCCTTACTTTCTAGGAGGAAAAAGGTGAGTGTTATGGTGCAAAAAATACGGTAAACAACATTTCCTCTCCTAGTGTCTAAATCCATCCTTACACGGTCTATCTACCATGCCCTCTTCCTGCAAAACCACATTTCTATATGGGGGGCGGGGGGAGACCTGTGTTTAAAAGATAATGAGCCCCTGTCTCTGTTGCTACTTTTGTTTTTGAGCTGACATGCTACTCCTTGGTCACAGGTGCACTAAAATCCCACACACACCTTGGAATACCACTTTCTGATCTAGAGGACACTACCCATACTCACCAAGGAAACTGGCTACTATCGAGACCAGGCCTGTCCCAGCTCCGATTTCAATGACATTTTTGTCAACCAGGTTATAAGATTTCATGTTAGTTTCCAAAAAGTGGCAGATAACGAGAGCCTGTGGATTGGAGAAAACAAAAACAGGACAAGAGCAGATTGATAGGGGAAATAGCATTACAAACAAACAAACAAATAAAAGCATATGCCTTGATTATTATTATTAATAGCAGCATGACTTTTCTTGTATGGCTAACAGAGCTTGTTGATCTTGCAGTGAATTGCTCCTTTTGGGTAGCAACTCTGATTCCAAAATACGTCAGCTGTCTGTATTTAGAGCCTCATCTTTACAGAACTTTAGTTTCCCCAGGCTTTAAACAACCACCCCTTACGTTTCACACTGAGCCCTGTGTGGTGCTCTGCTTCATGTATCAGAGCCAACAGTCTTGTTTGCCTGCAATACCGAAGGCCAGACGACAGCTCCATAGCAGTCGGTGGATTCCGTGATCTTTATCTTGTGGCCAACAAAATGGAACCCTTCCCAGGCTTGGGTGGTTATCAGCGAAGGGGAGAAACACCTTCCCATGATCTCTGCGACTATCTGTTCATCTCCGTTTGGTCCTAGTAATAAAACAATGGAAAGGTCATGTGTCATAATAACAGCGAGAGGTAGCCCAGCTCAGCTAACGATAGTGCAGTGACCTAATCGCAAAAGCCACTAACCTCTATATGGCCAGGCAGCCCTGCTGAGCATGAAGCCATCTGAGTTATGTCCCTGCCCACAAAAAGTCCGTAACAATAATTGTTTAGTGTGATATATGTGGCCTCGGGGAGCTGCCATCCATCACGCTTGCTATTTATAAAGCCATAATAATAGAACGGAATCCCACCTTTACTCAGCACCAATGAGACATAGAAGTCGGTCAAAAAAGTTATAGAGTTAGGTACAATCTGTAAGTGAGTTTCACACTGAGTTCTTTCCTTTTTGCTGATATGGATTTAAAGGGAGGTTTAGACCACATTCTAGTCCATTGGGGGGTTAATCTCACAGCCTTTTTTGTCCTCCCATTCTTTTTTGATTATGTCAAGGGGGGTTGTGGGATTTTGGAGCAGTATTTTGTATATTGTGGATACCATCCCTTTGTTGTTAGGAGGAGGTTTTTCGAAGGTTGTCAAGGACCTAGTTGCTGCTGATTTTACTCCTGGGTTGTTTAGGAGGGCATGTAATTGGTGGTGTGTTAGCCAGGGCATCTGGGTATCCCCTAGTTTGTCTTGTATTTCCTGTGTGTACTTTCCCCCTCTTTTCTTCCTAACCTAACACTGTATGTAACACTAATGTCTCACAACAAATGAAATTGATCTGTAGAAAACACAACTTGAAAAAGAGACAACGCGTGTTTTTTTTTTTTTTTTGTAAACTAATAAATCTATCATAAAAATGTATTTAAAAGAAAAAGAAGAGTTATAGCATTCTTGCCATGGGCTGAAACCTCCTGAATAGAAGACTGAATGATGGAAGATTCTGTCAGGATGAAGAGGGTCGCAAGGCCAGCTGACTCGCCCCAGCTGGGTCATCTCCTTCCAGCCGTCCCACTGTGAAGACCCATCAGCCTCTGCTCCAACATAAATCAGCGACCCAGGCTTCAAAGCCAGGGCACACTATGTCAGCAGAGCAAACTGCGCACACAGAATAGGCGTGAGGCTTGTGGAAGCATACTACAACTACGTATTTATTAATCATAAATCAGGACAAAGAAACATGTAGTCTCTGTCTTTGTCTTCTCCAAGAGAAAGAGAAAAGCAAAAGCTATACACACAATGGAAGTTCCCAGCAAGCTGCGTTGGCATGTAAACAGACATATGACATGCAACAGTTCCATGTCTGCAACTAAAGGTGGAATGGAATTTTCCAACAGATTCAGGAAGGAATTTATTTGCATAGCTAAACTATGGAACTCGCTCTCAAAGGAGGCAGTGGTTGCCTCTAGCTCGGATGTCTTCAGAAGAGGCTTAGCCCAATTCATGCAGAACTAGACAATCAATGGCTACAAGGCATACTCCGTAAGTTCTACCTCCACTGCCGGAGGCTCATCATAGGTTCATATTTAAAATCGCCCGAAGGCTAAAGGAAGCCACTTCCTACAGGCTCACAGGTTCTCTTCCAGCCTAAGCCACAGTTCCTTGGTTCCTGCTTGGTCTTGCAATGAGGAGGCAGTTGACAACACAGAAAGGCCTTGATCTTGGCTTATGTATCTCCCCTATCCGAACTGTATGCAAGCAGCTGAAGACTCCACCTGAAACCCTCTTCTCCTCCCTCTTCAATCCTCCTCTGGTCCTAGGAGGCAGTGAAGCAAGAGAATTCTCTCTCTCCCTCCCGCACTTGTTCTCCACTCTCCAGCCTTGAAGCTTCTCCTGCCTCTGACTCTCATCTCCCGGATGTTACAGGTTCCTCCAGTTCACGGATCCCTTCTTCCAAGTCTCCAGCCCGCCTTCTCCTGGTCCCTAATCCTCAATATCTAGCCACCACTCTTCAGTGCCCTGACATCATGCTGTCCATTCTCAAAGTAAAGTGCTAACGTGGTGAGTTTATCTCAAACTGTAAGGGGCCAGGGGAGGTCAAGATGGGCAGGGCTTTGGGACAAGGAATCTGCTCTGCCCTCAAGTGTCCTGCTGAAATGCTGCCAAGCAACTCCAGCTGGCACTTTTATGGAAACCCTATACTGTGGCAGCATGGCGATGCAACATATGCCCTGAGAGGGTTCGGCCCCTCAGACAGCGCATGCTTTCTGCCACAGAAAAATGACAGAAACTCTTGTCTTGACGGAGGCAGTGGTGAAAGCAGGCAGGAATGGACACATGCGGAGAATGATTTCATAAAAGTTCATCAAGGGCCAAACCTAGAAGTAACACGGAAGACCCGCAGAACAGGGTTTCATGTGTAGTTGTGGGGGTTTTTTAATGCTAAAAACATTTGCACAACGTTAAAAAGGAAATTTCCCACGAAAAAGAGATCTGGACTGTAGCACTATGTAAGGGAGGGAGAGAGTTAAGTCTTTCCCCATACCAAATGAAAATAACCCCTGGAGCTGCTATGTGCCCTGTTTGGGGCAATAGCTTTCTTTTCCAAGTCCAGCATCAGTATCATAATCTATATACTGTATTTATACTGTTTTGAGTCTAGCCGTGTGTGTGATTACGTAGCCCAAACCTGGGGAGGGGGGCAGACAGCAACAGCCTCAACAAAGCAGCCCCATTATTGTTCCTTGCAATGAAATAGCTCAAAGGCACTATGATACAACTTTAGATTGTCACAGCTTCCCTCGAATAATTCTGGGAGCTGTAGCTTATTAAGGGTGCTGAGAATTGCATCCTTAACAAACTACAGTTTGTGAGTAGTGTAAGATCAAGTGGGTTCAAGTCCTCTGCTTTCTAAGAGGTCAACTCAGGACTTTGCCAAGTCATAGATACAGCCTAGGAACACATGATTATATATATGCAACACTAAACCATCTAACAGATCAGGGTGTTTACAGTTGCACTTATTCTATTCCAGCCTATTGGCCCCATAAATTGACTTGCTATCTTAGTTAATCTGCTCACTCAGGCAGATTTGGAGAATATGCTAAAGGTCCCCCTTCTACTCTTTCTTGCTTCTATTTTAAGGAAATCAAAACACGTGAAATGCTGAGTTCACACTAAATCGATAATCCTTCAGGATGGCTCTTGCCCCTTGCCTATGTAAGGTTTCCTAATCAACAGTGATAGCACCACAATCACTTCTGCAAATGCACCTGGAAAGCTGCGTTCCTGTATGGCTTCATAATGAAGATGTAAAATGACCAGAATTTCTACACGGAAGAGCTTCTCTTTGAAGTTGAGGGCAAAAGACTGGATTACCAGATCACATTTCTTTTAAAAGGATCAAGAGAAACGATGTCCTGCCAAGACCCTAAAATGCCAGGGATCTGGTTGCAAAGAGATTTTCTCTCACGGTCACATAAAAATACTTGTCAATGTTTCAGCTTGAAGGTTCTCTACAACTCTATTGTACAAATTCCAAAATCCACATCTGAGCAATTTCTTTCTTAGGGCAAACCAAAATGTTCCAAAAATAGTGTGCAAGTTTTCAAGTAGAAACTGGTCTGGGTAACAGCTGGATTTTATATCCCCCCTCTCAAATGGGGATCAGTTATTGCCTGCTGCTTCTTCCCAACAGCCAAAAACCTGCAACTCACCTAATGGACTAGAGCAGCGGTTCTCAACCTGTGGGTCCCCAGATGTTGTTGGACTACAACTCCCATCATCCCTGAGCTCTGGTCTTGCTAGCTAGGGATAATGGGAGTTGTAGTCCAACAACATCTGGGGACCCACAGGTTGAGAACTGCTGGACTAGAGCTTCATTTTAATGTCTGCTGCCTACTTACTATCTGAAGACTACAAGGCAATGCAAACTCCATCATGTCTTCAGAAACAGCCAAAATTCCTGCTCTCTCCCCCACTGCCACTTATGTTCACCATCAAGCCTGATGTCCTCATCCAAGTTCTGGAGAGCTCAAAAGCTACCACACTCTTTTGTAAGATTCCGGTTGGCCCAATAAAAATATTGCCCTAATGTGGGTTTTGGAATTTTTCCTGTGGACTTACATGTATATCTTTCTTTTTTTTACAACTCACAGCACGAATTATTCGTGATATTTTTTGTACAGGAGCCTGCTGTAGTTCCCCATTGCACATTCTTCCCTCTGCCTCTTTGTAGCTTTATTCCAGACTCAAAATAAGTCTGTGAATTATTTTTTAAGTCCCCACTTCCTTCAGGAGAGTGTATGACTGGAGACCCAACAGGAGGCTCTGAGAAGTTGAAGGGAAGCAACAAGAACCTGAAGGCTGCATTAGCATTATTGGGTTCATTGTGTAATTACAAGTGATAAGCAAGTATTTTAGGGCTCCCTGGCAAAAGTTGATGAGTCTTTACAATAACCATGCGTGGATCATCATAACCCTATATAAACTCTCTCACACACAATCACACACACACCAAAAATGGAAAATGTCAAGGACTGCATACCTGTTAAGCATTTTAGGTGTGCAGCTATTTGTATTTTAAGTATACACTTAAGGTATACTTGATCAGAGCCTTGCCACAGTAACCCGTGTTCTGGTAGCCTCCCAGCTAGATTACTGTTCTTAACTTTATGTGGGGCTTCCCTTGAAGACAGCTTGGAAATACTGATTGGACATGAGCTTAGAAACGTGACAGACCTCAGGTGTAGCAAAGGTACAAAGCAGAGGCTCATGCATCACCTGCCAGCAAATATTTACCTTTTTTGTTGTCTGGTTTTCTGGATTTTTCATCTGATCCAAGATGCTTGGGTTGCAATGAATGGGATTCCATTTCATACAATGGCCTAGCAATACAAAGGAAGAACTATTTTAAAAAAAGCCAAGCACAGCTTTAGGAACAAATTGGAACACATGGCATTTTCTCTCATTTGTCATGCATTTGGCTTCAAATGCATACATGTCAGGAGTGGACAATGTGTTACCCTGCAGATGCTTTGGTCTACAATTTTCATCAGCCCCAGCTAGAACAGCCAGGGATCAGGGATGAGTTGCCATCCAACAATATCTGGACGACACCGTGTTGGCTATCCCGACAATAAGAGGCCTTATGCTACGGCAGTATAACCAATAATAAATCAACCATGCTGGTTATTGTTAGGCCAGTGGCATACCGTGGGTTGCCAGAGCCCGGGGCTGTGCAGAGGGGGTGGGTGAGAGGGAGGGAAATGTACAGAGTACACATGTGCATTCAGCTGCCTAACAGGATCTGCGTCACCCAGGAAATTGCAGCCATAGAGATAAGAAAAGAAGACTTGTTCCATTGTCTGGAGAGGTCACTTCCTGGTTTATATGGAGACACTGTTTTCAAAGGATCCCAGCAACAGAAGTGTACAGCTGTATTGAGCCAGCACTGGGTGTTGAGATTTTGTGCCCTTAACAATTTTGTGCCCGGGGCAACCGCCTCTGTGCCTCCCCACCCCCCAGCCATGCTATGCCACTGTGTTAGGCTATGCAAGTAATGGTCGTGCGTAAAGTATTTGGAAGATCTGGTTCAAGTGTGCACCAAAGCCATAGCAAGGACATTTAGTCCCTACAGCAGAATTAACGAAGCGAACCTGTAGATTAATAATAATAATAATAGCCTTCCATAGATTATAGATATATAAATAGATATAGATCATAGGATCATCTGGTCCAACCCTCTGCAATGCAGCTGGGGATCGAATCTGCAACCTTGGAGTTATTAGCTGCACGCTCTAAGCAACTGAGCTATCCAGGCTGACAAGTTATCTCAAGGTTATATGCAAAATATAACAAAAACAACTAAGAAAAGTTAAAAAAAATAAAACAATACACACACACAATGCACAGAATAAATTTTCACAGTGTTTTAAGGATTGTGCTGCACAACCATCCTTGTGAAGGAATGTTAGGGACAATCTCTTCCCCACTCCCAGGTTTTAACACATACTAGTCCTATTTTCTCCCAGCCCACTTTAATTTCCCTGGATGGGGGAAATAATTGTTTTGAGAGTTTCTCACGCAATCAACCGGAAGGAAATAAAATCAGTGACAAGCCTCTATCCATTTACCTGAGACTAAACCCCACTGAATTCAACGAGTCTTGAATAGGATTGCCCTGTATATAGAATATGAGCATAGCTGTTTGTGATTTGTGTGGTGCAATCCTATGTATGCATGGTTACTCAGAAGTAAGTTTCACTCTGTTCAGTGGGGCTTACTCCCAGGTCAGAGTGCACAGGATCTGCACCTTTGTTTTGAAGAGAAGCAGCGAGAAAAATGACCCAAAAACCTCGCTACGCTTTGACTGACAGTATTGTTTAGACAGACACTCTTGATCAAGCTTTACCTTTCAAAGCCTTTGCACAAAATGTTATTCTAAAGGTCACCCCCATAGGACATTATTATCGGTAATCTGGAACAACCTTACAGGGCTCAGAAATGTTAACTTGGCACCCTGCTGATTAGATATGGATATCTTTTGACTGTGAGTGATATATTTCAGATGAAAAACAACTAGATATCTAAACACAAGCTACATCAAAACTGTGCCTTTAATTTTTTTTTAAAAAAAACAACAATTATTGCAATGCACTAAGCAACATACCTAGGTTATTTTATTTTATTGTTCCAGGTTTCCACAGAAAGCGAAGGCAAAATTTCACACCTGCAGAATCTCTCCCCCAACACTGGTCAGTCTGTAAATAGCGCTATAGAGAAAAGCAGAAAAGTCTGAAACGTAACTTGCCAGCAGCACTTCCCAGGGAAGAATTTATAAATCCTGACAGCTGCAACGATTAACAAAGTGGGCACACCCCTTGAATTTCATTGGGAAAAACTCTTCAGAACACTTGCATAAGAAGGGGGGGGGATATTTCCTAGAAGTTATACAAGCTGCACTCATCACTGGCCCAGCAGCAAAGTAGTGAGTGAATGCATGTGCTCACACACACAACCAAAATAGAGTGACTTTCCTCTTTCCAAACCTGTTCGCACTGTTGATGCGCCTTTCCCTCAAGGAGACCTGTGGAAAATTAGCTCTGCGACTTTGGAGCACGATTCAGGGCAGCTCTAGGCTCTTGCTGTTTCCAAGCAGGATCCGATAACATCCCAGCATACACGGCTGGCACTCTTGCACAACAAACCTCACTGGAAAACACGCCGGGGGGGGGCGGGAAATGTGGGACGCAGGTGACGCTGTAGTCTAAACCACTGAGCCTCTTAGGCTTGCCGATTGGAAGATTGGCAGTTCGAATCCTCGCGACGGAGTGAGCTCCTGTTGCTCTGTCCTAGCTCCTGCCAACCTAGCAGTTCGAAAGCATGCTTGCAATTAGAAAAATTGCTACGGCGGGAAGGTAAACGGCGTTTCCATGCACTCTGGCCCTTGTCACAGTGTCCCATTGCACCAGAAGCGGTTTTGTCATGCTGGCCACATGACCCGGAAAGCTGTCTGTGGACAAACGCCAGCTCCCTTGGCCTGAAAGAGAGATGAGCACCACAACCCCATGGTCGCCTTTGAATGGACGTAACTATCTAGGGGTCCTTTACCTTTTCACCTTTATGTGGTATAACCCTAGCTTAGTGCAACTTCATCTAACATCCCTGCAAACAAATCTGGATGATTGCTCAGTTTGAACAGGGTAGGGGAATCTGGTTGTGCAGTTTGGCAAGTGGTTGGTTTTATTTTTATGTACTGTACTTCTTTTAATAAGTACACCGTCCCTCAGAGCATGCGGTGGGCCAGACTATATTTTTTTTGGAGGGGGGGGAATGAATGAATTCCTATGCCCCACAAATAACCCAGAGATGCATTTTAAATAAAAGGACACTTTCTACTCATTTAAAAACATGCTGATTCCTGGACCGTCCGTGGGCCGGACTGAGAAGGCGATTTGGCTGCATCAGCCCCCAGGCCTCAGGTTGCCTACCCCTAGCTGAAGACCTTTGGCCCAAATTTGGCATCCCACAGCAGCAACAAAAAAGCTGCCTCGTGCAACGTGTGACAGTTTTCCTAACTCAGAATTGTCTTATCTTGCTGTCAGTGGATGTCCTTTCCGTAATGTGCTCCCTGATCCTCGATCCTGGAAATGCCAGGAACTGAATCCAGGACATGCAAACAACATGATTTATTCCACTGAGCAACACTTCGCTCCCCTAAAGGGTTTTGGTTTGTCCACTCAAACCATGCCGGCAACTCTGGCTACAAGCACTTATAAACACAAACATGCCACTGCTATCAACAAATGGAAGCGGAAGATTTGCACAATGACAAGGTTCACTTTGACAGGAGGAATTAACACACACACTTACATGATCGTATTTATATTAGTAACACATATTTCAAAATGCCTCTAGTAACACATTTTATCTGCAGCTTTCCCCAGCAGATTCTACTGTGTCTTCAAATATTCTCTCTTGCACAAGCGTAGGGATGTACTTCTTTAATAGTTCCACTATTCACGCACTTCTCCCTTTGCAGCATCCCTGTCAAGACTGTATCATCTTCGAAGCAAGGGCATTTTCTGCAATTTTGCTGGGATTAATTCAAGCACAGGCTACCGACGCAACTGTTGTTCAACTCGGTAATAATAACATCTTCTAGGGACTTGAGAGACGACCAGTGAGACGGGACTGTGCTGAGCAGCAAAAGATTAATGGCCGGCACACTGGTGAGGTGGGACACATTCTATAAAATCTTACGCCTCAGAGGAAGAATTTGCTACGGTTATGCAACACTACACTCAACAGAACGGTGAGCCAGATCTTATGAAAGTCACCTTCAGGGTTCATCTCTGCAAGACGGGTAATGCAATTTCTGGGTACCTTGATCTATGCCATGTTTGAACTTTCCAGTGATAAAATATCATGCAGCAAAGGCCTTTCTGCCCGATGGCAACAATAAAAGTTCCTACTAGGGAAAGAAATCTACCCTTCTCAGGTCCAAGCTAAACACAATGGCATTGTCTTTGCATTTAATTTGCTTGGGGGGGATGTAAATATCTCTAGCTGGGGAAGGGAAGTGATAATTATCTCAATGGGAGCAGGCATTGGTGTGGAAGGGCGATTTGGCCTTTTTGTTTTCTGGCACACAACACCTTGGCCATCTAGCTAATGTGCCAATTGGCTTAAGAACGCCTAATAATGAACCTGCAACTCTGGTGCGGTTGACTTAGTACTGTAAGGGGAGCGGGTGGCACTGTGGTCCAAACCACTGAGCCTCTTGGGCTTGCTGATCAGAAGGTCGGCAGTTCCTGCGATGGGATGAGCTCCCATTGCTCTGTCCCAGCTCCTGCCAACCTAGCAGTTTGAAAGCACACTTGAAATTAAATAGGTACCACTGCGACGGGAAGGTAAACAGCATTTCTGTGCACTCTGGCACTTGTCAGTGTCCCACTGCACCAGAAGCAGTTGAATCATGCTGGTCACATGACCCGGAAAGCTGTCTGTGGACGAACGCCAGCTTCCTCGGCCTGAAAAGCAAGATGAATGTTGCAACCCCATAGTCGCCTTTGTCTAGACTTAACCGTCCAGTGGTCCTTTACCTTTACCCTTTTACTGTAGTACCATTTTCTTTTAAGGTCCCTCCTATCCAACCTCATTCTCGATGTAATCATCCTATGAGAGGTCAACTCCCTTCAAAGCCTTTCTCATTAACTGTGTATTCCTCTGTTGTTCAGCTTTTTGAGTTTTTCCAGGAAGCTGCTCTATACCTTTTTCAAGCCTGCTTGATCTTGTGGATTCCTGTGGGAATAGACTTCAGTCTTAGCTAGTCTTAGCTAGATCTCTTTGGAACAGGTAATGGTGGTGCCTCTGCTTTTCTCTCCTTCTTTCCCTAAGTTGTCTTTCCACCCTCCTTCATCCCTATCCCATTTATGGGCAGACTGAGTCACAGTGGCTTGCCTACTTGAGTTCGTGGCAGAGGCAAGTTGCATGCCCCAACTCCATGACCCCGCAGTTCCCTAGGGAGTGAATAAGCACACAAGACAACAGAATATAGGTTTACGGGTTCAAATAGGCCAGAACTTTATTAGTTACAAATGTAAATGGTCTGGCATTGGGTGAGGTCAAATTATGCCACTCTAGTCCGTCTGCTGGTAGCTCATCTAAGGGTAAATCACATACTGAGGGGGCCCTATGACCTATGACCCCTCAAGGGGTCCCTGTTGGAATGCTGCTATGGTTCTAGCCCCCGTCTTGGCATCGTACAGAAGCTACTCCTCCCAGATCGCTTTAACCAGATCCCCTTAACCAAGGAGGGGCAAGGAGAAGCTACAACCTCCCCTCCAGCCAAGTCAAGGCCTACCCAATGCCTAACCTCACAAAGTTGTGACGATTGCTATGAGGTAGGCAAAACCAAATGGCCAGGTCCAGTTTGCCAAGTGGAAAAATTCCTGCCCGTCCCCAAATACAGCAGCTGACATGGTCCATAGCAAGGTCGTAGCATTGATCTTCCTCGTTCGTTCCTCAGCCACTATGCAAAGCCAATTCTCTTTTTGAATTTATTTGTTAAATTCTCTATTAGCTATGCTCTTAAGATACAACTAGCTATCTGTAGCTTTTATTGAAGAATAACCAGTCCCATCAGATATTTCTCTGCAATGGATGACATGCCTGAAATGATTTTTTAATATAGGTGAACAGCACGGTATGAGGAGTCGAAGCTGCCCAAAGTATTTTCTTCTGGCAGAATGCAGAAACCCTGTATGGTACGCTGCTGCTCGCATTTCATGAAGCGTGAAGCTGACTGACAGGTTGACTGCATTATAAAACGACTCAATTTCCATGATGAAAAACACATACACCATCACAAAATCACCTTGAGAACCTTCAAGGGAGGCAAATTTCTTTATTCTCCTGGAAGCATTCTTGAGAAAACAGACATTGATATTATCCTCTTAAAAGAGGTTTAAACATTCCAGCTCATAATCGCTGTTAGAAAAAGAGAAGCCCTTATTTAATAAATAGTGCTAATATATACAAAAATAAGATCATGGAGGTTCGTGCCGATATATACAAAAGTAAGATCATGAAGGTGGGAGAGCAATTCTTGGCTAGCGAAGATTTCATTGCGCTATATACCAAACAGCATTTTCAGAATTCCCTATCTGTTGCTAGCTAGCACTATTTCTTACGTCTTCCCCTGGAAGACTTGCCCCTTGCCTTCTTGCCCTCAAATACAGGCCTAGCTGTGACCAGAGGCTTTTCTTCCTCGGCACTAGAGCTGCTGTTCCCCACTTCATCCAGCTTGGCATCCAAGCTGGCTGTGTCCGCTTCAAGCACCAGGGCATTTCCTCCTTTTTTGCACCTTTTGGAGGCTTCCTTCTCCGACTCTTCGGCCGACGATTCGCTGGACGATTCAGCCTCCGAGAGCTGAACCTCCCCTATGAAGCCTCCCCCTCCACAACCCTCCCCTTTCAGCTGTGGGGTTTTCCTCCTCTTGCCCCGCCGGCCCTGTGTTCCAGCCAGTCCTTGCTTCGCACCTCGAAGAGGATCCTTCCCTTTCCTCTGCTTACGTTCTTGCTCCATGACCACAGTAGCTTGCAGGACTTCGTTTTGCTCTTCTTCCTTCTCTTTCCTCCTCATGCAAGTCACAGCCCGGCGAAGCCTCTGACTCTTGATGGCTTGCTTCTCGTGTTGGGCTGATCTGAAGAAGGAGTCGATACGGAGCTGAGTCTACAAAGAGAAAAGGGGGCATCCCCACAACTGATGTTAAGGAATTATGGCATAGGCTAATTGCAATAGGGAAAAGACACAGGGCATCTAAGTTCAACCCTCTATATTGCCTGGGCCTATCAAGCCAATTGAGGCCCACTGTACCAATGAAGATCTATGGGGAAGTCCTCTCTTGAGATTCCACCCAGCAAGCTATAAGATCCACCAGACTCAGGAAATGGCCATAGCTCAGTGGTAGAGCATTTGCTTTGCATGCAGAAGGTCCCAGGTTCAATCCCAGGTATCTCCACGTAGAGGTGGAAGAGAACTGTCTGAAATTCTGGAGCACCGCTGGCAGTCAGCACTAGATGGACCAATGATCCGGCTCAGGATAAGAATTCAAGTTCCTACTCAAGACCTTTCAGTTAGCGGCATCTCAGTTGTGAAACTTCCTTCCTGACAGGTCTCCACCAGAACATGCCACTGATATCTTTCATAGTAGGAGGGTGAAGATCTGTTCATTCAGATTAACCTTTGGTGAGTAAATGGATCAGTTCATATAGTTCACAGCTTCACATAGTTCACAGTTTATCCTTAAAATACTGCATTTTGCAGTTTGTGGTTTTATGGGGTTTGGGGCTGGATGGTTTCGTTTTGAAAGAGATAAAGTGTCTAAGTAATCCAGAATTCCTAATAAACATGCAATAAAGACTGCTGTTCATTTGCGTATTTTCTGTGTAGATGATATTTGCATATCATTTGCATAAAAACCAGGTTCTCTGCCTGTGGGGTCTCATGCAATTTCTACACAGGCTGATATACTGAACGTTGACTACTCTCTCCAGATAGGCAGCTCTAAGTGCAGATATTATGATTCTGCACAGCTAGGGAAGTGCCCTGCCATTCTACACGGTTGGTTTTCATCACTGAACAAAGGAGAGTTTCAGAAAAAGGTAACTAGTCACATTCCAGGTGGCACAGAACGTGACAGGATAGCATCTGGGTGAGCCCTCTTGTCTGCTCAACATTAGGACTCATCATCTGTTATCAACATGTTTGCTTACAAATTTATGTCGCCAGTTATGGTCTGAAAATAACTTGTATACATGTTGGAAAGGAAGAGGAGCCTCACTGATCCTGGCAAATTTCCCAGCCACCTGTGGGAAGACTGTTCCTGCCAACTCCTGGGCTTAGAAATCAAGAGGTCTGAGCACAAACCAAATGCTAATCCCTTTATATCTGTCTCCAGGCTTCTGGTACTTATCTGGCTTCTGTTTTCAGCTCAAAGCATCTTACCACTTAAACTGCTTGAGATCTATGTAACGTTCACCTGCAAACCTAAACCCGCACCCCTTCTTCAAAGATAATAAACTCGTTGAGCCAGCTAAAAGATTCATCAGCCAGGTCCATTAAATGGCCTGTGTTTTATAGCTGAATATGAGGTCAGTGCTGGTCCTTCAGTTTCCAAACAATCCTTAATATCAAAGTAAGCTGTTTGATAGCAGCACCTATGGTGCTGCAACCAATTCAGAAGGCTACCCACAAAAAAACCCATGATGAGTCTAACCGGAGTAGAACAAGGACATCATAGATTCTTAAATTTGCAACATCTACCTGAAACATGGGTGGCCAACCTATTGCACAAGGCAGCAGAAGTTAGTGGGAGTTATGAAATGGAAAAATAGGGTTCATAGGCGTGATGCTGGAAAAAATATCTTCAAGTCTTCTGCTTGTTCCCTGGCACAGTAGGGGCAAAGCTACACCAAGATACAATGAGCCACATCTGTAATGCAGCAAGCACCAGCACACACAATGGCAAAAAACACTGGCCACTAATATAGAAGAGGGATGTTGTTGGACTCCAATTCCTATCAGCCCTAGACGGTAATGGTTGGGGATGAAGGGAGTTGCAGCTCAGCAACCTCTGGAAGACCACATCCCTGAAACACAGCCTACCCAAATTCTGATCCAGAGAAAAGATGGGATAAACATGTTCTAAAATGTGAACCATTCATTTCACCTACAATACACCAGTTCTGATATTTTAAAAATACTCCGCTGAGCTCTCACTCTTGTCTGCATTTTGAGTCTGCCCTGAGCAATTTATTCCTGGGATTTAAATTCATCATTTGCTTTCTTTATCCGACTTTCAGTGAATTTCATAGACATATTTGTAGGTGATGATTTAATTTTCTACCTTTGTGGGGGATAGACATCCATTCTAACTGTTCTTGCCAGGGTTTATCTGGGCATATGGAGACAGCCTTTTGATGATGCAGCAAAACAAGTTTCACCACCCCCACAGACACACATTTGTGTGTGTTACTGATACCTGCTGTGCATTCAGCTGCTTGAGGACAGGCAACAGGACTTCGTCTGTTTTCAACTTGGTCCAGCCAAAACGACTTTGGCAAAATGTGTTTCAAGTCAAGGGCCAATAGAAATTCAAAGGAAATGAAAGCATGAATGAAAGTTCCTGAAAGCAGCAAACACATCCAGGAAAACAGGATTTGCAATTGTGTGGATTGTGTCAAATGCTGCCATTCTGCTTCCACAACAAGCTGCAACTTGTGCAAGAGACCTCCTTCCTCCACGCCAATCTCTTGCAGCCGCTGCTCCCCTGTACACCCTTCAAAATCTGATCCAGAGGATTGGGGTATACTTTGCAGCAGATTTTTGGGGGTGAACAGGGATATGCCAATCACACATACCTGGATACAACCTTGTATTTTGGAAGTCTGTAAGTAATAGTTTTATGTAGCAGCACGATGAGCATTTAAAAGCAGAAAACCCCCTAACAATTACTGCGTTTTATGATGCAAATCTGGGATATTCTCAAGCCCTTTCCTGTTAATTTTATACATGTATCGCAGCACTTTTCACAAGCAAAGACTGCAGTTCTTTGGCTTGCTGTTTTTCAAGTAGTATCTTTCATGCACCACACATCTGCATTTGGTGACAGCTACCATAGATTCTGGCGTATTAGGCAACTGGGCGTATTAGATGACCCCCCAAATTGGCAGCTGCCAATTTGGGGGTTCGTCTTATAAGCACAGTAGCCTAATATTCTGAGCAGCTCCGCGCCGGGAGAAAGCAGTACCCGGCGTATAAGACGACCCCCAACTTTTTAACCTCTTTTCCGGGGTTAAAAAGTCGTCTTATACGCCGGAATCTACGGTACTTGAAGACACTCTGTGCATTAGGAAGCACACAAGAGGCGACACATCAGTTAGCTGCTTCTGGATGACACTTGCATTGAGAGAGAGATTTCTATCCCCTCCGCACCACAGAACCATGTTAGCAAACCATGTGAGCTCTTTCATGCAACACAGCACCCCATTTGCTGCATGTTTCACAAACATTTCTGCCGGAGCATTTCTAAGCAGCGCTTATCAAGAGTACAGAGAAAACAGCGGGGGAAAAGGATATTCTCTTATCTGTTCCACGTCAGGTCTTCCCCAAACGAATAATCCTTTCGACTCATCCACCACGGGATGCAGATAAGCCTCTGCTACTGCAGGATTTGGGAAACCGGGTGCAAGCTGCAACTGCCGCAATTTTTTCTTCACTTTGGTGTCATATGGATTGGGACGCGTTTTATTATACTTCTGAGCCTCGGCCCACCATTCCCTGAGATAACAGAAATAGATGTTTAAATCTCTCTCACACACAAGAAGAGAATGTGTTGGTTTGGTCAGGACTGTCACCTGTCAAAGTGACAAGGGAAACTTCAGTTTTGAAGAACCTACAGCCTCTTCAGGTATAGGGACTACAGCAACCAAAACAGCTTTTATGAGCACACAGCCCATACATAAGTCCTTTCCTTGCACTGTGCAATGTAAAATGGAGGTCCTCAGTTTGCCCCAGTGCACAGCAGGGTGGTGACCAGGTATGACCATGCGCTGAAATCAGTTTGGGAAAGGTATTACATCTGCAGAAGAGCAGTGAATGCGTTTTCCGTTTGTGGAAGACAAAAGCATAAAGAACATCAAAAAGAAATCAAAAGCCCATTTATACATGAATCAATAGACAGCCTTAAACCATGGGTTGCTGTCGATTTTCAGATTATGGCTTGTTAGGGAGCAACAAACCATGGTTCTATGCTTAACAGCAGCTTTCTGCTTTATTTCTCCTGTTTGCACCAGGAGAGAGGCAAAGCAGGAGCAACCTGGCAGCATGCGAAAGCCAGAAACCATGGTTTGCCATGGCAAACGAACATGTTCTGCCATAAATGCAGAGAATCACAGTACAGTGGTACCTCAGGTTAAGAACTTAGTTCGTTTTGGAGGTCCGTTCTTAACCTGAAACTGTTCTTAACCTGAAGCACCACTTTAGCTAATGGGGCCTCCCGCTGCTGCCGCGCCCCCGGAGCATGACTTCTGTTCTCATCCTGAAGCAAAGTTCTTAACCTGAGGTGCTATTTCTGGGTTAGCAGAGTCTGTAACCTAAAGCGTCTGTAACCCAAGGTACCACTGTAATTACAAGAAATATAAACAGATTCATGATTGTTTCTGTGTTACACTAATATTTCCCTTTGCCAGGCATCCTAGCTCATAACGCTTCAGACCAGAACACACACACACACACACACAGAGAGAGAGAGAGAGAGAGAGAGAGAGAGAGAACAGCCTGCAAAAAAAATTAAATACCTACACAAGTTTTAAGAGAGGCTCCATTCCTCGTCCAGGAAATTCGTTCAAGATCTCCATTGCTGTTACACAGCCAACAGTAGGAATTCCTTCTGTGTAATCACTACCAAGCAGATAGGCTAGATTAATTAACTTGTTTCGATCCAAGCCTGAAGGGAGGGAAATAAGCAAGTTATGTGTGATAGAATTCACAAGTTCACACTTTCAACTAAAAAAATATGCATTAACTTTGTTAAAAAAAAGGGGGGGTGCAACAGCTCAGTGCATGCTTTTATGGTGTGTACTACGAAGTTCAGTCCTGAACCTTTTCCACACACAAAGAGCAGAAATCTTGGGCAACCAGGTTTGAGATCTGCTAGGTAAAGGTAAAGGGACCCCTGACCATTAGGTCCAGTCGTGACCGACTCTGGGGTTGCGGCGCTCATCTAGCTTTATTGGTCAAGGGAGCCGGCGTACAGCTTCCAGGTAATGTGGCCAGCATGACTAAGCTGCTTCTGGCGAACCAGAGCAGCGCACGGAAATGCCGTTTAACTTCCCCCCGGAGTGGTACCTATTTATCTACTTGCACTTTGACGTGCTTTCAAACTGCTAGGTTGGCAGGAGCAGGGACCGAGCAACAGGAGCTCACCCCGTCATGGGGATTCGAACCGCCGACCTTCTGATCGGCAAGTCCTAGGCTCTGTGGTTTAACCCACAGCGCCAGCCGTGTCCCTTTGAGATCTGCTAGGTATCAGCAAAATCAAGAGAGTACCCAAAAAACTACTGGTTAGAATTAGCATGAATCATCTTCATGCAAGAGCAGGCACTGAAAACATGTATAAGAGTTGCAAAGATTCACAAACTATTGCTAACAATTCATTTAATTCAATTTATTATCAACATCTCCTAATACCAAATGTCTTGCGGCTTGCAACTAAAAACAGCTATCAAGTTTAACGATAAAATAGCAATACACACTCCTACACTGAGAGAGCGAGAGAGAGAGAGAGAGAGAGAGAGTCATGTTAATCATTCTTTCAAATGCCTGCAAGAAAAGGTATGTCAACCTGGTGCCCAAAGGATGCTAACATTGGTACCACACTTTACCGAGGCTGCCCCACTCAGACCAGGTAATAATTATTCTACCCTATCCACAGGCAGCAAAAGCTAGTTTAAATAAATTCTATAAAAGCTCCAAGTGCAGGCTAATGAGAGAACTTGCTTTTAGTTCAAGAAACCTGACAAGTTTTAAGGCTGCTCCAACTAAATGCTGTGTCTTAATTGTTTCTAACTACTGAGCAGACATGACTCATTCCTAATCTGGGAAGCCAAACATCAGAAAGATTAAGAGTGTTAATCCAGGGACCAACACCAGCAGCCACAAGGATCAACCAGTTACAGAACTCTAGACAGTGGAACTAACAGAGCAGCGTTATGCAGGTTACCCCCTGAATTCAAATCGCTTGTCACCAATTCTATAATCCTCCGAAGCAGAAGAACGAACAGAGGAACAAGGAAATATATTTGAATTATCTGCTGTATAATAGCGAAATTGTTGATACACTATCATAATAATAAAACTGCATAGTTTCCATTAGAGGGTTAAAAAAAAGAAGCAATTCAAATCTTCTGCATAAGCAGGTTTTTTTTGGTCTTACCTAGCTGATTCTGGAAATCCACGTACTGGTAATATTCCACATACTTGTTTTGAGAGAAAAAGTTTTTGTACACATGTCGTGCTCCAAACAACCAAATGTCACTGTCATCCGTGATTGTCCCTGAGGTTTGATCCGTGAGGTCTAAGACGGCACACTGAGCCTCTGCCTCCATAGGGGCTTCGATGTATGGAATGCCAAAGAGGCGCAGAAGTTCCTGAGAGAACGGAGAAACAAACTCAATACAGTCGTACCTCTGGTTACGAACGCTTCAGGTTACGAGCTCCGCTGACCTGGAAGTAGCTGCTCCTGGTTGCGAACTTTGCCCCAGGATGCAAATGGAAATCGCATGCTTTTGGCGCGTGCGAAGCAGGAAACCCCATTAGCGATAGCACGCCTCAGGATAAGAACCATTTCAGCTTAAGAACGGACCTCCGGAACGAATTAAGTTCATAACCAGAGGTACCACTGTACTTCTCTCCCACAGGTATCACTCAATTACTGGCAGGTGAATGTGCGAACCAGCTCCACTAGAAAGCTCTGCATCAGAGGCAATATCAGGCAACATGGAAGTGCATTATTAGATGTATAATGGGTCAGTCGCACATACAAGCTATCACACCCAACTTACAAATGATGCCAGTGATTGTGGTTTCTGGTAGTTGTTGTTTTTTCCCCTTAGAAGACAGTAAGTGACTGGTTTTGAGTGCAGCGTTAGTTTTACTGGGGAGGGAAAGGTCAAAAATAGGTAAGACCATTGACTATGTGAGCAGGGCAAATAAATCTTCTGCGGACAGCTGTTTGTCATGGAGATGTTCCAAGCTTGGATCTGCTGCATCTGCAGCTATGTGATATGTCAGTTAAGCCTGGATTTGCATGGGATGGAACAGATACACTATTTCCAGCTTTCTAAGAAAAATACATAAGGACTTTTCCCATTTCCACCCCTCCTTCCCTAATGTGTGTCTTGGCAATACATCAATAATCACTTATTTTGCTAATGCTCTACTTTAGTTTCTAGGGGGGTTAGTATAAGAGCTACATTCAATCTGTTTGTACACATCCCTTGCTAACCCTTTCTGCCAACAGCCTAACTCAATATGATACAGTGGTGCCTCGCAAGACGAAATTAATCCGTTCCGCAAGAGTCTTCGTCTAGCGGTTTTTTCGTCTTGCGAAGCAAGCCCATTGACGGATTAGCGCTATTAGCGCTATCAGCTGTTTAGCGGCTATTAAAGGCTTAAAGGCTTAGGGGATTAGCTGCTAAAAGGCTATTAAAGGCTATTAAAGGCTTAGCAGATTAGATAAAGGGGGAAAGCGAAAAAAATCTCAAGACTCGCAAGGTATTTTCGTCTTGCGAAGCAAGCCCATAGGGGAATTCGTCCTGCGAAGCAACTTCAAAACGGAAAACCCTTTCGTCTAGCGGTTTTTCCGTCTTGCGAGGCATTCGTCTTGCGGGGCACCACTGTACATTTAAGTTGCACAGTGGAAAACAGAAACGAAAAGGCAATTTGTAGCTTTTATCACTGACATCTCTCTCTTCAGTTTGTTCTTCCAAGTCATGCAAAGTTAACGTGAAGGAATTACTAACATGAGAATGCTTGTGGAGTGGGCAGGGGGGATGCCTCTAACTTATGATGTAATGTTGACATTTTCCTCTTATTTTATTTATTTCGTTCCATTTATTTTAATCCAGTTATTGTGAAAGATCTCAAAGTGATTTAACAGTAAAAATGTATTTAAAAGAGCATTTATTTATTTTTTAAAGTAAAATCCAATACAGGTGTAGACTGGGGTAAAACACTCAATTTAAAGATTTATGGGAGGTCTTCAAAAGGCGATGAGGAGACAACAGAGATGGCACCTGCCTGGTATGTAATGGGAGGGAATTTATTTTCACAAATGTTTCTCAGTTTTATCTCACAGAATCATAGAACTGTGGAATTGGAAGGGACAAAGATATTCTTTTGCTGTGCTCAACTTTAAGAAATATCAGTTTATTCTTCCTTCTTATATCCCAGTTGTACAAATTAGGCACACAACACTGAAATGAGTCAAGCAAGCTTGTCTCTTGATGTAGGTGGTGGTGGTGGGGTTTTGCAATAAATTATCGCTCTATAGAATATTGCAGCAGCTGTGAAATAATTCAATGAAACTGATCATGTGAGCATTGCTCAAATGCAATAAGGAAAGGAAAATATCAATACCTCAAGTTTAGACAAAAGATCATACTCTCCCTCCCTCGCCTCTTTCCCAGTCACAGTCCAAGCCAGCGTAACCCAGTGCAAAGGGAGCTGAACTTGGACTTGACTGGATACTCTTGCCAACATTTCTCAGTTTTCCCTTTGGGAAAATGGGAATCTTTAAAGGCTACTGAGAACAAGAAGGGATGATAAATACATTACCTGACTTTCTAAGAACATCTGTCCTGTCACAGTGGCAGCAATACGCTCCTGCTGTTGCTTCTGAGCCTTTAGAGCATTTTGCTCAGCAGAAAGGTTTGTTTCCAAGACTTCCAACTCCTCCTGTAAACATAAAGGAAGATCCAAGTTCTGTTAAGCCCCAAGGCACCGATGTATGTTAGTTACCTGTCTGCGCTTAAGTTCGTAGTAGGCATAATTACACCAAAAACCTATGCTCAGGATTGTTAGCAATCCCCAGAAATATAAAATTCTGCACCACACAAGTCCAAATTCTGCATTTAGCAGAGCAAAAACAGAGGAACCCTACCCAAAGAAAGGAAATTTAGCAGAAGACATTGTTGGTTCAGTTCTGTACACATGCATCGTCAAATCTGAAATTCTGACACATTGTTTTTAAGAAGGGGTTTTTCAAAAAATAGACTATTTCTGATCTTCAGTCATAGGCAGAATCTGAAAAAGTACAGGCAGCAAACCAGTCATAAGAAGGGGAGTTTCATGGATGTCATAGTCTCTGTTCCTACTGACTTCCAATTCATCCTTTTTGTACTCTTTCAAATAACTGTGCAGGTCTTTCTCATTAAATAAATAAATAAATGTTATGGAACAACTGAACAGAATTGTCGTATTCCCTGGGAATACAGCTCTTTCCTCATTACTGACAACAAAATAATTACCATACTAATATCCTGCCATTCGTTAACAGCATCCTCCTTGCCTTCGATTTCAGCATCCTGTTGCATAGACAGCTCTGAATCCTCACCAGTGTCTTCTGTTAGGCTGCCCGTGGGATGTTCGTCCGCCCCTTTCACATCCTCTGCAGACAACGCTTCTTCCTCCTGTTCAGCGGAAGCAAGGGACACCTCTGATGTTTCGTCCTGAGGTTCACCACTCGCTTCGGCATCCACTTCAATGAAGCTACCTGATCAACATTAAAAAGAAAAGAAAAAGTGAGAACGATTGGCTTCTTTGCCTCTGTTCTTCTGCCAAGTTTCTTAAAGTAAAACCCAAGCGGTTCAAAATATTTAAAAACAACTTCATAAGCATCAATTAGTCTAATTAAAATCTGGGTGGGAGAGCAGAATTCAACAGTTGCCTTCCTTCCAAAACAAAACCGTTTTTAATTTGACCTTGAAAGATCACCAAAAATGAATGCATCTGAGCTTCCCTGCCCAGGGAATTCCACAGAACCCTTCTTACATTCTGTCATGTTTATGTATGTTCCTATGTTCTGCCTTTATCATATGCATATATTTTAACAACCACATACCATCAGAATCACTCTCTTCAGACTGTGATTGAAGTTCCTTTCTTTCTCTGTTGAGGTTTTCCATTTCCGAAGTAAACGGGAGTGCATGGTGCTGACCTTCAGAGGCTTGTTTCCCTGACGGCTGAACCAATTCCACTAAATGTTCAGCTTTGCCGTTTTCGGCTACCTCTGCAAAGTTTGAATGGCTTGGGACAACTGATGGAGTCTGCGCCGAAGGCTTTTCTCGCCGCTCTGTGCCAATATCCATACCTTCATCTTTCCCAGAAGTTGTGCCTGTTGTGGACGTCAAGGCTCCCATTCCTCCTTTTTCCTTATCTGCCACAGAAGGTACTTTTTCCATAAAAGGAGTGCATACGATTTCAGGTACGCTCTGATCCTTCTCCAAGAGATCCTTCCTTTGACCCAATTCACTGTCTTGGCTAATGAGTTTGCCTTCTGAATGCCCGACAGATAAAAATGGAGGCTCTTTTTCACGCCGATCTTCAGGTACTTGGCCCTCCTCATCCGAGCTACTGGCAAGAATATCCTTCGCAGGTCTCCCCACTCGACTGCCACCAGTGCGGATGCAAAAAGATGCTTCAACATCCTCCTCCTCCTCACATAAAGCATTCTGAATAGCCCACAGTGTCCTTGGGGACATGTTGCTGGCGTCAGAATGAGCGCTGGACCTGCCTTCATCCGCATCAAGCCGATCTTTGTTGTCGCCTTCCAGCTCCTCCTCTGAACTGCTTCCCAGCATGGCAGCTTGGATAGCAAGAACGGTTCTGGGGGAAGGAGGAGCTAGAGAAGAACTGCTGGTTGGTTCATCCTTTATGAGATCCTCTAGAGGGGGCTTCCTGTTAAACTGAGACTCCTTAATATTCCCTCTAGACTCTGAATCTTGAAACCCTGCAGAAGAATGGCTGGCTGACTTTGTTTTCATATCTCTGGGGGCATCGCCTTTGGATTGGACACCTGAGAGAAAAGGGATCATCACTGTTTATTCATATCTTAATACAAGGGTTTGGGGTGGAGGGGTTTAACAGAAAGGCTGCGGGATTAAAATCACATACAAGCTGAGTGATGACTTTTATTTTATTTATAGGATTTGTATACCACCCGTTATGGGATGCGGGTGGCGCTGTGGGTTAAACCACAGAGCCTAGGACGTGCCGATCAGAAGGTTGGCGGTTCGAATCCCCGCAACGGGGTGAGCTCCCGTTGCTCGGTCCCTGCTCCTGCCAACCTAGCAGTTCAAAAGCACGTCAAAGTGCAAGTAGATAAATAGGTACCTCTCCGGCGGGAAGGTAAATGGCGTTTCCATGCGCTGCTCTGGTTCACCAGAAGCGGCTTAGTCATGCTGGCCACATGACCCGGAAGCTGTACGCCGGCTCCCTCGGCCAATAAAGTGAGATGAGCGACACAACCCCAGAGTCTGCCACGACTGGACCTAATGGTCAGGGGTCCCTTTACCTTTTTATGCCACCTGTCATCATAAGATCTCTGGGCGGTTCACAGAATAAAATGCACAATAAAAACAAGTAAATAAGTAATACAAAACGGCAAAACAATACCCACCCACCCTTCTCACACACACATTTAAAACGCTGTAGAATATGAATCAGCCAAAGGCTGAAGAGGAACATTTTCATCTGGTGCCTAAAAATATATAATGAAGGTGCCAGGCAAAGCTTCCTGGGGAGAGCATTCCACAAAAGCAGAGCCACCACAGAAAAGGTCCGTTCTCGTGTTGCCACCCTCCAGACCTCAGCTGGAGGAAGCACAGGAAGAAGGACCTCAGATGGTGAATGCAGATTCCGGGGCGGTTTATGTGGGTGAGAGGCGGCCCTTCAGGTATTGCGGTCCTGAGCCATTTAAGGCTTTATAGGTCAAAAACAGCACTCTGAATTGGGCCAGGAAGCTAAGTGGCAGCCAGTGCTGTCGGGCCAGGATTAGCCTTATATGCTCAGCAACTTGGTTACTGAATTCTGTACCAGCTGAAGCTTCCGAACCATCTTCAGAGGCATCCCTATGTGTAAACATGGTTACCAGAGTATAGACAACAGAAGTTATTCTGCAGTTATTAAACTGGTTTAATTAATTAAGTTTGTTGTGGTTATGAAACTGCTTTAATTTTACTAGCACTGTACATTTAATTTTCTCATGGAAGGAAACGTTCTTGCCCTACTACCTTTTATTAGGATATAGTGAGAGGTGTCTTCCGAAACAACCCTCCTGGTTTCCACTTCTTTCAAGAAGCCCCCGTCGTCTTCGTACTGGCTCTGGATTTGGCCCGAGTGCTGTTCATTCATCTCCTTCTGCACCTTTTCTATGTGCCGATTCAAGCTGCTTTTCTTAAGCAATCCCTTGAGCTGATACTGGGAGAAGTCACTGGACTCCTTCAACAACAACAAAAACAACACTTCAATAAACTTGAATTGAACTTCCTGTATTTCCAGGGCAAATAAATGTACTGTGTTAGAGGAAGAGGAGGTATTTCAACCATCAGGAGACATTATCATCAACGTTTTGTAAAAAAAAAAAATGACATTTTTCTTTTTAGAATGTCAACAATTATATCCATCACATAGCTTGTTCCATTTAACATGTAAAAAGTTTTGTAAATTATCCACTGACTTTGGAATAGTTATATAATAGAAGACGCAGAATTTCCTCCTCATATAACACAGGAAATGGCTAACTTTCTTTTGAGCTATGATCAACTATGGAAAACCCTTCAGGAACTACCTATCAAAGCAGTTGCGGCTGAAGTGTGAAAGCGAGAATGGCCCTTTGCTTTTTCTGTTTTCTAAAGACACATTCTTGGGCCCTTGCAAAATAAAAACTTTTCGATGTCATGAATCACAACAGTGGACCCACAGGAGTGATCAGTTAAAAACAACTGGAGGAAGTAGGGGCAGGGTTCATGGGGGGGAGGTCCACAAAACACATTTTAGCATCACAGTATCGCAATGGGGTGCAAAAGGAGGAAAAATCAAAAGCTTATATACATGCAATGTGTTTTAGGAAATGGGCAACTTTGCAGCGCCTTCAGGGGCCACGCAAAAATCTTTTGTCTTCATGGTATCACAGTGGAGGATGAACAGGAACAGAATGGCACACAAAAAATGGCACATTGGGCGGACGGTGTCTTGGGGAACGAGAAAAACATTTGTGGCTCATTGACTAGCTTCCCTGACAAGAGAACCAAACACTACATCTTTGGGTCCCGGAAGTGCAAGTGGCAGCTGGCAGCTGAGAATGGAGCCTGGGATTCAAACAGGGAGTCTTATGAACAGACCACAGGGACTTTGCCCCAGGGGATTTAGTTTCAAATCCCCACTTAGTAATAAAAACTCAAAGTGGAACTGAGCATGCCTATGCATGTCTACTCTGAAGCCAGCCCTATTCCGTTCAATGACCAGGTAAGTGCATACAGGACTGCAATCTTACTTTCCAGTATGCAAAATGTAGGCTTGCTGGGAAAATAAAACATTATTAGATCATACTGGCCTTATAGTAAAATTTGTTGTTTGAAATAACATTTTATGCATGTTTTGATGTACTTTTATGGTTTTATCATAACATGCTCTGATTGTTCAGTTTTGAAGAAAAGTGGGGCATGAATAACAAACTATAAGTAGTAGTAGTAATAATAATAATAATAATAATAATAATAATAATTTATTATTTATACCCCGCCCATCTGGCTGCGTTTCACCAGCCACTCTGGGCGGCTTCCAACAAAACACTAAAATACAATAACCTATTAAACATTAAAAGCTTCCCTAAACAGGGCTGCCTTCAGATGTCTTCTAAAAGTTTGGTAGTTATTTTTCTCTTTGACATCTGGTGGGAGGGCGTTCCACAGGGCGGGTGCCACTACCGATAAGGGCACTTTGAATACTGTGTGCAATGGAAACAAGATAAAAATGGCAAATTAACGGCAGGCATGTCTCTGAGAGTTAGGACTGAGCATTCTATCATCACAGCATTATTGACCCTAAATAGGGAAACACAATAACTGGTTGCCTGGCAGTGCTTTAAATAGCCAAGAACAGTTGCAATATAAAAAAGGGGTTATGCAAGGGGGGGATTTAAAACAGTTGCCTGAAAACAGCAGGGTGCCCTGCGGCCAATGTTACATGTGTGAAAGATATCTAAACACATCTATTTACGGGTCAGCTGTTTTTAAGATGAGAAACCACCGCCAGCTCCACTTACAGTTTTCTGGTTGTGAGCACACAATGTAAGACTACCCACTACATCAGAGGTGAGGAACTTTTCTCTGTTTGAGGGCCACATTCACTTCCAGGGGCCAAAGGTCTGCGATAGGTAGAGTCAGGGGCAAAAGTGGGCAGTGCAACTGTGTAATATTTCACCTTTACGCAATAGGCCGGTTCGTGAAGACACTCACTGCATCCTCCATGCAAGCAAGCCAGAGGTTGAACTACCAAAGTTCAAGGACACATTCCAGCCCGGCAAAAAAATCCAAAAACCAAACACTAAATGAGAGCGTGCAGCAGAGGTCAGGGCGGAGAGGTGTGTTAGATTCCACCTTAAAAGGGTCAGACATGTCTGTTGTGTATCACATGCCTGTTTACGTCCAGCACAGTTGCTGGGAACATTCGTTGTATGTTGCTTTTGCTTACTGCTGTTTTTGCTGGACACGAAGGGATGCAGACATGTTGTCCTTTGTTCCTCAACTATACTGAATAAATGCTGTAAATATGCTTGCACATTTCTCTGTCTCCCTCATCTGCTGTGTGATGATTTACACATTCTGCTAACACAGCGTGCACGGGTCTCTAAACGTATCTGAGGCTCGTGTCGCTGTTTGATGCTTTTCCAAGGGAGACCGGCTGCCGGCTGGTGGCTGGAGCCAGCAGGGGGCCTGCCTGATGCCCCCATCTTCCCGGCAGTATCCCAACAAGGTGTAGCCTGGGGAGAGGAATGTGTTGCCTGGAGAGAGTTCTGAGGGCCAGACAGAGAAGTGTGGAGAACTGCATTCAGCCCCTAGACCTCGTTGGTGTCAGGCAAACAATGAGTCAAATTACACAGTGCTTGGTCTCATGTCTTGAAGAGCACATCCTCCCACACCTGGATGTTCTGAGCTAAGGTGCACTGGGTTACCATAGCGACACCAGCGAGGTTGAGTGTTGCTGAGCCATTCACCAAATATGGAGCTCAGAAAATATATCTATGTGTAGAGACGGATATAACAGTTTCTAGGGCATTGCTTTCCTTATGGGCTGCTGTGCCCTTTCCCGTTTGCTGTCAGGGTCTGGCTCTGGATCTGTGAGAAGTCAGGGGAAGAGGCTGTGGGTTTTACACAGCACTGTTAGCTAGCATGGTGATAGTATCATAGAATTTTTTTTTGAGAGCTGGAAAGAACTCTTATCATCTGGTCCAGCCCCCTGCAATGCAGCAATATGCAGCTGTCCCATACGGGGATCAAACCTGAAACCTTGATGTTATCAGCACCACACTCTAACCAACTGAGCTATCCATGATGCTGGTGGATCTTTCTGTACATACAGTGGTGCCTCGCAAGACGAAATTAATTCGTTCCGCGAGTTTTGTCGTCTTGCGATTTTTTTCGTCTTGCGAAGCACGGTGTCGGGAAAGTTTTGGAAAAGCTTCAAAAATCACCAAAGTCTTTAAAAACCTCAAAAAAGGCTACCACACCGCGTTCTATGAGTTGCTCCTTGAAGTCAAGTCGCAACTGTATTAACGGTGTTAAGAAAAAGGAAACAAACTTGCAAGACGTTTCCGTCTTGCGAAGCAAGCCCATAGGGAAAATCGTCTTGCGAAGCAGCTCAAAAAACAAAAAACCCTTTCGTCTAGTGAGTTTTTTGTCTTGCGAGGCATTCGTCTTGCGAGGTACCACTGTATGTATCTTTACTTCAAAGACCAGAAGAACTGTATATAGTAGATTTTAGGGTTTCGCTTTGTCTTGTGTCTGGAGACAACAAACAGTTTGTGACTTTGAGCTGTGTGGCTGTTTTCCAGAGTCCCTAGAAGAAGCTGTCTGTTGGGAGCATGAACTCTCTTAAGACTCTGCTGGGGCTCTAAGTACTGTTGCTACATTACACTGGTTGAGTTGTGGTGAACTACTGACTGACTTCCACAAGACACCAACAGGCCTGGGGCTCCCCACCCTTGCTCTACAGTGTATGATTTTAGCTCAGTTTCTATGATTTACAGTATACTACATGTCTGCTTGGGAACTAAGCCTTACTGAGTTCACTTGGGCTCACTGCCAGTTAAGTGTGTATGGAGCCTCAAAATTCATTTAACAGACAGGACGGATTCCTTACCGTTTAATCTTGGTGATGTTTCCCAGAGAATTGGGAGAGCATCCTTCTCTTCCCATATATAAATGGGCACTTAAGACACATGCCTATAAGCTGGCCTTTGAATGTTAGCAAAACCACTTTGAAAGTTTATTACAATCAGGAAGTATATAAATTTTGCAAACTAAGTAAAATAAAATGAGCAAATCTTGTATTTGAAGCATTCAATCTATTCCCTTCCTGCTATGGATTCATTCATTTTGACTGCCCTACGTCTACCTTAAATTGTGATGTTGCTATTTTTGACATTTTATGCAATGATTTAAATAAGCTGCTCTACACCAAGAACTATTACTCTGACATTTTTTACGTAAGTACTTGTTGTGATCATAGTGGGTTTACTAACAGGGATTTATCTGTTTTAAACACAGCAAGATTTTGTTCCGCACACTTGAAAAGGTAAAAGGAAGGCTTGTGCATTACCTCTGGCATGGCCTCAAACAACGTCCTTCTTCGTTTTGTGAATTCCTTCATGTCGGTGAGGATCTCGTGCTTTACTTCAGGGGGCAAGCTCAAGAAATCTTCCGAGTCAACATCTACAGAATGAGGGTTTTCACACAATTCTTCCTGTGCAGGTTGGAAAAGGCAGAATGCAAAATGCAGAGCCGTGAGATAGTAGTTCAAAAGGAACATGCTGACCGTGCAAAAGTACAGGAAGGAAAACAAACATGCACATACTACTGAGCCTAACAAAAATATTGAAAGTTTTAGTTTTCTATAGTTTACTTTTGGGGACTGCACTTAAAAAGTATCTGCCCTATAAGTCCTTTTATTTAAACATTTAGGATTATGCAAAGCCTTAAGTGGAGTCATACCACTGATCTAGGTAGCGTAGTACTGCCTTCTATGGAGCTCTCAAAAGTCTTACGCAAAGGTCTTTCCCCAGATGTTGCTTCCTTGACACTGTTTTTAGCATTGATGTTTACTTAACCACAGCCATGATACCACATCAGCACTTAGATTTTATGCTGATGTTCCTTATCCATTAGAAATGCACACAATAATATAAATAAGAACTCTAAATAAAGTGAGAGTTACTTGCAGTATCTTTTTCTGGGTCATTCGCTCCTCCCATTCCTTTTCATCTTCTTCATCAGAACTACGTTACAAAAGGAAAGGTGGTAAGCTGTCAGGTATCAACACATTTTCCATAAAAAGCAAGAGAGCAGAGTGTTATTTAATGGTTGCATGCCCATATAAAATTTGTACTGTAAATATAAATAATATAAGCATGTTCAACTCACCTGTTCTTTGCATCTTCTTGTAAAGAAGGTAATACATAAATATCATCTATTTCTTCTCTTCGTATTTCTGAAAGGCTAGGGAATGCAGCCTCACTGGAGGGGAAAAATAATAACATTAGCAAAACCTTAATATTTAGAGTTGGGAGGGGGACCACAGAGAGACAAGGGGGGGGCGTTGTACTTGCCTCTTGCCTGCCAGAACAGATTTGATAGCTTGTTTTTTCAGAAAAGTTTTCAAAAGCTTCTCTGATGTTTTCTTGGAGTCAGCAGCTGCAACTTCTTTCCGTTGTCTTCGCTTAGCCTGCCAACAACATCAGTGAAATAATGTTTTGTGTTAAGATTAATTGATTCTCCATTAATTTGATTCTCATTTCAGATTAAACTGCTGAGCACTTGACTTTTTTTTACCAACTAGTTTATCGTCATGCAACATCTTTACTGATGTTGTTATGGTGGTATCATGTTTTTTGCACTGTGCTGTGCTGCATTTCCTATGAAACTGCAGTTTGTAGTTAAATGAAGTAGAAAGTCAGCTACAATAACAGTCCTTCCAATGGTCTTTTTAGAAGTCCTTACATTAATGACCAGCTACTGCATACTCTATTCATGACACATACTTCCACAAGTGAGCCAAAGATTTACTGAATGCCTTATTAAATTTGACCATTGTGGGAAAGGATTAAATTCCTGCCTCGGTTAGAGATGCACACAGCAGAGCCTCCATTTTGTTGCAGCTGGGAGAAACAAACTAATTCCTAGGCTCCAATTCTGCACCTCTAATGTTGCAATTCTATTCTCATTTGCCTGAAAATAAATTTATACTGTACCTGGCAAAAATTTCAGTACTGGACAAGGTCACATAAAGCACGTACCAAAGTTTGCCTCTTCAGAAGTGGTGCTTCACCATCAAAAACAAAGACAGGGCGAATTCGAAAGAACAGCAGCTTGCAAAGTCGGTGAAACAAAGTGAGAAGGTGGGCATTGTGGGTGGAATTTCCATGGCGGTCCCTTGCCCCTTTCACAGCTTGATTTAGCCAAATGCTGATATCTTAGAAGAGGATTCATAGGAAGAAAACTGGGGAAGCAGATACATACAAACAACAAGAACATCTCAAGAAGCTGCTTATGTCAGATCCTGACATTGCAGCCAACAAAGTGAGCTCTAGCCCACAAAAGCCTGCAACATATTATTTTTCTTAAGAGTTTAGGATGCCACAGGACTCTCTGAGAGACACATACATCCTGTCAAACATCAGAAGAGGTTTGAAAGAAACTGGTTTTTTTACATTCCTTATTAGCTTATTCGTTCGTGCATTTTAAATCATTTTAAGCTGTGCAATTGTGGTTTGTAATAAACTGTATAGCTTTCTTCATCACCACCTCCCTTTTGTGCTGACTTGGTACCATTTTCGTAGCTGTCAATGTTTCCCTTTTTTAAAGGGAAATTCCCTTATTCCGAACAGGATTCCTCGCAAGAAAAGGGAAAAGTTGACAGCTATGCATTTTGTCTCTGTTTTGGCTTGTGCTTTCTAACTTAGCTGCTGCTCTAGTTTTGAAGCTAAAATAGTATTTAACTCTTTGTTGTTTTGGGAGCTTTGCAACATCCCCAGTCTGCTTCTTGTCAAATTTTGTGCGATTTCACTACAATATCCCCCCTCCCCTTTTCTTCTTCCTTTTCTTTTTTTAAGGATACCAACAGCAAGGATTTTTCCTTCCAACATTTCTGGGTTTATGGGTCTTCCAGAGCACTCCAGCAGCTTCCAAAGTCCTTGAACTCCCATCTTTTATTAGGTAATTAAATGGAAGATGAATCTGTTGGAAACAATAAAAATATTGGTGGGTCAAAGACAACTTTTTTTTATAAAACACACATACACATACTATTGATGGAGGTTTAATTATTATTTTACTTCGGTACTGCCCCGGGAATGGTGCGAGAGATATGCAGTGGTTCCCTAGTAAACAAGTCAGCATGTAAAAGGTTAGAATGTTTTAATCCAGACCTACCAAGTGAAACACAAAGATACAATAGCGAGTTTGCATTCCACATACTCCAAAACGTATTTTTAAGACCTCCCCCTTTCCCTGAAGAAATGCGCAGAAATTATTTTCAACCCCTTAAAAAGACGCGGGGCAGGAATAAGCGTGAGGAGGGGAGAGGACACGGGTCCAGCGATGGTATTTCTGAGGCATCCTCTTACCCAAACTCCGCCATCTTGCCTCGTCGCGCTTGCTTAGCGTCCTCCGCTCGTCGCCGGCATGACTGAGGCGCACGGCCTGCTGGGAGATGTAGTTTCGGCTGGAGCTGCGCCGCCGCTTGTGATTGGGCGCCCATCACCCCTTCCCCGCGCAGCCCAGTTCCCGCACATCCTCAGTTTTCTCTTAATGTTTTTTTAATAGTCTCTATTACTGTGGTATAGTGTTTTTTGTTTGTTTTAATAAAGAAAACCATGGCTTATGCCCAGGGCCGGATTTAGGTTTGATGAGGCTACTGTAGGTAATGGGGCCCTTTATATGTGCAGTTGTCCTTTGTCAACAACAAATTGTCTCCGTTTTTTGTGTTGAATATATGCTATATGGTAACTTATGGACCTAATAGGTATCTAGAGCTATTTGCACGTGTTGCCATGCAACCAGTCCATGCAGAATGTAGGCACCCTATATATAGAAATGAGCAAACCAGTGATATTTTAGGGAGCAGGCTGGCAGGTGGAGGCCATTACTTACATCATAGAAGCCTACACAACACAAAACACTGTTGCTGTATGTAGGTTTTATTTTATTTGTTTTTTATCTTATATTTTACATCCAGAGGTTTTTTTTCTTTAATTTTTTTTGGGGGGAGGGCCTCCAAGAGTGGGGCTTGTTTAGCTTATACTTTAATCCGGCACTGCTTATGTCACACTGCCACCGTTCTTTGGTTTGATGCCTTTCCCACAAGCCATCCCACTTCAGTGGATGTTTGCTAGCCCAACATATTATTGGAAAAAATAATAGAACGTGGCTGTGTGGCATTCTATACACATGCCCTTCAACACTGGAATAGGTATGTCCTATTCCATTATTATTATTCTTATTATATCCCGCACATCCAACCAGGCTGTCGCAGCCTCTCTGGCTGGCTTCCAACATACACAAAAACAAAAATAAAACATTAAACACTTTTAAAACTTCCAACATACATGGCTGCTGTCAGATGTCTCCTAAACGTCATACGGCTAGGGGTGTGTGTGTGTGTTATGTAACGCCATACCCCCCAACATTTATCCGATGGAATTAGCGACATTTTACCATATCCTTCAACATTACTCTGATGGAAATAGGGATGTCAAGGAAAAGCAGGATGTTCCGGGATCAAATCAGAAACAGCTTTTATAAATTCAGGATGGTCCCTGGAAAATAGGGACACCAGGAGCCAGCCATGGGGCCATGGCCTAGCCAGGACGGCTTTCCTGTCATACTTCAGAAGCATCTTGGGGATTTCCTTGTCTGAGCAGAGAAGAGAAATGTTTGATGGAGACTAAATTTCAAAGAATCATAGAACTGTACAGTTGATGTACTGTAATTTTCCTCTGTGAATCAAATACACTTGGAGCAAGTTTGTGAGCAACCGATTGATCTTTGAGCACCAAACGTAGAACATAAACAAGTGACAAAACTAGAAAATTATGTTTATTAAAAGGAAAGGTCTTTTTAAAGTTTGCCAGTGCTGCAAACCTACAAAATTACAAAACCAGAACAAAGATGGTCCTTGATCCCACTGATATTTTTTATTAAACTTTTTTTCCATAATGAGAACAAAATATTATATTTCCAAATAAAGCTACTTGACATGATCATTTGAAAAGATACAAACAGTGTTCTGGCCAAAGAGGTATATCACTGTGGCTGCTAGTGTGTTTCGGCACTTAAAAGCACCTCCCATATTAACAATAAAGCAATTAAAGGAGTGGAGTGAAAATGATACAGAAAGCACAAGAAAAAAGGTAAGGTAAGAACAGCACAATATTGCAAGCTCAGGTGCTCAGTTCGGTAGCCATTTAAGATGGGGGAAGAGATGCGTTTACAAGCAGCCTATCAAATTGTGAAGCAATCACACAAAAAGGTGTTGGAGGAGCGCACAACTGGCAGTGAAAGATTTTTCTGACCCCCTCCTCAAAAAGGAGCATGCAATGACCTCCTCTTTCCTGGATTTTTCACAGGCTCATCGCCTGTGACTGCCAACTAAAGTCGTCAATTAACGCAACGAGCTTAATCCATACAGAATGATGTCCCAACGGTCACCAAACTGAGATCACCCAATAACAATACAAATTTAACGTTTGGTGTTTGGTAAATTTAGAACTGGACAGTGGTGTCCTTATTGCATTTTTGATTTGCTTTTTTTAGAACTAAATACACAGTATACATTTAATACCATTATACAGGTAAAGGTAAACCATTATACAATGTGTGTTTAATAAATCATTTTGGAAGTTAACAAATCTCATGCTTTTGAGTATTATCTATTTCTTCTAATAATAGATTCCCCAGGCCCCCACCCTCCCCACAATGGCTTTGATCTTGATTATTTCCCCTTCTGATTTCATGGTCAGAAACGCAGGTCAATTGCTGATTATACTGGATTGTAAAGTGTACAATATTCTGTGCTTATCTTTGAGCTAGTGTTTCTCAGCATCCCCAACATTCACAGGTTTAAAGCAGCAAACATTGCTAAGGTTGCATGTTGTACTGAAATTTCTACCCTCTCTCTACTCTGTGCATAATGTACTTTAAACCTATTTTAAGGAATACTTTACAGTACATCAGTTGCACAAGCAGGTCTTTTTAGTCATTCCCGTCATAATCTGTGTAACTCTGAAAGCCGCTATTCCGCCTTTCGTGAAGATGAGACAGCTTCTTCCAGACAGATTCCTGGTGGAAGCTAGCACTGAAAGATCTTCCCAGGCGCCCATGCTGCTTCTTAGAAATATTGTCTTCGCTCTCAGACTTGGCGATACCCGGCGTCTGTGACGGGGGCTGCAAGTCTTGTCTAGCGTTTCCAAATGGGAAGTTCCAGGGGCCAAACCTTTGCCAGCTAAGCCTCTGGAGAGAAATGATGCAATGCAGATTTCCTCCTACCTAAAAATCAAGGAGAAACAGAAAACCAAATTTGGTACTAAGTTCCTTTCCTACGATTTCATGCTTTCCTCACCCTCCATTTTAAGAATTTAAACTTTTTTGAGCCTGCACAGGAGAGACGCTGCTCTTCATCTCTGCCAACCCCTCACAGCACTGGCTCTGCTTATAAAAATAATAATAATAATTTATTATTTATACACCACCAATCTGGCTGGGTTTCCCCAACCACTCTTGACGGCTCCCAACAGAATATTTAAAAAGCTGGTGAACAAGTATCCAAAAAGCTGGTGAAAACATGTGAATGAACACATTTCAGCAATGCATTTTTAGCCGTCATGCTACTTCCTATCTGGCTAATTTTTTACAGTGACCTAATAAGAGCTGTGAGCAAGAATATAAACTATTGGGTGGAAAGAGCTGGTCTGCAGCAGATACTTTGCAGTCAGCCTTTTCCCTAGAAAGAGCAAACAGATCAGGAAGAGGTTGCTTAAGAGGGGCTATCAAAAGTCTTTTAATTTTTTTGTTGTACTGGAATACTGAGGCAGGTTCCTCAGAGGGCCAGTGAAAAAAAACATGGAGTTACCACAGAGTTCTGATGCTTAGCCAAACAATCTTTTATTTGGCAGCATGTACTGAGAAAGTTACTTTTTGCAGAGAACAAGTTTTAGTCATTTATTTCACCAGCTTTTCTTAGTTCACATGAGCAGCGGGAATCACACTAGATGGATATGCAGAACTACTAGATCTCCCTGACCTCCTTCCTTATGTTTTCCTAACATTTTCACTCAGGGATTAATTTTTCCATGTTTCTTCAGCAGTTGTAAATTTTACATCACTCACGCAGCAATCATCCCTCACAGCTAGAGTCTTAAAGGCAAGCCAACCTAATGAGGCGCAAATGCTCAAGAAGCAAGATAATCTCGTTATCAAGATGAAGCAATTTTACCTTCTTTGTCTTCCGATACTGAAGGCCCCTTTCCAAGTGCCGGATATCTAGATACTCAGGATTTTGTGTGTTCAAGTCAGTTACAATATCTGCCCACCTGTGCAAAAAATAAAAATCAAGGTGTGGTGGGAGGGTGGCAGAGAGATCACAAATTCAGTGTAGAACATGTCATGCAATAAAATTGCACAAGCAGTTTTTATGGTTTTAAAACTATTTGGGATTCAGATCACAATACAATCTTAATTAGGAGCATCCTGCACAGCATGTGACAGAAACTTTGCTTTCCTTGATGTACCTTTTAAAAATGAACACACACAAAATTAACCACTCAGAAATGACTACAGCCCATGAGAACACGGGGTATTTTGTATCCCTGCACTGTGCTTCTGTATTACCCAAGTATTTTCCTCACTAATTTCTCAGCTCCTCTTTGGCAAAATGAACTGAAAAACTATTTTCATTAATCAGTAAGTCGGGAAAAAAGTATTTACTTTCCTTGGTATTTTCTTTTAAGATGGCAAAGTCTGTTTTGCAGAGAGAGAGAGAGAGAGGGAGTGACAGAAAGGAGGGGATGTAGTATTTTATAGACACCACAATTTTCTCCTTCCACAGTCTTGACACCACTCTTAGTATAGTCAATGCCAAGGAAAAATTGTGAGCTCACAAGAGATGATGTTTCTCTTAGAAATTTTTTTCTCAACAAAACGGTACCTCTGCAGAGAAAGCTCTCAGCTAAAGTCTTACCACTTCCTATTTGGAACTGCTGTTTTAAAATTTATGTCTCTTCAAGACAAATTCCCACCCCCTCCCCATGGGTTCTACACTAGTAATACACCAGATACCTATGTGAAACGGGATGTCGATCAGATACAAGCTACCTACCTACATTTTGTAAAGAAGCACAGTACTGTACCACAAAAGCCTTCACGGAAGTTGTAAATGAAAAGTCAAAATACCCTTGGAAACATCTCTCCTGTCCAGTTTTTGCACTTGCCATTAACAGCAGCTCTACAAGCATGTGAAGTTCATAAAACCTAAATCTATATCTGATTAATCCCACTAGGGTGTGCTAACTTACTTTTTGCAGTGAATAGTTGGGTGTTTCCTGCTTGGCTCTCCGATGAGTATCCAATGTTCCACATCTTGCTGCAACAGGCGCCCTCTAGTGTACACAAAATCATATCCACTCATTTACCACAATAAGACATACAGTTTATGAAAAAGCTTAGAATCATAGAACTGTAGAGTTGGAAGGGACCACGAGGGTCATCTAGTCCAACCCCCTGCAATGCAGGAATCTTTTTGCCCAACATGGGGGCTCAAACCCACAATCCTGAGATTAAGAGTCTCATGTTCCACTGAAAGAGCTACGCTTCCTAAGGTATTCTGAACAGTCAGCATGTGTGTCTCAATATTACCACTTAGCTGTTTTGCTTCTACGTAACAATATAACTTCTGTTAAGGATGACTAAAAGAACTTTAAATGTTTTCCGTGACTGTGGTTCAGAGAAATTGCTTCAGATTTAAACACATAAAATATGTACTCCAGTCTTAATTAAAGTACAGGCACCAATTAATCTTGAAGTACTGGCTCCACAATTACACTGCATCACCTCTGTACCGATTTCGGCATATTTAACAACTTGCACAAGCGGAAATAAATTTGCTCTAGAATTCTTAAGTTATTTTCAGATGCAACACCAAGCCAACATTTGCGTTTTGTTACTCCCTCTTCATAGCAAGGAGTCCATGGCAGCGGCAGCCTGAGCGTCCATGGCAAACCATTAGCCATGACTTACCATGAAATGTGAATACAGCTGTTGAGTTGATGGCTAAACTGAGATCAGCTCACACTATTGCTGCTCTTGGTAAAGATGTGTGTGGTTTTCGTTTTGTTGGTTTTTTAAATAAGAAAATTAGAAAATATTTGAAAAAATTGAAAGCAAGCCATCTTCATGCTGTGTGAAGTTTTCAAGGCCATTCAAGTATATAAATGTTTTTTGTAAGTAGGTGTGCACCCCTTAGGGATGTAGGTGGCGCTGTGGTCTAAACCACTGAGCCTCTTTGGCTTGCCAATCAGAAGGTCGGCGGTTCGAATCCCTGCGACGGGGTGAGCTCCCATTGCTCTGTCCCAGCTCCTGCCAACCTAGCAGTTTGAAAGCATAGCAGTGCAAGTAGATAAATAGGTACCGCTGCGGCGGGAAGGTAAACAGCATTTCCGTGCGCTCTGGCACTTGTCATGGTCCTCTGTGCACCAGTAGAAGTTTAATCATGCTGGCCACACAACCCAGAAAACTGTCTGTGGACAAACGCTGGCTCCCTCAGCCTGAAAGCGAGATGAGTGCAACAACCCCAGTCACCTTTAACTGGACTTAACCGTCCAGGGGTCCTTTATCTTTTACCTACCTATGCATCCCTTTCATTATTCCATTAGGACTTACTTATCAGGTGTCACTGTGTTAACGTATCTTTATATGTGCACTATTAATATGAACACGGGTGGCACTGTGGGTTAAACCACAAAGCCTAGGACTTGCCAATCAGAAGGTCGGTGGTTCGAATCCCCAAAATGGGGTAAGCTCCCATTGCTCGGTCCCTGCTCCTGCCAACCTAGCAGTTCAAAAGCACGTCAAAGTGCAAGTAGATAAATAGGTACTGCTGTGGCGGGAAGGTAAACGGCGTTTCCGTGCGCTGCTCTGGTTCGCCAGAAGCGGCTTAGTCATGCTGGCCACATGACCCGCAAGCTGTATGCCGGCTCCCTCAGCCAATAAAGCGGGATGAGCGCCACAACCCCAGAGTCGGCCACAACTGGACCTAATGGTCAGGGGTCCCTTTACCTTTATTAGTATGAATGACTTCGGGCTCGCTTTTTCCAAAGGGTGACCAGCAACTGTTCAAGCTCTGTTTCTGATGTTTTGCATAGGGTATAGATTTCAAAAAACCTTCATCCATAAACATCTGGATGGGAAGTTTCATTCTACTCACTGATTCAAAAAGTCACTGGGCAGCATTTGATGTTATTCTGCAAAGAGGAGAACCTTTTGCATGAACATAAGTTCCTTCTGCTCACAAAGCAAGCATGTTGGATGCTACTCACTGACTCTCATATAGCAAGCATCCTGTCGTGTGTTCTTCCTATCACCTACTTCTGACAACCCTGTCTCTGATTCTCCAAAGGCTTTAATATACCCAGGATACAGAAACATAGAGTAGCCTGGATTTAACAACATATCATTCAAAGAATGCCCATAGCATCAGTAGGTCATCAAAGTCTTACTTGTATGCCTTGCTAGGTTTTATTGGGGTGGCTTCAAATCCAATGGGGCAAAAATAATGATTTTGGCAATGATAAATGTAGGCCACAGATTCATCTCGCAGTCCTTCTGTTAGTTTGGTCAAAGCCCCCGAAGCTACAAATTAAAACAAGATAAAAGTCACTGGTAATTTGGATTTAGTCTGCAGTGAGCTTCTAAATACTCTCTGTTTATTAAAACATATTGAAATGCATTAGTCAAAAAAAGGCAATGCAACTGTATCAAAATACGTTTTTTTAAAAACATAAACCCGCTTCAACATTTCTTTGGGTTTTGTTTTTGCAATCGAGTGGTGTATAAATTTTATTACATAAATAAATAAATGAAACCAGCCTCCCCTAACATGGTGGTCTCCACATACTTTGGACTACAACTCCAATCATTCCTGACCTTTGGTCATGCTAGCTAGAGCTGGAATCCAACAACATTTGGAAGGTTGTATTAAATTTGTGTCCTGCCAGAAAGGTTCTGTGTTGCCTCCAGAAGCAGCTGAGGTGAACTGAAGTTTTATTTCAACTGCAATTTCATTTCATTTTTAAGCCACCCTTTCTCCTGTAGGAACCCAGGGTTATGAACAAAATGGGGCACTACCAGTCAGATGGGCAGGTGGCATATAAATAATTATTATTATTCTAGAAGGAGATTCAGCTGAGGCTCTCTCCTGCTCTATTTTGTTTTCAACTGGCATGCTATCCAAGCCCCCTCCACAAGGACAACTCCACAAGGAAGTTTTCTGGCAAAGTTCAAGAATGCATGTTACAAAATAGCATCATTCTTTTTTAAAATTAAACAAAAATCTGCACTGAGTTCAATGTAGATGTTATACAGAAATGTTTTAATAAATAATGCAACTGCTAAGAAATGTTTTAATAAACATAGTGGCTATATATTCTGGTTCTCTTTTCCCTTCTGTCATTTTCTATTGTTCCGTCTGTTTGACAACTCACCTTAATAAAATTAGTTACTTACCAGTCTCCCCAGCCGTCTTATACTTCCCGTGAGGTTTATAGAGAAAATATGAGCATCCTTTTACATGGAAATGGTCGTTAATTTGTCTGAACCACCTGAAGAGCACAAAGTGGAAAAACATAGTACAGTGGTACCTTGGGTTAAGTACTTAATTCGTTCCGGAGGTCCGTTCTTAACCTGAAACTGTTCTTAACCTGAAGCACCACTTTAGCTAATGGGGCCTCCTGCTGCTGCCGTGCTGCCGGAGCACGATTTCTGTTCTCATCCTGAAGCAAAGTTCTTAACCTGAAGCACTATTTCTGGGTTAGCAGAGTCTGTAACCTGAAGCGTATGTAACCTGAAGCGTATGTAACCTGAGGTACCACTGTACTCTTAAAAGACAACACCTCTGGTCCATCATAGCCCCAGAAAACGATTCCCTCTGCCCCACTTTATTTCTCCTTTAAATGCTATGAACATCATACGAAATGGCTATGTGTTCACAACATGCCCCGATTAAGCATGTAGCAAAATGATTCTATGCATTGTCAAATAAGTGTGCACAGGATTGCAGCCTCTCCTTCCCCAGTGCTTTCTGCTTATTTCACTTCACTGCACTGTAAAAGCAGGTCTTACAGGCTAAGTTGCTTCACATGCCCTTCTCCTCTGAACCTAAGGGCTGGTCAGTCACATGCCAGAAGCATCATTAACACAACAAAGCATGTTAGTGCATTTCTGCATAAATGTTACCTGCACGTTTTTAAAGCTTTGTACATATTTATGGACCACAATTTGTCAATTAAAACTTTATCCACTTTCGGGTCTCCTTGGAAGCAAGCCCCACTGAACTCAATGGTGTTTACACCAAGGGAAGTGAGTAGATTGCAGCCCTAGCAAAGTTCTATAGATTAATAATAACTGAATGCCATTTAAGATACTTTTTTTAAAAAAGATGCACGTATAACCCTGTAGAATAGCGCAAGGTATAGCAAGAACAGCTTTACCTCATTAATGTTGTATTTCCAGTAAATGGCCCAAATCTAATTTCTTCGAAAGGAGGTTGAAATCCCAATATATGCAAAGCCTCTTCTTGAGTAATAGGAGGTAAGCTGGTTAAAAATAAGATGAAAATGTAAGGAATTATCACTTTAAAAAGCAAGGATTAGGCTATTTCTTTAGAACACTGACTAGGATGTAAGTCCCACTAAATCCAGTAGGACTTACCCCGAAATGAAAATAGTTAAATAGCTCCATCAAGTGACTTACTTTCCAGCTCCCATTGTGCTATAGAGGAAATTCCAGCAAGAGACTAATGAGGAAATCCCACATGAAGTCTTATATTGAGGGCGACTTATACAATACCTTTAAAAGAACACATTGCTTAAGTTTAGGCAGCCATGTCAAGACGTAAAGGAAAACAATGTATTTCACTTTTGACAAATTAATAGATACATATATTCAGTCACAGAATTTGCTTCGCAACTGAATAGCTAGCTCCGCTCAAGAAAACCATTATCTCAGCACTCTCTCACTCCATGCGTTGCATCCACCTAAATAGTTCCACAAGCATACACAATCCCCTCCCTCTACCCGCACACCCCTAAATCTGTCCTGGAGGGATGGGGGAACCCCCAAAATTTATGTAGAGGATGTACTGGGAGCCAGAGGTGATCGCACCAGAAGAACTGTTTGGTTGGAAAACGCCCTTATAGTTATCTTAAGTAATGCAGAGATGTACCTAGAAGTGCTTCACTAGAGCTTAATAGCCAACAGGACAGCAAAAAAGTTTGACAAAAGAGAGACCTCTTTAGGAAACAGATATATAGGTTCCCGAACAGGATTCCACTTATTATTTCAAGGCAGATGTATTGCTGTATTTTTATTTTTATTATTGCTGGAGACAGACCTATCACGTTGAAATACTGATGGAAACTTCATCCATTTTAGAGGTTGGGGGAAAACCTGGGGCCTTTACTGTCAACACATATGCTCCAGATCCAAAGAAGTAATCTGAAATATTCTCAGCCAGCATTTCACACTTAAAACGTTCAGGGCTGTTGTTATTCTTGCTCCTTTGAGGAGGCAAGACACCTGTCTATGATCGAGTGCAGAGCTACACACAAACTTGTAATGGAGCCACAACAAAGTAGCCTTATAATCATAGATTCCTAGAAATGTAAGGTGGGAAGGGACCATGAGGGTTATGTTGGTTTAATGCTTCCGGAAACAAAAAACACTCCTGTGATTTGAATAATCTCACCATAAACAGAGCTGTACCCAACATGGATTTTAAAAATATTCATCTTTACACATTCAAAATTAAAAAATTAAAAAATAGCTTTTGAAAACTACCATCTTCGGAGATCTAACACTTTCCGTTGTTTTATTTCTTCAAGAGCATAATGTTGCGGACATTCTCTGTATTGTTTACTCTTCTTTTCTACAGACATCTTCTTGGTTCCTTGCTTCTTTATGTTGCCTGTCAAATAAGTTTAATCATTATTCTTCAGTTAGACAAAACATTATACATGAGCTTATTCGGAAGGCAGGTAAGGATATAAATTTAATAATAAACTTTAAAAGTCAGTTTTCTGAGAGAATTGCAAAAAGAAAAAAAAGCAATCTACAATTGGGAAATTTTTCTATGTGGTCATGCTGAACTCCAAATTAAAACCAAAATATGAAGTGTGGACTGTGTAAGTGTACATAGCTTGGTTTCATTTGCTTAATTTACACTGTGCACAAGTTAGATTTGGACTATTTTGACAAGGGAAAGAGATATGGTTTTGGCGCAGGCATGGCCAAACTTGGCCCCCCAGCTGTTTTGGGACTACAACTCCCATCATCCCTAGCTAACAGGACCAGTGGTCAGGGATGGTGGGAATTGTAGTCCCAAAACAGCTGGAGGTCCAAGTTTGGGGATGCCTGGTTTAGGGTATAGGAGACATACACAGAAAGCAAAACATGAATTGGAAGACAGGCTGCTCAGGAAAAGCATTTTGGTTCCTGAAATTCATTCCAATTACGCAGATAAAATATAACTGATGGAATTCTACAGGATTAGTGTGTGAAAAGAGTCCCGATCCAATGATCCCCAGGCATGCACCTCCAGAGGGTGGAAGTGTCAGGTGAGCTATCCTGGCGCCCAGGCATCTTCACTTGGTCGCAAGCGGGCCGATAGCCAGGTACAAAATGCGCCTGGCTAATTTTTAGCATTGCCTGGAATCTGGTGCAGTGAAGGGGAATCTTCCCCTGCCCCATCTTCAATTCTCACCAGTGGGAGTACCACGGCTGTGAATACAGCTGGGACTACAGCACTCCAACCAGTGCCAGCCAGGAGTTTATATTACAACCTAAGTATATTTTTCAGGAGTTGCTTTCCATTTATTAAGATAAAAACACCACCACCACCGAACGTTCCATCAAAATAATTGTATATACCTGCTCGATTCTTCAGCTCTGGGGATGTATCACTGAATTCAGACTTATCAATTTCCCACGCCAATGGGAGCTTTCCAAGGCTACTGGACAAACTTTCCAAGTGAGTATCTTCATTGTAAACTATGTCTGATGCGCCAGTCCGAATGCCAATGAAGCCAGGCGAATTGTTCCTAACATTTAAGGCAGCGTTGTCTTGTAGGCAGGCACTAACTGTAGCACTTGGGCTTTTGTGAGCGGATGTTACCTGGTTTAAGAAAGCATAGTCTGAACAGATAGTGTAAAACTTTTCTCGGGTGTGAGTGACGGGGCATCCCCACGGATAATGCCTGTCCCCACTAGATCCAAGAGAGGCAACAGTGGCACCGGCAGCACAGAACGGTTTTACAGTACCATGAAGATTCACTTCTGAAGCTGTTCTTCCAGGTCCATGCTCGTTTTCTCCAGAACCACTCTCTAGCTGAGAGTCTGCAATGTTAGGCATTGAATGAATATACAAAGCTTTTCCAAGGTAATAAACGGACAGTGAGCCGGGGGCTCCTTTCCAACTCAGACGCTGCCTACATCGCTTCCTCCAGATTTACGAGATAATTTCAAATTGTCTGAAATAAAGAAAAGAGCATGTTATGTTTTCAGATAATAATAATAAGTATGCCAGAATTCTTTGCAGCAAAACTTGGGGCTGCTACACAATTTATTTTCTCCATGTACCTGCCCAAGCATGGGACGCGGGTGGCGCTGTGGGTTAAACCACAGTGCCTAGGACTTGCCGATCAGAAGGTCAGCGGTTCGAATCCCCATGACGGGGTGAGCTCCCGTTGCTCGGTCCCTGCTCCTGCCAACCTAGCAGTTCGAAAGCACGTCAAAGTGCAAGTAGATAAATAGGTACTGCTACGGCGGGAAGGTAAACGGCGTTTCTGTGCGCTGCTCTGATTTGCCAGAAGCAGCTTAGTCATGCTGGCCACATGACCCGGAAGCTGTATGCCGGCTCCCTCGGCCAATAAAGCGAGATGAGCGCTGCAACCCCAGAGTCGGTCACGACTGGACCTAATGGTCAGGGGTCCCTTTACCTTACCTGCCCAAGCCACCTTATTATATCCTCCTTTGAGGCAAGAAACCACAACTTGAAGGGGGAGACCTACATTTAGGAAACTATTACAACAAATCCACGTAATGCTGCGCACCTACACTCCCTGAGCGTGTCAGGAGGGTTTGTGTTGTGCGTGCGTGTGAAATTATTAGAACTAGACAAAGGTTCCCAGACAGTAAGTGAACACAATCCCTGAAGCCAAAGGATGCTCACTTCCGGGGGGCCAAAGGCAAAGGCTTGCAACAGAGTGCATAGTCCCCCACAGCACCTAGACTTCCAAGGCTCAACTGCCTCTGAACATGGAGGCTCTAACTCGCTTACCATGGCTAACGAGAAAGCCATTGGCAATCATAAATGACTTCATAACTGGACATATTCAGGCTGACACACGCAGGGAAAAGGAAAATAATTAGAGCACCTCATTTGAAATCCTACGGAAAGTTAGGTGAGGCATTGACACGAACAGCAATCGCTAAGAACGCCGCTGTTCTCTTAATGGTTCATATACCAACTAAAACGCAATTAGATGTTCATAAAAAAAAATATGAATTGTAAGAACTGGACGGAAAACATGGATCAAGGAGCACGGGAAACCACTTTGATTAAATTGCATAAATTTTGGAAATGATAATTATTTTGATATCAATTGGAATCTGTATGTAATTGGCAACACTGTGGTAATATTGGGTAAATATTGGAAAATTATATATATATTAAAATGTTATATATATATGAATGAAAGACATTGGCAGGCCTAGTGTCCTCCACCCAACTGCTTTCCCCAACGTGGCAAAAAATAAGAATAGGGGGTCGGTTGCCTTGTTTGCTTCTCCCCCCCCAAAAAAAAATATAATTCCCCTTTTTCCTGGCTCCATTGTGAGTCCACCCCTGAATAAGGCGCAACAACAGAGCCTGTACTAAACCAGCACTCGCAGCACACGCCCCGCCCCCCGGACTTTCCCCGCTTTTCTCGAGCAGAGACCCTCACTGCCCGCTCACCCCCCCCTAACCCCAACCTCCGCGGGGGGTGAGTGTTCTCCTCCCCGCTGCCTCTCCTCTTTACCTGCTTGGCGGCGGCCATGACTCGCATCAGCACCAGCATCACCAACAGCGCGCGCTCTCTCCCTCTCGCGCCGCCCCCTCCGAGCTCACCTGAGAGCGCGCGCGCCAGCGGGCACGCACACATATACCCAGCTCGCGCGCAAGCCCCGCCTCCGCCCTGCAATCCTACGGGACCCACGCGAGGAGGAGGAGGGCGCGCAGCCGGAGAGGCGAAAGCTGCCTTGCAGCCCCGCCTCGCTCCTCCTCCGGAAAGAGGCCCCGGGAAAGCAACAGCATCAGCCTACAAACAGCTTGGGAAGGGTTTGGAATAGGTAGGCTAACTTGGGAGGGGGGAGTTGATCATTTTGATCATGGCTATTTTATCCGAGATAGCTTTGCTCCACTCTGTCCAGGTCTTTGTTAATTTGTCGTCCCTGGTCATGTTGTGCGGATGCCTGAAGATCGTCTTCCAAAGCAACTACAGTGGTACCTCGGGTTAAGAACTCAATTTGTTCCGGAGGTTTGTTCTTAACCTGAAACTGTTCTTAACCTGAAGCAGTATTTCTGGGTTAGCAGAGTATGTAACCTGAGGTACCACTGTACTCAATTCCGTACTTAAAAATGGAAAGCGTAATGCTGGTGGTCAACAAAAGAGGTTTAAAGAGACTCTCAAGGCAAATCTTGAAAAATGTAGTATAAACACTGACAACTGGGAAACACTGGCCTGCAAGCGCTCCAGTTGGAGCCTTTATCGAAGGTGTCATGGGGTTTGAAGACACTCGAACTCAGGATGCAAGGGAGAAACGTGCTAAGAGGAAGGCAACCTTGGCAAATCCACACTGTGATCAGCTCCCGCCCAGAAACCAATGTCCCCACTGTGGAAGGACATGTGGATCCAGAATTGGCCTCCACAGTCACTTACAGACTCATTGTTAAAACCGTGTTTATGGAAGACAATCTTACTTGGCTATGAATGATCACCAAAAAGGAAGAAGAAGAATTTGTTGCAGTTTTTTGTTTATTTGCACCCCTAGGTATCCGAACTTGGTGAGGCAGAGTTTTATCTCGGTGATGTTGGCAAATTCTTTTTGGACAGGCTTCCTCAACCTCAACCTCCAGATGTTTTGAGACTACAATTCCCATCATCCCTGACCACTGGTCCTGCTAGCTAGGGATCATGGGAGTTGTAGGCCAAAAACATCTGGAGGGCCAAGGTTGAGGAAGCCTGTTTTTGGATATGGGGTGTTGAAGCACATAGCCTCAGATTTTGCAAAGTTTACTTGTAGGCCCAAATGTGTTGCGAATGTGTCGACCACCAAGGAAACGTAACAAGTGCCCAAGTGACGCTGACACAAAATCCCAAGCGTACACTAAGTAAAAGAACATATGCTTTCCCATAGCACCCCCCCTCTCCCGTCCCCTCTTTTCTTCCCAACCCTACACTGCATATAACACCAATGTCTCACGACAAATGTAACTGATCTGTAGAAAACGCCAACCTGAAGAAAGAGACAATGCGTGTGCTTTTGTAAACGATGAAAATCTTTAACAATTTTTTTAAAAAATACAAAGAATACAGTGGTACCTCAGGTTACATACACTTCAGGTTACATACGCTTCAGGTTACAGACTCCGCTAACCCAGAAATAGTGCTTCAGGTTAAGAACTTTGCTTCAGGATGAGAACAGAAATCGTGCTCCGGCAGCGCGGCAGCAGCAGGAGGCCCCACTAGCTAAAGTGGTGCTTCAGGTTAAGAACAGTTTCAGGTTAAGAATGGACCTCCGGAACGAATAAAGTACTTAACCTGAGGTACCACTGTATTATTCTTTTTCTTTTTTAATTTAAACAAACAAATATCCTCACAGCTAATCATTTCATGGTTGCCAGCAATGGCATATTTCAGCCATCAAACGTGGCTGAAGGTGATTAGGTTATGGTTTTTTGAAAAAATCCTCCTGAATGTTAATAACGAGGGAAGCGTAGAATTCTAGAGTTGGAAGGGACCCCCAAGGGGCATCTAGTCCAGCCTCCAGGTACAGCTCACCAGAAACCATGGGCGTAGCCAGGGTTTTTGTTAGGAGGGGCACAACCGAAATGATGGGTCAGTTAGTTAAGTATTTCTGTTGTTTTACTTGTTCTGGGAGGGGCAGCTGCCTCCCTTGCCTACGCTCATGACAGGAACGTAGGAAACTGCCGTATACTGAATTGGTCCATCTGCAGTTGGCTCTGCAAGATTTCCAGCAGGGTTCCCTCTCAGCCCTACCTGGAGACGCCAGGGATTCAACCTGGGGTTTTCCGCATGTTTCTTGGCATCCATCTTGTCTCGAGAGGCAATGGAGTACACCTCCAGGGGCAAAGCCAAATAGCATGTTCACAGCACTGAAGTGACCTCCCAGGGCACAAGCCTGGGATGCCCAGACAAGACCCCCTCTTGGCCTTGCTGATGCGGCTTGAAGGAAAGCACAGCAACACGCTTGGCACCAGCTTGGCTGCAGGAGTTAGCAGGAGGCGTACAAGGCGCCACCCAACCATTTTAGGGACTCCACTCCAGATTTGCATACTCCTTAGCTGTTTCTTCTCCGAAAGATGTCCCACAAGGCAACAGACATAGGAGCTAACTCCTAAGGGCTGAGTTTCCTTTGGGGCCCCCAATAAAATATTGGCGGGCCCCTTCCTAAGCTGATGGGCATCCTCATTCAAATGGTGTGCATGCACTGTGTCTTGTGATTCATTATGCATGGTGGGGCTTGCCTGGGCCTCCCCAATATTTTATTCAAGTTGGCGCCCCTGGCAGCAGAGGTTTAGGATCAGTTTTCCTTCTCGTAGATGGGCTACCTTCCCAGGTAGTTCATTGGCCCCTCAGTTCCCTCTACAGTATGTGCAGAAACTGCCTTCTTGTCCGTTGGTTCCACTATTGGTCTCATCCGCTCCATCTGCCAGAGACTGTGTTTGCCTATCTTGCCAGGTTTGAGATCCACCTGCTACCCTCAATTACCCTTAGTTGGCCAGTCATGGCCATTTCCCAGGGTGTGGCTGCTGCTGCATGCTGACAGCTTCTAGGAGCCACAGGTGAGGCTGAGTGCAGGGTTGGGACCTCTTGCTGCACCAATTGGAAGGTCGGCGGTTCAAATCCCTGCGACGGGGTGAGCTCCCGTTGCTCGGTCCCAGCTCCTGCCCACCTAGCAGTTTGAAAGCACGTCAAAGTGCAAGTAGATAAATAGGTACCACTCCGGCGAGAAGGTAAACGGCGTTTCCATGCTTCACCAGAAGCGGCTTAGTCATGCTGGCCACATGACCTGGAAGCTGTACGCCGGCTCCCTCGGCCAATAAAGCGAGAAGAGCGCCGCAACCCCAGAGTCGGTCACGACTGGACCTAATGGTCAGGGGTCCCTTTGCCTTTATACAAAAGGAGAGTTTTCCACTAGAGTCCCGCTAGTCCCACTTTATTATACCTTGGTCAGACCACACCTGGAGTTCTGTGTCCAGTTTTAAAAGGTTACAGTGGTACCTCGGGTTAAGTACTTAATTCGTTCCAGAGGTCCGTACTTAACCTCAAACTGTTCTTAACCTGAAGCACCACTTTAGCTAATGGGGCCTCCTGCTGCTGCTGCGCTGCCGGAGCATGATTTCTGTTCTCATCCTGAAGCAAAGTTCTTAACCTGAAGCACTATTTCTGGGTTAGTGGAGTCTGTAACCTGAAATGTATGTAACCCGAGGTACCACTGTATTGTCAAGCTGGAAGGTGTGCAGAGCAGGGAGACCAAGACGACCGAGGGTCTAGAAACCAAGCCTTATGAGGAATGGTTGAAGGAGCTGGGGATGTTTAGCCTGGAAAAGAGGAGATTGAGAGGAGGTATGATATTTTAATGGCAGTCACATGGAAGATGGAGCAAGGTTGTTTTCTCCAGCTCTGGAGGGTAGGACATATAAACCAAAGGCTTCAAGTTACAAGAAAGGAGATTCTGACTCCCTGTCAGTAGGAGTTGTTAGACAGTGGAAAGGTCTCTTTCTGGAGGTGTTCGGCTCTCCTACCCTGGATGGTTGGATGGCCGTCTGTCATGTATATTTGAGGGATAGCTCAGCTGGTTGACCGTGAGACTCTTAATCTTAGGGTCGTGGGTTCAAGCCCCATAAAATCGTAGAGTTGGAAGGGACCCTGAGGTCTAGTCCACCCCCCTGCAATGCAGGAACACGCAGCTGTCCCATACAGGGACCTCGGCACCGAGGTGTAACCAACTGAGCTATCCAGGCCGCAATAAATTACGCCGCAATAAATCTGTGAAATCTTCAAGATGCTACGATTCCTGCATCGCGGGGGGGGGGGGATGGGCTGGATGACCCTCGGCGTCCCTTTCCAACTTTATCCGCGCCCTGATCTCCCCGTGCTCCGCCAACCCCCGGCTGCCCACCGCTGTTTCGCCACCTCGTCGCCCCACAACATCTCCTTGCTGGACTACATTTCCCGGCATGACTGTTGAGCGTGGGAAGCGGCTCCCGTGTGGTTTTCCCCTTCGGAAGAAGAAGTTTTCGTGGGACCGACGAGCCCGCCCGCTCCCCTTCTCTCTCCCCCCCCCACTCCGCCCCTCTCTTTTCCCCGCGCCGGAGGAGCGCAAAGGCTCCGGGCGTTGTTAGCAGGGGCTGCCGTCGCAAGACAAAGGAACTGGCATGCGGCTGCCGTCCCGGAGCCTCTCCCCGCTCATGCATCGCCCAGACAAAGGCCGCCTCTCCCTTGCAGCTTTCGGACGAGGGCAGGAAGCGGAGGAGACACCCGATCGCACCGCGCTGCCTTCCGTCCTGCAAAAGTGCCGTCTCTAAGCGCGAGAGAGACGCTCGCCTCCCTCCCCCGCTTTGCCCTTTGCTCCTTCGACGGGAAGCTCTGTAAATGTTCCGCCTGGGGCTGACTTGCTACTGGCCTTTGGGGACGGTGATCCTGGCCCTTTGCGAGTCGGCTGCGGGCAGCCAGCTGAGCCCCGAGAAGAGTGGGGTATGGGGACCCGGCCTGAGAGCAGAGGTGGTCCTCCCCGCCCGGTATTTTTACATCCAGGCTGTGGACACGGAAGGGAAAAGGTAATTCGGTGTAACGCTTTTTTTTGTTTTGTTTTTAAGCGGGTGGGAATGGGGCTGGGGAGGAGTTAAGGTGGATGCGAAGCGATGCGAGAGCCTGGCTTGGCGGATCTGGAAACGGATTTGCATGCCCGTCGCAGGAATCCGGAAGAGGCGCTGCGTTTTGGAAAGAAAAGCAACTTTTGCGCGTGTTTATGTGTGTGCGTGATCCGCTCTGCCCTCGGTATACAGCTCTGCGGAGAGAGAGGCGATTTAGCAAACTTTGATTGGTTGCCCCAGGGCACTCTTCAGTAAGGAGCTGCGAGTAAATCTGTGCTTTTGGAAACGTCCTTAGAAAACTCACACTTATCCGCTTTATGTGTATGCTTCAAAACAGTGTTAGAAACTGAGATATGAAAGCTAGGAACAAAAGGGCTCCTTAAACCGAGGTTATGGGCACAACAACGGAATGTCTTTTTTTTAATAACAAGAATACAAAGCTGAAAATGAAGAAACAGCAGCTAAAGCCTTGTGTTCATTTTTCACATGGTCTAGTCCTTCCCCTGCCCACCCTCCTAATATCTCTTCTCCAGTCTTCAGAGAGTAACTGGAAGTGGGGAAGCAGAAAAAGGTCCTTCTTTCCTTCCACTCTGCAGTTTAATCTGAAATCTTAGGCACAGTACTGCACCCAGAGCTCAGAAACTGCTCGTGCTATTGAAATTCCCGGTCACAAAATGCGCCTAGAACAATGGGAGTTTTGAACGCTGCTTGAAAGTGCAGTGTGTGATGTTTGGCCCAGAAAGGTGCGCTCATTTGGGAGCAAACACGGGCGTAGTGTGGTGGGGGGTCAGGGGGGCCCAGGTGCACAGTTTTCAAGGGCACCCCCAAGCAGAGATGCCTTTCCCACCCTGCCTGCCGTCAGGGGGTCTCTGGGCCCCAGAGCCTGGCCTGGCCTTGCCTCCATGTACCCAGCGGCTGAGTTCTGTACACCCTCCACGCGCCGGGCACCAGCAAACTCCGCAATGTTGCTGGGAGGAAAGGGGCAAATTGTGAATGCCCCAGATCAGTGGTTCTCAAAGGGTGTGGCAAGAGAGGATGGCAAGTGTGGCAGGGAGCTACAAGGACGATCAAAGAAACATTTAAATGTTTCAGTGTAGTATAGTAGCGAAATATTATTTTTTTGCAGAATGCGGATAAGATATCTTTTCAAAACGAGAGCCTCAAAGGAGACTGAAGAGAATCCTAGTTGTGTTCTCCAATGCATTTCTTATCAATAAAAAAACCCTGATGTAGTGCAAGCAAATTTTTAATCGGAAAGTGGGGCACAGAGAAAACATTTAGAGAACCACTGCCCTGTAGCTTGCTGTCCCTCGGGCTTAATACACATGCATCTAGACGTGTGATTTGGGTGGGCATAATTTTGCGTGTGTGTGCATTGGTTTGCATACTATAGCAAGCCAAGAGTGTTATCTGTACTCAGGCTTGTGGTTAAGCTCTTTCCTCCTTAATCATGAGCTGCAGCCAAGAAAAATCTCTGACAATAGATGGTTACGGAGGAGTGAGCTTAATATCAAGTCCCCTTTCAATGGTGCAATCTTGTCCCTGGGAGCCTGCACAGCTGCCCTGAGCCATAGTTAGGCCACATCTGCAGGCATGTAATGCGAAGCTAATGCATTTAATGCAAATTTCTACATAGAATTTCAGGAATACAGAATTTCTTCCAGTCTCTTTTTTGTTCTCTTAAAAAAAAAAATTATTTTTGTGACTTTTAAAATGCCTTTGGATCCTACATATAGGTCTGTGTTGGATTTCATATTGTCTTGGACAACCGAGGTCCTTCTTTGGGGAAAATATTTGCAATTCCTGCCCTTTTTGGCTATGGTCCTAAACACAGTCAGACTGATTAAATTGACTTCAGCTGCTTAATGGTTTGCAGTGCTGGACCTGCTATAATTTAAATAAGGTTGTAATTTAACCAATGTAACATTAAAAAGAAAAAAAACTTGTAAAGTCTACTGCACTTCAAGTTCATTCCAACTTTGTTCTTGAATTTGAATCCCTGATGTTTTTCCACTATATAGAAATGATTGGAAATAGAAAGAGAATGAGGCATGAATTTACGTGAGTTTGGGTGGGAAATCGTGTTATAATGGAAGCAAAGAAACTGAGCAGTTCATCAGTGGTTGAGTTTAACTCCACTGGTCTTTTCGGAGCTTCCAGACCTTCAAAAGGAAGTGTGTTTTTTCACATGGCGCAAAATGAACTTGTGGAATTCACTGCCACTAGATGTGGGGATGGGCAGTTGGTTAGATGGCTTAGTCAGAGGATTAGTCAAAGGTCTGATCAGTGGCTACTAGTCACAATGGCTACAAGCAGCCTCCAAGTTTCAGAGGCAGTAAGCTGGGGAACAACCGGAGGACAGGGCGACTGTGGACTTAACTGAGGCATTCTTGTTTGCTCCTATGAGAAAAAGGATTCTAGATTTGACCTTTGGGCTGATCCACGAAGATACAACTTACTTTTTTTCCTTCTTTATAAACGGGGGAAAATTCAGCCTGAAACTGAGCCTGAAAAAATTCAGCCTGAGACTGAAACCAAGGAACCTAAAGGTAAAGGATCCCTGGACGGTTAAGTCCAGTCAAAGGCAACTATGGGCTTGCGACGCTCATCTCGCTTTCGGGTCAAGGGAGCCGGCATTTGTCCACAGACTAAACTGCTTCTGGTGCAACAGGACACCGTGACGAGTGCCAGAGTGCATGGAAACACCATTTACCTTCCCGTTGCAGCAGTACCCGTTTATCTGCTTGCGCTGCCATGCTTTCAAATTGCTAGGTTGGCAGGAGTTGGGACAGAGCAACTGGAGTTCACCCTGTCACGCAGATTTGAACCACTGACCTTCTGATCAGCAAGCCCAAGAGGCTCAGTGGTTTAGACCACAGCGCCACCCGCGTCCCTTCTGCCAAGGAACCTACAAAGCACTTAAACACATATTTCAGTTTCAGTATAATACATGACATTATAGTATCTTCATGAGCTATGCTAGTGTGGGGAGGAACCATGCAGGTATTTTAGATAGGGAGGGGTGTTAAAACACTACCTTTTCTTGCATTCACATCTGGGGGGGAAAGGTTACTGAAAACATTTAGCTCAGTAGGCATGTTTGCAAGTTAGCTTATCCAGCTCTGGGTATTGGTAGAAAACTTCTGGAAAACCTTGGTGTTCAGCAGAAGTTTAATTCCTGAGAGACAGCTCATCCGCTATTACTGATGCATGCAATATGTACCTAATGTGGGGTGACAGTGATGCTCAGCAGGCCTGGTCAGCACTTCAGATTAACTGAATAGACACAACCGACCCCAGAATACGTTGCAGTATACAAGGGGTTTCTTGGCAGATGAGCTGCTGTGGAAAGACTTCCCTAGAAATAAAAAGTACAGTGGTACCTTGGTTACATACGCTTCAGGTTACATATGCTTCAGGTTACAGACTCCGCTAACCCAGAAATAGTACCTCGGGTTAAGAACTTTGCTTCAGGATGAGAACAGAAATCATGCTCCGGCAGCGCAGCAGCAGCAGGAGGCCCCATTAGCTAAAGTGGTGCTTCAGGTTAAGAACAGTTTCAAGTTAAGAACGGACCTCTGGAACGAATTAAGGACTTAACCCGAGGTACCACTGTAAATAAATTGAAAAGCAGAGTATCAGATAATATGAAATATTTCAGCTGTCGGTGAGACCCATTCCCTTGTTGGTTTAACTTTACAATCCCCAAAGTTTATCCTTAAACTTTTCAACTCGGGTCTAGAATTCTAAGCCGAAGGGGGGGGAAAAAAGTTTGATTTCATCGTCACCATCTTTGTTTCCCTGCATAGGTTTACCGTCTCTCCGGGTGAAAATGCATTTCAAGTAAAGATCACGGCTCCTGAGGAGCAATTTACGCGGGTAGGAGTGCAAATATTAGACAGGAAAGATGGCTCCTTCATCGTCAGGTACAGGATGTATGCAAGCTACAAAAACCTGAGAATCGAGATTCAGGCCCAAGGAGTGCACGTTGCCAAATCTCCATATAGCCTGAAAGGTACAAAAATGGCATCTCATGTAGTAGCATTAATCCACACTGTTGGGAGACTCTTATGCGTTGTAATTGGGACTGAAGTTTCCCTTGCAAAAGTGAAACCAACTTATTGGATGTACCCACTCCTCCCAGTGGACCATTAATCCCCCTTTCTGTCTTCCACAATATGGGCAATGATCTCAATGCAAGGAAGGAGAAAAGATTTACCTGAATTGTGTGACGAATAATAATAATAATAATAATAATAATAATAATAATTTATTATTTATACCCCACCCATCTGGCTGAGTTTCCCCAGCCACTCTGGGCAGCTCCCAATCAAGTGTTAAAAACAATACAGCATTAAATATTAAAAACTTCCCTAAACAGGGCTGCCTTCAGATGTCTTTTAAAGATAGGATAGCTGCTTATTTCCTTCACATCTGAAGGGAGGGTGTTCCACAGGGTGGGTGCCACTTCCGAGAAGGCCCTCTGTCTGGTTCCCTCTAACCTCACTTCTCGCAATGAGGGAACCGCCAGAAGGCCCTCGGCGCTGGATCTCAGTGTCCGGGCTGAACGATGGGGGTGGAGACGCTCCTTCAGGTATACAGGACCGAGGCCGTTTAGGGCTTTAAAGGTCAGCACCAACACTTTGAATTGTGCTCGGAAACGTACTGGGAGCCAATGCAGATCTCTCAGGACCGGTGTTATAGGGCCACTCCCAGTCACGCGTCTAGCTGCCGCATTCTGGATTAATTGCAGTTTCCGGGTCACCTTCAAAGGTAGCCCCACGTAGAGCACATTGCAGTAGTCCAAGTGAGAGATACCTAGATTCAGAGATGCATGGACTCATCTCTGAGCATTTACTGCAGGGATATGACACCTGTAAGAGCCATAGTTCCCTCAGCCCTGTTTTACAGAATGAGCACAGGCCCTGGTGCGACTCCGGGAGGCGATATCAGCTAGGCTGTCCCACAGCTGCAAGAAGAATGCCTGTCCATTGTTCTGGGAATTGGTGGAGAAAATATAGACGTATCGTTCTGAGGGTTAAGAATAAAACCACTGTCAAATTTTAATCCAGAAAAAAAGCCTGTGCCCTCCATCATCAGAAGTCTTGAAAAATATGTGTTTTGGACAGTGCTCTAGAAAACCAGGTGTCTTACTAGATATAACGAGGTGCTTCAAATTAATTGTAACTCATCAAATGTGTACAATATGTGACTGCAAACACACGCCTTAAAACAAATTTATTGCGTACAGGACCCGTCTATCATGAGAACTGCGATTGCCCCCAGGAAGATGGAAATGTGTGGCTGGAAGAAATGAGCTGCCCTCCATCCATTTTGCAGATTCAAAGAGATCTGGCGCATTTCCCCACCGTCGACCCTGACAAAATTGCCAAAGAAATCCCACAGCGGTTTGGGCAGAGGCAGAGCTTGTGCCATTACACCATAAAAGACAACAAGGTACGCACTCCAGCCACGGAAGTGGCTGTTTTTGCAAATAAACGTATGATACAATCCCTGGAGATCAATGGAGGGTAGTCATTGCTCCTCTGGAGCCTGCTGTTCAGCTGACAAAAATCAGCTGATGTCCTTATGCAAGTACCTGGCATATGCATGTACCTGCCAGTCACAGTAAACCCTACTGAGGTAGATGGAGCAAGGGTCTGCCTTGTTGTAAGGCAAGCTTCCTAAATTCCTACACGTAGCGCATACATCAGTGAAACCATCCTCTGGGTACAGGGCAGCATGTTCATTCAATAAATAAAAAAATAAAATAAATCCATTTATCTGGCCATACTACTAATAGGTAAAGGTAAAGGGACCCCTGACCATTAGGTCCAGTCCTGACCGACTCTGGGGTTGCGGTGCTCATCTCATTTTATCGGCCAAGGGAGCCAGCGTACAGCTTCCGGGTCATGTGGCCAGCATGACTAAGCTACTTCTGGCGAACAGAAAGCAGCGCACGGAAACGCCGATTACCTCCCCCCTGGAGCGGTACCTATTTATCTACTTACACTTTGACGTGCTTTCAAACTGCTAGGTTGGCAGGAGCGGAGACCGAGCAATGGGAGCTCACTCCGTTGCGGGGATTCAAACCGCCGACCTTCTGATCGGCAAGTCCTAGGCTCTGTGGTTTAACCCACAGCGCCACCCGCTAATAGGTAACCCGAGGCTAAAGAGAACACAAGAACTCAGGAAGAGCCAAGGAAAAACCGAAAGAATTATTTTGCTAAATCAGACCAAGTTCCACCTAGTCTGGCATGAGAAAACCAGTTGCAAGTGTGTAGTAGTTTATGCGGGGGCAATTCCCATCCTTGCTTATATTGTCTGCAGCATCTGATATTCAGAGAGAAACTGCCTCTGAATGTGGTTACTAGCTGTTGATGGACCATGAATTTATATAATGTTTTTAAAAAATTCTTAACAGAGCAGTTATTGCAACATCTTGTGGCAGTAAACGTTGATAATGCATTGTGAAGAAAATACCCACCTTTTGCCGTGAACAAGAGATTTTTCTCCAAAGGAGGGCGATGGTAATATTTCAAAGTAGATGGCGTTGGCAGGCAGGCATCTTGGGGCTGGATTTATTCCCTGAAGACTGGGTCCCTTTCTGGTGAAACGGCTGGCACTCTTGTTAGGAAGGGTTGCTCTTTCCATGACTTCCATCTAATGCTGTGTTGCAGGTCCTTACAGGGTGCTCCTAATTAGGACTTGCTAAAACTGTTACTGTTGGCCTGGCAAATTTGTTGGACATTAGCAATAGCAGCTGTAAGAGCAAGGTTGTTTCCTGTCATATATTCTGTGTTGTTGGTTCTGCAGTCTTAAAGGTACATTAGAAAATGGGGATGATCTGAAGAGTTTAAGCTTTGCCTTTCCTTTCCTTTCCTTTCCTTTCCTTTCCTTTCCTTTCCTTTCCTTTCTATTCTTTTGAGAGGGGAACCTAATTCAAATATGCTCAGTCTGGTTTGTTTGTTTTTAGGTTTACATAAAGACCCACGGGGAACATGTAGGCTTCAGGATATTCATGGATGCCATCCTTCTTTCTTTGACTCGGAAAGTGAGTAGACGTCTTAAAGAACATTGTCGTTACAGATTTTAATTCTGTTTTGCTTTTAAGTCTATGTGCTGTGTCCTCTGCCATGAATATGGCACCTGAAGTGCTGTAGTAAATGGTAAAAAAAATAAAAAAAAATAAACACAATAAAAGGTAAAAACGAGTTAACAATAAAAAATGGCAACCTTGAAATAAACATTAAAATAAAACGTAAAGGACCCCTGGACAGTTAAGTCCAGTGAAAGGCGACTGTGGGGCTGTGGCACTCATCTTGCTTTCAGGCCAAGTGAGCCAGTGTTTGTCCACAGACAGCTTTCTGGGTCACGTTGCCAGCATGAATAAACCGCTTCTGGCGCAACGGAACACTCTGACGGAAACCAGAGTGCATGGAAACACTGTTTACCTTCCCACCGCAGCGGTACCTATTTATCTACTCACTCTGGTATGCTTTCGAACTGCTAGGGTGGCAGGAGCTGGGACAGAGCAACGAGGATTCGAACTGCTGACCTTCTGATCAGTAAGAGGCTCAGTGGTTTAGACCACAGCGCCACCCACATCCCTGAAAACAAATGACAGCCTCCATAAGACACAGGTGGAAAATGGTGCTGTGAGCAAAAGAAACAGAGTCACCCGCCACTAGCCAGCTGGAATGGTTATTTAGAAAAGCATAATTTTAACTAAATACTGAAAGGCCAACGAAGATGTGACTGTCTGAATTTGAGCTAACAGACACCTGGGGACAAGATGGGAGCCTGCAGTCCCCTGTAGCTTGTGTCCCGTGTGGCAAACTAGCCATTCCCAAGTGCTGCTGTCAGCTAGGAGTAACATTATTGTCAAGCAGACTTCCCGATTCCCATCAGTCTGCAGCAGCCCAGGAAAGTTTTCTTAATATACAGTTTCAAATGCTGGTCTTCCTGGCACTGGTGCTAGACAGGGTCCTTTCTAAGAGTCCTAGAAGGGAAGGCTTAAATTGGATCAGAACTGGGCGCTGGGATTAACCTTATTCTTCCTATGTCACCATCGTTTATGCTGAAAACCACGCTGTCATAAATCCTGCTCTGGAAAATCTATTGTCGAAGAGTCCCTGGAGTCGTCTCATCACTGGAATTGCAGCCTATTTGAAAGTAGTAGATGCCTGAAGGGTGTGCCGCAAGAATTGCAAAAACCAAAACCAGATGACTTAGGCAAGTTAGTTCCGTTTGTGCTATTAGGCAGAGCAAATATTCCAGGGTCCCTAATGAGTTTTCCTTACTCCAGAACAAAAAGAGAAGTTTCTATCGCTGCAGGGACAGCTTCTCTGACGGCAGCGCTGCACTGATGAGAAAATTTACAGTCAGCTCAACTGGCATACAGTCGGTGCCGAACTAGATGTGACATGAGAACTCTGTGGTCGGAGACAGTATTGTGTAATGGTTAGGGTTTTGGACTACAGTGGTACCTCGGGTTAAGAACTTAATTCGTTCTGGAGGTCCCTTCTTAACCTGAAACTGTTCTTAACCTGAGGTACCACTTTAGCTAATGGGGCCTCCCGCTGCCACCACGCCACCGCCACACAATTTCTGTTCTCATCCTGAAGCAAAGTACTTAACCCGAGGTACTATTTCTGGGTTAGCGGAGTATGTAACCTGAGGGACCACTGTACTGCTACAGAGACCAGTGTTCAAATTCCCATTCGCTGTGTATCCCCTTGCTACTTCACCTCAAATTCCTTGGGAGAAAGGCAGGAAACAATGGAATGAATGAATGAAATTAACTCCCCTTCTCCTTCTCCTTCTCCTTCTCCTTCTCCTTCTCCTTCTCCTTCTCCTCCTCCTCCTCCTCCTCCTCCTCCTCCTCCTCCTCCTTCTTTATTGAATTTATATCCTGCCCTATACTCGGATGCCTCGGGGCGGTTCACAGAACAAAATCAAAATATAAAACCGCAAAATATATAATCAAAGCAAAAACAGCAACCCAATCACCCCCCCCAAAAAGAACCACATTTTAAAAGGGCATAGGATGTCAATCAAATCCTATAAACAAAAGTTAACTGTACTGAACCTAATCTGGGTCAGAACTGAGTGGTGGGATTGACTTTCCCCCTGCTGTTTCCCCTGCTGAAAATCGCCCACTACCACCAGCGTTAGAAACTGAGTTATGAAAGCTAGGAGCTAAACAGCTCCTTTAACCTAGCTTATGGGCGCAACAACAGAATGTTTAGGCACACTTTTTTTATACAAAGCTGAAATATAATGCCAGCTAAAATATTATGTTGATTTTTCACATGGTTTAGTCCGTCCCCTGCCCACCCCCTAATACTCTTAAGAGAGTCTCTTTTCCAGTCTTCAGAGAGTAGCTGGAACTAGGGGAGGCAGAAAAAGGTCTTCCTTTCCTTCCACTCTGCAGTTTTAATCTGAAATCTTAGGTGCAGTACAGTGCCCAGAGCTCAGAAACGGCTCACACGATTGAAATTCCCAGTCGCAAAATGTGCCTAGAACAACGGGAGTTTCAAACACTTGACTACCACCACCTGCAAGTTGCTATTTACACCCGCTGGTAATATTTACAGTTGTTGATGAAAAGGGGAGGGTATAATTTTGAACATGTTAACCTGCCTTCTCCCTGCACCATGCTTCTGATCAAAACGAGACTTAGTTTTCTCTTCCTTCCCCCACACAGCTGGTTTTTTTTTAAAAAAAAATAAATTAAATTAAATGGCAAAAATTAAAGAACAATCTGCTTAACCTTTTCATTAGGAAAAAAGGAACGAAACCTTGGTCCAATCTGTTCTGTGTCCCATGCTTAAATGTACATTATTTTGTACTTCGTAGATCAGCTATTTTCTCTCATTTTCTGCCTTGAGGGAACTGTTATCCTGAACTGCCTCATGGCTGCCACAGGACTCCTGAGTATTCAAGAGGATTGTAAGGGTGCCCACTCAATTCGCACTGGGTGCCGGTTAGGGCCTTTGGCCCTCACCGTGTGAATTGAAACCGTGACTGTAAACAACAACTCAACACCCAGATCTGTCTGCGCATTGCAGGGGGAGATTGATAGCAGAGGGCAAGCTCTCTGAGCTATCTGCCATTACTGATATTCTAACTGAAGTACCCCTTCAAAACTTGCAAGGAAACACGGGATTCCCTAGAACCCAGTATGGATTGCACCTTCATTCGAAAGATGTCGCCACGAACATTAAGGGAAAATGTGCTTCAAGAAGTCTGTTGGAAAATATGTGAATAGATGTAGCCTGAACTTAGTTCAAGAAATAGAATGGCTTGCAATTCACATTGGGATTATAAACCAGCAGGTGGCATTGCGCTCCTAAAGATTTCGGTGTACATGTTTCCTTTTACCCTAAGAAGGCAGAAGACAAATGCAACATGTTGGCTTATCCCTGCCTTCCAAAAGCCTGTCCAGAGTTGCTTCTCAGAGAAACTCACTTATCTTGGTTGTAGTGGGTCAAGAAAATGAGCTATGAACAAACCACTCCATTTCAGGCTTCCTTTTTTAAATGTGAGGAGATGACAATAAAACTGGTCTAGCTTGCAGGGTTATGATAAGTGTAATATATGTGCAGCACTTAAGCAAATGTCATATAAATACAAAGCATAATTCATAGTTTTGTATTGTGGCGGTTTTCAAGGACAAAATAACCTTAAATTGTACCCAGAAGACTATAGAAAGTCAGTGAAGACCCTGGAGTACTGATGTAATATATACTTTTAGTACTTGCTGTCCCAGTTACTCTCCAGTCACTCATAAAGGCCTAGGCCCTATTTCAATAATCAAGTCTACAAGTCGAGAGGAATGTTAAGATAATTATAGGATAGAAAACAGAGGAAGATGGAAAGGAATTGCTGAAACAACTAGCAGAAGTGGAATACAAAAAGGGAGGTGTGAGGAGGTCGTGGAAACAAGTGAACGAAAGATAAGATAATGAAATGGTTTGATGTGTTTTAAATGGGTTTTGTTTTTGTTTTATTAGTTTTATGTGTTAGTGTTTTGTAGTGTTTTTGTATTGTATTGCATTGTCTTCTTTTTTATGTTTTTTCTTTTGTAGTGTTGTGTTTAAATTGTTGGAAAATTAATAAATATTATATTTTTAAAAAATACAAGTCGGGAGGAATGTTTGCTTTGTGTGCGTTACAAGTGAACTGTAGTGATCACAAAATTATAAATAAGAAACACATGTCAATTTTGGGGTGGTCAAAGAGTGGCCTGATGCAGTCGTAGATAGTGAATGTTTTGCTTTACTGTCTCTCAGGTAAAAATGCCAGATGTCGAGTTTTTTGTCAATTTGGGAGACTGGCCTCTGGAGAAAAAGAAATCCTCTCAGGACATCCACCCCATATTTTCCTGGTGCGGATCCAACGATTCAAAAGACATTGTGATGCCAACCTATGACCTGACAGACTCTGTTTTAGAAACAATGGGCCGGTAAGAGTTCCTACCAAGGTTCTGGAAGTTGTCCCACATCTTACAATGTTTCTTGTTGACGGTGTTCATTGGTGCTGCAGTTAGCAGTGGGTACAAGCCATTACCTTATGCATGGAAAATGGGAAGCCAGACAGCATAGCTGTCAACCGTCCCTTATTTGGCGGAAAACTCCCTTATCCCAGCACCGTGTCCCACTGCTGTCCCGGATTGATGATGTCCCTTAAATTTCCCGGGTTTCATGCTCGCCCGGCTCGGGAGGGAAGCAGCTGCTCGGGGTCCACCGCTGCGAGAGAGAGCGTGCGCATGAGCTGCCACGTCTCCGTCTCTCCCTTTTACCCCTCAGGGGTGCGTTGTGAGGAGGCAGTGGGCGGCGGGCAGGCAGGCAGCCCCTCTCTTGCGAGACTTCCGCCGCGCTGCCAGAGGAAGCCGGAGGCAGCTGAGGAGGCGGCCTGAGGGAGGAGGAAGAGGAGGGGATGGGGAGGAACGCAGAAGGGCGGCGCTTCAGCGGCCACTGCGGCACCGCAACCAGCTCATACCGGGCTCGCGGGCGAGAGTCTATCTTCCTCCCTCTCTCTCGGGTGGGGAAGGGCCGATGGAACTCCTCGCACCAGGACGACGGCAGCCCCGACGTGCATAACCTAAGCAAAATCCCTTATTTTGGCTGCTGATCCCTTATTTTCAAGGCTGCTGGTCCCTTATTTTCAAATCTGTAAGTTGACAGCTATGGGATACAGACAAGAGGGGGAAAGAAGGAGATAGGCAACCCAGTCAGATAGGCGGGGTATTACTATTATTTATTATTATTATTATTGAATAAGGCGTCCCTAGTTTCATCAGAGAAATCTTGCAGGGCATGATTGAAAAGTCAGGAAAGTGAGAGCGCCTAGTTATGGGTGCCTTTGCCTCCACCCATCCCAGTCAGGAATAGAAACACAAAGTTTCCTCACAGGTCTCTCTGAGCATACTGGTTTTCATGCTATCTTCTCACTTCTGGTGAAATGGCAAAAGGTACAAACCCCACATCCCTTACAAGAAGAGAAGACTTGGCCCTCCGGAGTCTCTCGCTGGGCCATGTCACCTGCCTTTCAGCCAGAATCGGTGGAGGTTCCTCAGGGACATATTAATACGGAGGTGCCACACGCTCTGCCTGGAAGCTCCAACAACTGTGGACAAATATCCCGTTTTCTCTCAACAGAGTCAGCCTGGACATGATGTCTGTCCAAGCAAACACCGGGCCGCCTTGGGAAGAGAAGAACGCCACGGCGATATGGCGGGGCCGAGACAGCCGCAAAGAAAGGCTCGAACTTGTGAAAATGAGTAGAAAGTACCCAGAAATAATCGATGCGGCGTTTACGAACTTCTTCTTTTTCAAGCATGATGAAAGTCTCTATGGCCCCATTGTGAAGCATATTTCCTTTTTCGATTTCTTCAAGGTACGATACAAAGGTGATTGTGCTTAGAAAAGCCTTTAGAGAGGTTCCCCTCCCCTTTTTTTAAATTATATTGAGATGTTGACAGCTGCCCAGCTCCCAGATATTAAAAAGCGTATCTTACAAGTTTTTGTAGCGCTATCACCCAGTTCTATGGAGGCTGTATCTAGATTATAATTTTCCAGAAACCTTAAAGTGTTACTATAGCCATTGTTGCTTGGGATAAACAAGTTCACTTTGTCCAAATTGCTGCGGTTCTAGATGCCTCTTAAGACAATCTGTGCAGGTGGTTTTATTTTTCCACATTATTTCCCTGCATGTTTTGGTGAGGCAAAATGAGACCTTAAATTCTAATTTAAGCCAGTAAATGGAAGATGGTTTTTCTGTGACCAGAGGTATGATCCAAAACCGCCCCGAGCCTTTTACAACTGAATTTTTCAAAGGCTTGGGCTGGTTTTAACGTTATTAAAATTATCCCTCTAATGTGGAGATCATATAACAAGCAACTTCCACTTGTTGGTCCTCTGAGATGAGAGGTAACATTGGTCTTGGGCTTACAGTTTTCGTTTGCCCAATTAAATGTCGTATTTCTATGCCAGTTCTGCCAGTTCCTAGTGGTTGCCGGTGCCGATGCACAGATATTTCACGCTATTCACTTGGCTCATGTTGTAAGCTTGGTAATGTTATAACATGAAGTATTGCAAGGCGAAAGTAGTTTTCATGGTCTCCATGTGGGGCTTAAATGTCTCAAGCAGACTTCAGCGAAGCTGTGCGATGCACATTACTGCTCTAGACATGTTTCTCTGCCTGCACAGACCATAATCATCAGAAGACACACCCCATACGTACACCCCATAACATTTTGTGAATGTCCATTTACTCTATTTATTTTTCCCGATTTGAACTATAAAATGGTGATATTCTTGAGTCAAAATGAAAGTACCCCTAAACATTTTTTTATAGAAAAAAGGCACTGTATATATATTTTCAAAATAAAAACCTCAGATTGCTTTACAACTTTTGGAAAGCTTAAAAGAATGAGACTGCCTTAGTAATAATTAAGCTTTGATTAATTTTGTGAATGGTTAGTAAGATATACAGCAATGTGTGATATGTAAAATGAACCATGGAAAGAGATGAAGGGAAGACATTGGATATTTTAAAGTTCGTAAAATGTTTTATTTGACATTGTGAAACAGAAAATTTAATAATTAAAAAAATTATTATAGAACTTCAAAGGTACAGGAGAATACGAAAACGAACCCAGCTAAACCTGATTAAGAGCTCACACATTATGTTTATGGGTTAAAAGCATAGCATAGTTATGAAAGCAACAGACTTGTGAGCGGACATGGGGCAATGGATCCAAACTACAAGAAAGAAGATTCCACCTAAACATTAGGAAGACCTTCCTGACAGTAAGAGCTGTTCTACAGTGGAATTTGCTGCCAAGGAGTGTGGTGGAGTCTCCTTCTTTGGAGGTCTTTAAGCAGAGGCTTGACAACCATATGTCAGGAGTGCTCTGATGGTGTTTCCTGCTTGGCAGGGAGTTGGACTCGATGGCCCTTGTGGTCTCTTCCAACTCTATGATTCTATGTGAGAAATCCAGTATTGGCTGGAGCTCACTATTAAGGGTATATCTGGTGGCAAACCCAGGTTTGCTGCTAAGTAAATGTATAAAAATATCCTAAATGTTCTCTGAAATCCTGTAGTGGAGAGAACCCCACAACAAATCTACAGGCCGCCTGCTTATGAATTTTGTGTTGTGTGTTTTGCAGTATAAATACCAAATTAATATCGACGGCACAGTGGCCGCGTACCGACTGCCTTATCTGCTAGCAGGAAGTAGCGTAGTGCTAAAGCAGGACTCCATCTACTACGAACATTTTTACAACGAGCTACAACCGTGGAAACATTATCTTCCTTTCAAAAGCGACCTAAGCGATCTCCTGGAGAAGCTGCAGTGGGCCAAAGACCACGACGAAGAGGTGAAAATACAATGGGGCCTGCACAGATGTTGCAAAATTATGTTCCCACAGCTCTTAGGAGTTTCTTGTGGGGGGGATTCCTGAATCTAAGCATGCAGTGGAAAGCTGGGTGTGGAGTTTTGGCTTGCAGTAAACTGGCAAGAAGGTAAAGGTAAAGGGACCCCTGACCACTAGGTCCAGTCGTGACCGGCTCTGGGGTTGTGGCGCTCATCTCGCTTTATTGGCCGAGGGAGCCGGCGTACAGCTTCCGGGTAATGTGGCCAGCATGACTAAGCCGCTTCTGGCGAACCAGAGCAGCGCACGGAAACACCGTTTACCTTCCCGCCAGAGCGGTACCTATTTATCTACTTGCACTTTGATGTGCTTTCGAACTGCTAGGTTGGCAGAAGCAGGGACAGAGCAACGGGAGTTCACCCCATCGCGGGGATTCGAACCGCCAACCTTCTGATCGGCAAGTCCTAGGCTCTGTGGTTTAACCCACAGTGCTTGCAGTAAATCTTAAAGAAGGTGGATTTGCAGGTAAAAAGTGGGAGGCGAGGAAAAAGCTAGTGCACGACTAGGAATGCAGTTGTTTTTCCTTCTCCCTCTCCAATTCCCCCCTTTTTGGAATCAGTCCTGTTAAACTCAAATGTTCTGGCACCACATTGGGACTTTTGGTTGGTGCTAATAAAAGGTATAGATTCACAGCCCCTGTCTGGATTCATTGCACAAAATCCCTGATGGATTTATGCCCTTAAGAATCACTTCTCCCAGCTAATGGAATGTTAGTCTGTTTGAGACTTGGGGTGGGGCAGTTTGCCTATAATGGACTCATTCAATTTGATAAAGTTTGACACATGTGAAAACTGGAATTTTAATTGATTTGGGTTGGGTGGGACTGAGCAAGAAGAAGGGAAATGGGCATTCTAAGAAAATTAAAGTTTTAACATGAAGATACCTTACCTCTCCCCCACCTGTTATCCCTGACAGGCAAAGAATATTGCAAAAGCGGGACAAGAATTTGCAAGAAACAACCTCATGGGAGACCATATATTTTGTTATTACTTCAAACTTTTTCAGGTCAGTTCTCTCTTTGATTACGGAAATGTAAATATAAGAATGCCTTAAATATAATGAACTAAAGTGACTTTCCAGTTCTGTGGAGGGACAAACACATGACTGTTCCTATATTTATTGCCATACATGAGGTAAAGGTAAAGGACCCCTGAATGGTTAAGTCCAGTCAAATTTTACTATGGGGTGCAACGCTCATCTCCGCTTTCAGGCCGAGGGAGCCAGCGTTTGTCCACAGACAGCTTTCCAGGTCATGTAGCCAGCATGACTAAACCGCTTCTAAAACGGGACACCGTGATGGAAGCCAGAGTGCATGGAAATGCCATTTACCTTCCCACTGCAGCGGTACCTATTTATCTACTTGCACTGGTGTGCTTTTGAACTGCTAGGTTGGCAGCATGAGTTAAATGTTAAGGTTTGTTTAAACAAACGCTTTATTAATTTCTTTATCAGCTACATTAATATAATACAGTTACATTTCCAAGAACAATAAACATACAGTCTTACCTTGGAAGTCGAACGGAATCCGGTCCGGAAGTCGGTTCGACTTCCCAAACCTAAGTGTGGCTTCTGATTGGCTGCAGGAAGCATCTGAAGCCTTGTCGGACGTTTGACTTCCAAAAATAGGTTGCAAACTGGAACAGTCACTTCTGGGTTTGTGGCATTCAGGAGCCAAAACGTTTGAGAACCAAGCTGTTCGAAAACCAAGGTATGCCTGTATTACACATATATCCAAAAACGAAACTCGCTGATCAGGTAGCAAGCAGCTGGGTGAATTCACCACCACCCCAGTCCCAAAGTACAGTGGACGCTCGGGTTGCGAATGTGATCCGTGCGGGAAGCATGTTCACAACCCACAGCGTTCACAACCCACAGCGCCACCTCTGCGCACGTGTGGGTTGGGATTTGGCACTTCTGCGCATGTGCAAAGTGCAGTTTAGTGCTTCTGCGCATGCACAAGCACTGAAACCCGGAAGTACCCTGTTCCAGTACTTCCAGGTTTGGCGTGGTGCACAACCTGAAAACACACAACCCAAAACGTCTGTAACCCGAGGTATGACTGTATAGAAGCACCTTCACAATCCCTAATTCCGCCTTTGTTACATATAATCATACTGGTGCTATTGTGGTATATCAAATCTGTTATGTGTGCATTAGTCGTGGGTTCAAGCTCCACGTCGGGCAAGATTCCTGCCCAAAAGAAGACCCTCGTAGTCCCTTCTAACACAATAGTTCTCTGATTTAACATCCCTTCAAGCCGTCCATTCAAATTGATGGGCATCCTTTTAAAACATTACCCGTGGTGTTTAATAACCAAGATCTGCAAGTAAGCACCGTGTGAAAGGTATGCCCTGAAAATTAAGCTGGCATTTTGTTAAAGAAGCATCCCGACTTCCACAAATCCCATTCTAATGTGGAGGGATCTGTTCCTCAAAGCAGCAATCAGCAAAGATCAAAGAGCCCAGCTTTAGAAAGCCCCTCCCGAAACACAGCTGAAAATGTCTGTGCATTAACACGGAGGTACTGATATTTCAGCAAGTCACCAGGTGCAGCCCGTGTCAGCTTACAGTTTCTGTGATACCGAATCTCAGGTTCTTCCCCGCGAGGTTTGCTGGAGCAATGGGCAATTCATTGGTTGCAGCTTTTCCAACACTGAGTGCGCAAGTATAAGAGGTGTCCCCCCCCCTTTTTTTTAATTTTTAAATTAGGAATATGCCAAACTACAAGTGACTGAACCAAAAGTGAGAGATGGCATGGAGAAAGTGGAACAGCCAGATGACGACCTTTTCCCCTGTAGTTGCCACCGGAAAAAGGTACAGTATGTACAAGTTAACATTTTAGGAACTGTTTGTTCAGGGGCCTGACCTACCACTTATTTAACTGGGAACATCTTATGCCTCACATGTTCGGATTCTAAGTTGGGGAAAACAGATTTTGTTATGGGTGCCAACAGAATCCCTTGCTGCTTTTCCATATACAGTGGACGCTCGGGTTGCGAACGTGATCCGTGCAGGATGCACATTTGCAACCCGCAGCGGCACATCTGCACACACGCAGATTGCGATTCGGCGCTACTGCGCATGCACAAAGCATGATTTAGCTCTTCTGTGCATGCGCGACTGCCGAAACCCGGAAGTAACCTGTTCCGGTACTTTCGGATTTCAGCGGTCCGTAACCCAAAAAAAACACAACCTGAAGCGTCTGTAACCCGAGGTATGACTGTATTGAGGGAGGCAGAGATTTTCACAACTAATGCCAGTGGTTTAACAGAAAACCACTGAGGATGTTTTGGAGTGGGTTAAATCCTGCTAAGTCATGGAGGTAGCGTGAGGCAGGAAAGCAGGAGTTGCAAGTTCACAGAAGCCAGCTGTGAGTATTTCACCTAGTTTTTTGTTCCGAAGGAAATTATGTGTTTAGCCAAGGAAGTCTGGGTTTTTCTGGATGCAAAAATCATGCAGCAGATTTATCTTACGATGTGCAGTTCTCCAGTTTGCTTTTTCCTGTTTCACAGAACATACTCAAGTTTTGGCAGTCGTGGTAAGGAGAAATTCAGATCGCAAAAGCCTTGACCTAAACACGTAGAAATCTCAAGTCGGCCACCTCTCTTGGTTCTTGAGATTTCAGCAGGAATTACCCACACGCTTTCTAGCATATGTTCGCAACCATAAGAACTAGCAATTTGCTTTTGAAAAAGATAAAAAGTAAAAAAAATGATATTTTAAGGAAGCTGAATTAACAATGCACCCAGGACATTGTGCTTTTTCTATATGCTATAAGACATGCACGATGCAGTTCTCGCTCACACACAAAAAACGCAGGGCGTCTATCGCAGAGAAAATGTCTTCCTTGCAAAAGGCCATCTTACCATTCTGTCAATGAAGTTGTGTTGCCGATGTGAGCCAGAAAGAGTTGCAAATTTTTAAAAAATGAAACAATATTGCAAGTCATCATGGGTCAAATCAATGAAGAAAGAGGGGTTTGCTGTGACTTCCTCTGAATCCATTTTGTAGTAGGAAGATGAGTATTTTGGAACTCGTGGAAAAAAATGTTTCAAAATGGGAGTTGTATTCCAAACATTCCATCCCATTCTAACATGACCAGAAAACAGAAGTCAAGATGCAGCATAGAGTGCTTATGGGTTTCTTGTGAATCTGACTGTTGTTGTTATTTAAATTTACAAATATAAAGCTGAGCAGGTAGAAGGCAGGCAGTGGTAATTCTGAAATACCACCAGTCTTGCACACCAACACAAACCCTAGGGTTCCTTTCAGAGACCCCTGAAATCTAGAACATTGCTCTCACTTGCTTTTTCCAATGAAATTATAATGTGCAAATAAATCCTCTCTGCACCCATCTAGGCAAGTGGGTATGATACAGCCCAGGAACTTATAATTAAGTACAGACCATCATAGCTCATTAACCAGGGGCTTAATTTTTCACTATTATGGACAGCTCTGCAAAAATAATCTATAGAGAGAAGGAACTTTTTCTGGAACATAAGAGTCTGCTCAAAATACTATAACGTAAAGCAAAGTTGTTCAGGACTTTCAACCGTGAAATATTTTCTTCTTACTTACAGGTCAAAGAGGAACTTTAACAAGAAAACTGGTGTTTACAGTATTTGGATTTCAGTGTCTTCAGATGAGAACAAAAAAGACAAGTCCGAATGCCTTCTGTTGTGCATGCAGTATTACTACACCTTTGCTTTTATGATTTTTTATTATTTTTAAAAATAAATACTATTTCCATAAAGTTGAGAGCATTTTTTTTGTTTTAAAAAACAGCTTTGATTTTGGGACTATATTATATACCCCTTCTACAGAGGGCTTTTGCTGCAGCCTGTGGATTACTGCTGCTCACTTAAGCAGATTACACACGACACACCAAAATAATATGTGAGAAGGAGAGGAAAATGTGGACTAGAAATCTACATAGCTGAAGCTAACAAGAAAAAAAATACAATTGGGAACCTTTCAAATAATTGTTAAAATAACTGGCTAGGGTGTGTTCAAGCTTCGTTAGCAGGGTTTATAATAAGCTTGTTTAATTCAGTGGTCTTTTAAAAAACTTTTGTTTATAACAGCTGTCCAGAGACCCCCTCTCATACGGATTTCAGACAAGGAGTTGAGCTTCTCATTGCCAAACTACACTGAAGCCCTAACTAGGAAGGATGGTTGAATAAAAATTACTCCAAGCCATTTAAGGGACCTGTGGCAAAAGCATGCTGTTTCACAGACTTGTTTTGAAACTAATAGTGTATCATTCATGTTTACCCTGTACGAAGCTGCCCCTCCAGGGATAGCGTATTGGCTCTCAGGATGCCAACTTATCTACAAAATCATTTTGAAGATGCAGAATCGCATGTTTGGGTGCTTCCTCCCGATATGCAGAAAGTTAGCACATTGGGGGAAAGCCTTTGCCCTTGTCTACCAGGTTTCCACAGGCATGTTGTAGTCACAAAGAACTGAACAAACTTCTTTCTCAAAATATGGCTCATTGGGTCTAATCCCTCACTTGTCCCCCATATAACCACCCAGACACCCTCCCTTGTGTTCTGGAATTTTCTTGAAGAGCCTATATGATGGTGCAGACTCTATGATGCAGACTCTATGAAGTTTACTGTTTACTACTGTTTGCGGGTGGTGCTGTGGTCTAAACCACAGAGCCTAGGGCTTGCCGATCAGGTCGGTGGTTCGAATCTCCGCGATGGGGTGAGCTCCCGTTCTTGGTCCCTGCTCTTGCTAACCTACCAGTTCAAAAGCACATCAAAGTGCAAGTAGATAAATAGGTACCGCTCCAGCAGGAAGGTAAACGGCGTTTCTGTGCACTGCTCTGGTTCGCCAGAAGCAGCTTAGTCATGCTGGCCACATGACCCGGAAGCTGGACGCCGGCTCCCTCGGCCAATAAAGCGAGATGAGCACCGCAACCCCAGAGTTGTCTGCGACAGGACCTAATGGTCAGGGGTCCCTTTGCCTTTACTGTTTGCATTCCCTTTTAGTCTGCATAGTCCAGATAATGTGACACCAAACAATACCAATCTCAATGTTTTCCCACTGTAAATTCAGGTTTACCCAATGCAGATATAATCTGGTACGTTGGAGGAAACTGGTCTCCAAACTGCTCCACTTGGCATGGTATGGCTAGGCTACCCATTTCATGCAATCCAGTAAAGAATTGTCTGGTAACATATTTGCTTTGGAAAAAATACAATGTATAAAAGTAGATGTGTGAGATACAATGCTTTTTTTAGAAAGTAAAAAACAGATTTATTTATTTCCATTATCTCTGAACATTAACTATATATACACAAAACCAAATAGAACATATTTTACACTATGATGAAGTTACAAAAACATGCAGTTGTTTTTGCCAGTGCTTTAGCACACAGCTGATTACTGTCGCTACTCAATGATTTCTTTGATCCAAGACAAAACCTGCCTGTTTATTTCCATCAAGATGTCATCTGCATTTCGTCCTCTAGCTGCCATGCTGTGGTTTGCTTTTTCAACCCAATGGATTTTCTTGGGCGCTTGCATTTTGACTGCAACGCCATCCAGCAGTTGCTATTGAAACAAATGGAAGGACAAAATAGATCAGAAAGAGGTATCTAACTCTTAAAAGAGTTCATTTCCCACAGAAGCCAGCATTACTTGGGTGCGGCAGTCAATAACTGTCAGCATGGCACAGGAATATCTTTTGTCTGTGTTGACTTTGCATGGTTCTCTAAGCAGAGCATCACATGGGATGCAAGGGGAAAAAATGGTGGCATTTAATAGTGCTAGCAAGATTATTACAGAGTGCTGCCCTTAACTTCATGCACACACACTTTGGTGGGTAAGATAGATGAATTTTTTTCCAGAAAATCTGCCTTGCTCTGGGAAAATATACAAAGCTCATTGCTAACAGAAGCAGTTATGTAGACCTGCAGTAGAAAAGATATAAAATCATATACTATGTAAACAAAAGTTCTAAAATGAAGTATGGTTTGCTTTTGATACAAACTGGGCAATTCCAAAGGGTGAAATGTGTTTTTTTATGGGTTTGACTTATTTGTTAGTACTGACTAAGAAATAAATAACTACATGTGGAGAAGCCAGCCGCAGGTCAGCAAATTTTTCAGAAATGTCCACTGTCCTCAGAGTCTGGGTGGGGGCCTGACTGATATTTGAAATAAAAAGGAACAAATTTAACCCAGAGATGTATTTTAACAAACACACGCTTCTCACCCTCCATTAATTTGAACGTGGCAACCCAGCAAGACAAACCTCCAGAAGCTCCTTTCATTACCCTGTTAGAAAACATGGGCTTATCTCATCGGTATTGCACATTTTAAGCAAGAGTGTTATTTGCTCCACTTTCCAGCGCATCTAGGTACTCACTTTATCACACATCTCATCTGTATCTCCAGACACGAATAGCACAGGGGACTTAATGGACAATAAATCTTCATCCCGAAGTTTAGAGTGAAGCTTTGGTCGATGCAGCGGGTAAGACAAGCATATCAGACCTTGAATGAAGCTGTCATTATCTTGGTCCGCTTGTCGTATCACAGAAGCGGCAGCGCGCGAGCCCATTGAACGGCCTACATCCCATTAAGAATCAAGGGGGGGGGATACATTTTTTTGTGATTCGAGCTACGCATTCTGTATAACAACCATTTTCTTGGACTTCTAATCCTCCGTATTTCTCTGCTGAAAGCACTCAAAACTGGGGAACCTGCTACAGTTGGTGCACATTATCTAGGGATCAATTTACATGGAGGCAACATGAACTTTTGCAGCTACCTCAGTGCTGCTGGAGGAAATAGGCTTAAATCACAGCCAAGAAGCTGTCAAGGTCCGTAACAGTTTTAGGAAAAGTTCTGTTGGATCAGATCAAGTCCAGCTCTGACCAACTGGATGCCTTTAAGTGGGGGGGGGGGAGAGGACAGACCATTCTGTCTGGCAAGCTGAAATACTTGTGCAGGTGAAAAGATCCGAGTGCAACACTGAATTCCTTATCAAATAGGTAGTTAGTGACTCGATGCATGGAGTTCCATAATTAAAGGTTTGGATCATAGAAGTAGAGTTGGAAGGGACCTTGAGGATCATCTAGTCCAACCCCCTGCAAAGCAGGAATCTCAACTAGATTATACATGACAGATGGCCTTCCAACCTCTGCTTCAAAACCTCCAAGGAAGGAGAGGCCACCACCTCACACAGTTCTTCCTGATGTTTAGTCAGAATCTCCTTTCTTGTAACTTGAATCAATTGGTTTGGGTCCTAGCCTCATGTGGAGGCAAAATCAACTGTTTATGTTGGCCTTTGACTCTTTCGGTGAGGACAAAGGTCTGTGCTGTTCGGAAATGCTACGCAGAAATACAGTGGTACCTCGGGTTAAGAACTTAATTCGTTCCGGAGGTCCGTTCTTAACCTGAAACCATTCTTAACCTGAGGTACCACTTTAGTTAATGGGGCCTCCCGCAGCCGCCGCACAATTTCTGTTCTCATCCTGAGGTAAAGTTCTTAACCCGAGGTACTATTTTTGGGTTACCGGAGTCTGTAGCCTGAAATGTCTGTAACCTGAAGCGTCTGTAACCCGAGGTACCACTGTAGCTTAAATCCGTATCTTTAAAATATACATATGCAGTCAACAACAAAAACCTGGTATGTGAAATGCCTGCCTCATTCAAAAATATTTGTCAGCACCCTGTTTTGCAGGAGGGAAATAAGAAGCCGTGTTACATATATATGCCATCAAATTTTCTTACCTCCAAGAAAAATGCCAGAAAGTGTGTAGTTGCCTGATGATCTTAAATATTCCTTTTAAAAAACGGTTAGAGATTAATATTTTTTGGATAATCAATAGAAACATCTAGAAAGTAACTTGCTAAAAGATGCACCCAGAACAGGAATTGCTTTCAATACACTCAGTTTCTTACATAGTGAAAAATAAAGAAACCACATGAAAAAGACCCACGTCTACATACATATAAATTTTATATTATGAAGTCTACATGTTGATTGGAGTAAGCTACATATGGGCGATCTAGTTTAGACTGCAATCTGATACACATTTATTCAGAAACCCAAATGAGCTAAATGGTGCTTAATCCTGGATAAAGAAGTAAAGGATTACAACATTTTAGGGTACAAGAATTAGCACAATGTTTCATTCCCCTTGAACTAAAAAGCAAACTTGGTCTTTCATACCACAACAGCTTTATATGCTTTAGTTCTATAGATGATATTGAGGCTTTTGCAGGTAAATCGCAGACACAGAAATCCATGAGAGGCCAGGTAGTTTGCCAAAGATACAAGGTGAGAGAAATTCATATCACCAGATGCTCCATGCGTGAGAATCACAGCATATGGCAGCTTCTTCTCGGGGATGGAGAAAACTGCGTCTAGATATTTGCTTCCAAATGGTATTTTCACACTGGTCTAGAAAGAAAAACACTGAAATTAGCGAATATGTCTTCAGCACACATGCATAAAACACGGGTGTATCAGACTAGCTGCCATGTTGGTCCTGCCCTTTGACACAGGACACTCCAAAAGGAAATGGAAATTGTTCTTGTGACAAAGGACATTTCCAGATTCTCACAATTTTCAAGTCTCATCCAGTCACATACTGGCAAATTCGGGTTGCACAATTATAGCTGATTGCTCAATAACCCCGCTTCCTAAAAATTTCAGACTTTTTGCTGTAAGGAAAGTGGTGGGGAACCACACTGGAAAGTGTGGAATGACACTTGCTGTGAGGCACTGCCATCGATCTAAAAAAATCAAAATGAATGCTCATTACATAGCCAATGTCAGATAATCTCCCTGTAAAACAAATCAGGATAAATCGTCAATAAACAAGTCATCTGGAGGCATCCTGAGAGACATAGGAAGATACAGTTTTCTCTGTTCTTGTCAACGACCTAATTCAACATCTCCAAAGCCAAGTCACACTAATCATTCGGTTGCTTTAATTTTCCTGTGTGTGAAAAATAAAATGCTGGTTTGTTTGGAAGTGTTCAAACAATGTTTAAACTAGCCATATACCATATTTTTCGCTCTATAACATGCACCCGACCATAACACGCACGTAGTTTTTAGAGGAGGAAAATCCGTAGGCATGCCACCCGTAGGCATTCCCTCCATAACACGCACAGACATTTCCCCTTACTTTTTAGGAGGAAAAAAGTGAGTGTTATGGTGCAAAAAATACAGTAATTAACAGTGTAGAGCTGGACGTGTAAACACCAAGTAAAACGTTTTTACAAAAGTTTTTTTTTCCTTTTTGGTAAAAGGTATAGACTTACATGGGCACACATGAAGAGTGGGGGTTTGTGTGTGTGTGTGTGTGTGTGTGTGTGTGTGTGTGCTAGTGGCTTCTGTGAATTTATTAAGCTTGTTTAGGATTAGAATAGGATCTTGAAAATAAAAACTGTATACAGAGCAAAGATAAATTTGCGGCGACATACCTCTGAACAGTCACCCATTTTCCTGTTGCGATCTCACAAGTTCATGTCTCAGAACGCTTGACTGCAAGTCACTGTAATAAAATTAAACAAACATGAAAGGCTGCCACACAGCAGCTCAACATGTACAACCATAGGAGTATGGTCTATTGCTTGTTATGGGCAGGTAAAAACCCCCTTACTGGACATCCCACAGCCTCTGGTATTCAAAGATATACAGTGGTACCTCAGGTTAAATACGCTTCAGGTTACATACGCTTCAGGTTACAGACTCCACTAACCCAAAAATAGTGCTTCAGGATAAGAACAGAAATCGGGCTCCGGTGGCACGGTGGCAGCAGGAGGCCCCATTAGCTAAAGTGGTGCTTTGGGTTAAGAACAGTTTCAGGTTAAGAACGGACCCCCGGAATGAATTAAGTACTTAACCCGAGGTACCACTGTACTGCCAGACATATTTGACTCCTATAGAACTTCCTTCCAGTTTTGTACACAGCTGCACAAACTACTCAAAATCCATGGAGGTTAAACTACAGTGGTACCTCAGGTTAAGAACTTAATTCGTTCTGGAGGTCCGTTCTTAACCTGAAACTGTACTTAACCTGAAGCACCACTTTAGCTAATGGGGCCTCCCGTTGCTGCTGAGCCAATGGAGCACAATTTCTGTTCTCATCCTGAAGCAAAGTTCTTAATCTGAGGTATTATTTCTGGGTTAGCGGAGTCTGTAACCTGAAGCGTCTGTAACCTGAAGCATATGTAACCCGAGGTACCACTGTAATGCCTTCCTCCTGCTCCATGTTAATAGACACACCCACCTACCCCGGGGCTTTCTCTTTGTGGAACAAAAACAATCTGTCCAGACGTTTATCAAGATTTATCAGTTTCTAGGCCCAAAAAATTCAAAACAGGCAACCCAAATTACTAGTGCAACCAGACATGGGCAACTAAGCATACCTGCTCACCCTCTCAGTAGAAAAATATCTCAGTAAGTAGCAAAGAGAAAGCACACTGACTTGTGATCATTGGATGGCGGGCGGTAGATAAATTTTAAAAATAACAAAATACATAATAATGACTAAGGGGCACGAGGACCGAAATGGGGGGTGGGTTAGTTTTAAAGGGCAACAAACTTGACACTTACTTAGCTTGTTGCTATAGCTATCCCACAACAGAATCATAGAACTGGAAGGGACCACAGGGTCACACAATGATGCAGGAATCTTCTGCCCAAAGTGGGGCTTGAACCCACAAATATGAGGTTAAGAGTATCATGCTTTAGTGACCAAGCCATTCCATGGTCTACAAGAAAGGTGAAGGAACTTGGCACTATTTGGGTTTTCTGCTTCAAGTATCAGGGACTGTGAAAGACAAGGAGAGCAGCTTTCTGGCTGCACATATTGTAGCCCCTATACACACATAGTTCTTTGCCTGCCTTTCTGTGCTCCCCGTTTCGAGATGTCCCCTTTGTATTAATGTATAGAGTCATAGGATTTGGGGCTTGGAAGGGACCCCGAGGGTCATCCAGTCGAACCCCCTGCAATGCAGGAATCTCTCTGCTGAGGATAAGGCATTTTGTCCAAACTGGCAAAAACTGCAAGCTGCAATAAAATGGTTAGTTTTGAAGGTGCAGCAAGACATTTCTTTTTCGGGGGGCGGGCTGCAAAGGACCCCACCTACGAGCTTACGCACTCACAGAAACGCTGCTGGCAGATTCGTAAGAGGGGCTACGACGCAGCAATAAAAGTGCCGGAGCAAGCACAAAAGCAAAGCAGGATCCGGCGTGGTTTCACACTGGATGGGCGGGACTGCGTGTTTTGATTCCTGCATTGCACGGGGTTGGACTAGATCGCCCTCGGGATCCCTTCCAACTCTAGGATCCTAAGAGAGATTTCCCTTTCAAAAAAAGAAAACCCCGATTCTTTCTTTCCCCTCCTTCTAAGGAAACTCCAACCCGGCGCTCCTGAAGCTGCAGCATCCCTTATGGCTCGTTTACTCGGGAGTAAGTCCCACTGGATCCGGCAGGAGGAGAAACTTGCTCCCGAAGTCATGCGCGCCCGGGATCACGGCTCCTTCTTTCCCCTTCCCGCAAGAGTGCCAGCAATTGCGCGCTACGCAATTGCATGCTGGGAGTTGTAGTACGCGCGCCGAAGCGAAAGCCCAGCCAGCGGCTCCTAATGCGGAGGGAGGAAGTCGAAGAAAAAGAGGGACACGCCTACATAACGCCTTGCCTCCCCCCCACCCGACGTACACCCGGTGCCTTTAAGTCGCGCGCACACGCAGTCAAATAGAACAATGGCCGCGTGAATTATGTTGTTGTTGTTTAGTCGTGTCCGACTCTTTGTGACCCCATGGACCAGAGCACGCCAGGCACTCCTGTCTTCCACTGCCTCCCGCAGTTTGGTCAAACTCATGCTGGTAGCTTCAAGAACACTGTCCAACCATCTCGTCCTCTGTCGTCCCCTTCTCCTTGTGCCTTCCATCTTTCCCAACATCGGGGTCTTTTCCAGGGAGTCTTCTCTTCTCATGAGGTGGCCAAAGTATTGGAGCCTCAGCTTCACGATCTGTCCTTCCAGTGAGCACTCAGGGCTGATTTCCTTAGAATGGAGAGGTTTGATCTTCTTGCAGTCCATGGAACTCTCAAGAGTCTCCTCCAGCACCAGAATTCAAAAGCATTAATTCTTCGGCGATCAGCCTTCTTTATGCTCCAGCTCTCACTTCCATACATCACTACTGCGAAAACCATGGCTTTAACTATACGGACCTTTGTCGGCAAGGTGATGGCTCTGCTTTTTAAGATGCTGTCTAGGTTTGTCATTGCTTTTCTCCCAAGAAGCAGGCGTCTTTTAATTTCATGGCTGCTGTCACCATCTGCAGTGATCATGGAGCCCAAGAAAGTAAAATCTCTCACTGCCTCCATTTCTTCCCCTTCTATTTGCCAGGAGGTGATGGGACCAGTGGCCATGATCTTCATTTTTTGGATGTTGAGCTTCAAACCATATTTTGAATTATACCATGAGCTAAAACAAAGAATTAACATCAGTAAGAGCAACAAACCCCCAATAAAAGCCCCTATGTTGTTGTTGTTGTTGTTGTTGTTGTTGTTGTTCCTGTCCATCTGGCTGGGTTTCCCCAGCCACTTACAGCATATACAGTGATACCTCGTTTTAAGAACAGCCCTGTTTACGAACTACAGTGGTATCTCCGGATGCGAACGGGATCCATTCCGGAGCCCCTTTCGCATCCTGAAGCGAATGCAACCTGCGTCTGCGCGAGTTGCAATTTGCCGCTTCCGCACATGCACATGACGTCATTTTGAGCGTCTGCGCATGTGCAAGTGGCGAAACCCAGAAGTAACACACTCCATTACTTCCGGGGTGCCACGGAGCGCAACCTGAAAACGCTCAACCTGAAGCACATTTAATCCGAAGTAAGACTGTATTCGGTTTGCGAACTCTGAAAAACCGGAAGTAGTGTCCTGGTTTGCGAACTTTGCCTCAGCTTATCAATGGAAACTTAACAGTGGAAGGGCACCAGCAGCGGGAGGCCTCATTAGGGAAAGCACGCCTTGGTTTAAGAACGGTTTTGGTTTAAGAACGGACTTCCGGAACGGATTGAGTTCGTGAACCGAGGTACCGCTGTATAAAAACATAGTCAAACATCAAACTACAGTTCCCAGGATTCTTGGGCAGAGAAGGGCTTTGAACAAACCGTTGTGTGTGCTGTCTTTGTAACTAGCTTCACTTTCTGTTTTCAGAGCAGAAAACTGTTGAGAGAGAGACTTTATGGGAAAAAGTGGAATAAAGTGCACTGTTTGCAAGAAGACATCTGTGAATGCACTCTCTTGGGATTGCGAACCACCAGAGCCGTTCAATAAATGAAAGCTTTGGAAGCAACCACCGAGGGCTGAGAAATCGGGTGCAGATTGTGAGAGTGTAAATTCAGATTCTCCCTCCTCTCCCCTCCCTTCCCACCAGGAATAATATTTAAGGCTGCATGCACGCTGGACATTAGAACACATTGCCCTTCCATAGAGTAGAGCCGGAACTGTAGTTCTATTTAGCGATAGATCAGAGCAAACGGGAATTGGGGAAACCCCAAATTGCTGGAGGTTTGGGAGGGCAGGAAACAGGACAAGACAAAAGTGTGGATAATCCCTAAATTTGCTTCCTGTTCACCACCCTGTGCTTATAAGGGAGCATATTACTCTCAAAGGGACGCGGGTGGTGCTGTGGGTTAAACCACAGAGCCTAGGACTTGCCAATCAGAAGGTCGGCAGTTCGAATCTGGCGGTTCGAATCCACGCAACGGGGTGAGCTCCTGTTGCTCGGCCCCTGCTCCTGCCAACCTAGCAGTTTGAAAGCATGTCAGAGTGCAAGTAGATAAATAGGTACCACTCCGGCGGGAAGGTAAACGGCATTTCTGTGCGCTGCTCTGGTTCGCCAGAAGCAGCTTAGTCATTCTGGCCGCATGACCCGGAAGCTGTACACTGGCTCCCTCGGCCAATAAAGCGAGATGAGCGCCGCAACCCCAGAGTCGGTCACGACTGGACCTAATGGTCAGGGGTCCCTTTACCTTTATTATTCACAAAGTGAAGGGTGGATTTTATTGTCATCTAAGAACTGCTTTCTAATGGTGTGCCAAAAAATATCTAGGTTTTTTAAAAAAACTAATTCCACACGAGCAACCTTTATAATTTTATGGGTTTAGGAGAGAAACAATTATTTGCAGTGATAGCAAAGATTTCTGTGTTTGCTATTTATATATCTAAGACCTGCAAACAGCACATGCAAAGGAGTCAGTGCAGGTACTATTGAATGCACAGTTTCTAAGCAGACACTTCAGGAAGTTTCCTTTGTCAACATTTAAAAGTCAATAGGCCTGCTGACCCGGCTGCTATTTTGGGCTGTGTTCACCAGTTGGAAATCTGCTTGCATCATGGTTTAATGCCTGCTGGGAAATAAATGTGCCAAAGATCTTCGTGTCAACTGACTTCATACTAGTGGAATTTGTTAAGACCAAAAGTCAAAATCCACAAGCCCTGTGATAAGCTCATCCAAGAGATCGACTTGGCTGCTATGTGTATCTTCTAGACATTCCTTTCTAAATTAGCCAGGGCAGAAAAGTATCAAAGAGAGACCGCTTGCCAAGTTAAAAATAATTATTAGGAAAACATAACACAGGGTAAAAGGCCTGAACCTAGTCAGGAACTGCTTTCTTCAGATTCAACAAAGAAGTTGTTTTGGAATCAAAAGGGCAAAGGAATGCCTCCATCTAGTTAAGATGGAGCCAATAAAATTACTGCTGTTATAAGGCAATCTTTCATTGCTTTGATGATGTTCTGAGTAAGGGATGGAAGGACTTCTCAATTATCTCAGTTTCTCCTCTTCTTGTCAACCTTGAATTCAGCTCTCCACGTTTCTACTGCAATTTGCTATTTTTAAAATGAAAATTATTGAGCATTTTAGCACAGATTTATCCCAATGAACACACTTTTGTATGCAGTTTGGATTAACATACACATTTTTACAAGCAATTTATCCTAATATAATGCATTTGTGTACGTTATTTTCACTAACCTTATTCATTTTTATATGCATCTCCCCCTAACGTAGACATTTAAAAAGATTTGCTTGGAGGATTGCTTTGCAAAAATTGAATAAGTTCAAATAGGGAAGGATGGCTGTATTGTTTCAGAAAATGCACATTTGATATATTTTCTTTTAAATGCAAAGTGTGTTGAATTCTTAACCCTATCCAAAGCTCTGAGCAGTGGTTCAAAAGTTATTAAGGTTCTCTTGCCCCATTGAAGTCTACGAGAGCCCACCCACAACTAACCCCACAGTGACAAACACACCCACCCACACCTTGCGCCACACCGAACCTCCACACACACCCTGCCCAAAACTGAAACCACACCCCAAAGTGAAACACCCGCACAAACAGCCCTTTCACAACACTCTATCTTCTACTGATCCAAACTCACGCACACTGACCCACACTGAAACCCCATGCACACTCCACTAAACCCCCACTACCAACCCCATCCTGCCCTGCAACCCCTCCCCACACTGCAGCAACACACCTTGATCCTTACTGAAACCCTCACGTGCACACTGAAAGACACACACACACACACACCTTGGTCTAATGGATGGAACTAGGAACCTTGAAACAGCGGGAGCAGTCTTGCTGCAAGAAGATCCTGTTTGTTTCTTTTTCACATTTTAGGATGTGTGAGCGTCTATGCTGAAGGGGAGCGCCCTTGCATTTTTCAAAGCCTGCATTGGGTACCCAAACTGATAGATTCCAGATGATGTGGCCTACAGTTCCCATCAGTTTCCGCCATCAGAAACTATGGCACATGTAGCCTGAAATTTACATTCGCTGTACAATCCAGTGCAAGCTTTGTATACAAACGTCCTATATTGCGTTTGCCTCGGCATGGCACTATACATATAAAGCTCTGAGGGGGAAAGCAAGGAACAGTGATCTGGCATCTTCTTTAGCTTTAGTTATTATTGAGCATCTGCCCATCAGCAATCTGACAGTCCTAAGTTTTAGACCTCTTGTAGAAGGATGGAATAGGAACGTTAGCAAATCTCTTTCTCCTCCTTGTATTGCATCACCTTTCAGCGCAGCCCCTAGAAACCTTAAGCAGAATGCACACCATCTATTTTGATCACAGATGTGTGTAGACTGCCTCCAGTTATATTTAGTTCAGATCATTATAAAATTCCCAAAGAGGTTCCAGGATGTAGTCATAGAATAATATGCATTCTCGTCTTAAGGAATACAAATAGAGGGGGGAAACAGAGATGAAGGCAGTAGAATCATCCGGCCACCACTTCTTCTTCTGGTTCTTTCTAAAGAGTAAAGTGAAATAAAGACTAAAGTTAGTCTTGTTGAGAAAAAAAGAATCACACCCGAAGACATGCACACTAAAGGTGAGATCTGAAGGAGTTGTGTCCTATTCTTCATTCCCCCTCCCGCTGCTCTCTGGGAAAGATATTATAGTATGATTTTATAGCCATCACAACAGACCAAGGGAAGAGCCCTCATTTACCAAGTGCATTGTGCATCTCTTAAGCAAGGTGTGCGGAGAGGGGTAGATATTTACCGCCTGAAATAAATCAATAAATAGCAAGGAGTATTTGACTGGTTTCTAATGTGGTATGGCAAGTATCATGATAGTCTGCTTAAAGATATAGATTTCTCTGATAGGCTTGATGTGCCAAAGGCAGCTCTGCATGAAAAACATGTGCCTCTTTAGGAAATAACAACATTATTCACTGAGATCTACATTAACTTTCTGGTAGCTATTGCACAGCTCCTGGTAATATTTTCTGTTATCTTTTGGAAACGCACTGCTGCCAATTTAAAAAGAAAAAAAGAAGACTCTTTGGCCATTGATGCACTCACACATTTTTTAAAAAATAATAATTTTTATTATAGATTTTCTTTGATTACAAAAGTACATGCATTGTCTCTTTTTCCCGGGTCATAGAGTCTTTTCTACAGATCAGTTACATTCAACGTGAGACTTTAGTGTTGTATACAATATATGATGCCATCATTCCTGAGTTCCCCTCTCTGGTAAAGGTAAAGGTAAAGGGACCCCTGACCATTAGGTCCAGTTGTGACCGACTCTGGGGTTGCGGTGCTCATCTCGCTTTATTGGCCGAGGGAGCCGGCGTACAGCTTCCGGGTCATGTGGCCAGCATGACTAAGCCGCTTCTGGCGAACCAGAGCAGCGCACAGAAACGCCGTTTACCTTCCCACCGGAGCAGTACCTATTTATCTACTTGCACTTTGACGTGCTTTCGAACTGCTAGGTTGGCAAGAGTAGGGACCGAGCAACGGGAGCTCACCCTGTCACGGGGATTTGAACCGCCAACCTTCTGATCGGCAAGTCCTAGGCTCTGTGGTTTAACCCACAGCGCCACCCACGTCCCTCCTCTCTCTGGTATAATAATAATAATAATAATAATAATAATAATAATAATAATAATTTATTATTTATACCCCGCCCATCTGGCTGGGTTTTCCCAGCCACTCTGGGCGGCTTCCAACAAAACAGTAAAATACAATAACCTGTTAAACCTATTAAAAGCGGGAACGTGGTATTCTGAGAGCTCTGGATGATAAAATGATCCAGATGCCAACTTAATTCAAGACACAATGTACCGTCCAAAGCCAACCAAACACAAGTTGGGGTGCATCGTTGGGCCTACTGAGTGGCAATGAGGGAAACAAAAAGGTCTCTTGCATCCTCAAGCAGAAGTCCTGCAGAGCTTCTCAGAGTGGCCAAAGGGCTTTTGGCATCTGCACCTGTGTGTGGAGCTATACAACTTTCTGGATCCCATCGTGAATTGTTTATGAGAAACTTCGGGGGTCTAGTTGTTTGCCTCTGTACTGATATCCATTCTGTTGTTGTTGCAGAATCTGTCAAGGCACTGTCCGAATAAAGATTAGGGGATCATTTTCAGTTTGTTGTTGTTTAGTTGTTTAGTCGTGTCCGACTCTTCGTGACCCCATGGACCAGAGCACGCCAGGCACTCCTGTCTTCCACTGCCTCCCGCAGTTTGGTCAAACTCATGCTGGTAGCTTCGAGAACACTGTCCAACCATCTCGTCCTCTGTCGTCCCCTTCTCCTTGTGCCTTCCATCTTTCCCAACATCAGGGTCTTTTCCAGGGAGTCTTCTCTTCTCATGAGGTGGCCAAAGTATTGGAGTCTCAGCTTCAGGATCTGTCCTTTCAGTGAGCACTCAGGGCTGATTTCCTTAAGAATGGATAGGTTTGATCTTCTTGCAGTCCATGGGACTCTCAAGAGTCTCCTCCAGCACCATAATTTAAAAGCATCAATTCTTCGGCAATCAGCCTTCTTTATGGTCCAGCTCTCACTTCCATACATCACTACTGGATGTATGGAATTTCAGTTACTGGATGATGTATTTCAGTTACTGCAGCCTAATAACATGAACAGGGTCCTTGAAGAAATGCATTCGACAAGTTGTCCTCACCTAGGAATTTCTGTCTGGATTATTCCCAACAAAAAGGACTCTGGTCTTTAAACCTTTTTTTCAACTCATTATACATCATTTCCCAATATTCTTTTACCTTTTTACATGTCCACCACATATGGAAAAAGGTCCCCTCCCTTTCTCTGCATTTCCAACATGTATTGGATTGTACTTTATACATCTTAGCCAACCTACTCAGAGTTAGATACCATCTGTGAATCATTTTCAAATAGTTCTCTTTCAGCACGTAACATGAAGTAAATTTCAAATCACTTTCTCAAAGTTTCTCCCAGAGGTTTAGGTCTATATTGTGTCCTATATCCATTGCCCTGTGTGTCATTGAAGCTTTATCTAGCTCATCTTTTGTTTCCCATTCTAATGAAAGGTTATACATTCTAGACAAAAGTTTATCCTTATTTTGTAATAGTTCATTTTCAAATTGTGAGCTTTGGTCAACCCCCCCCCAAAAAAATGGTCTAATTTGAACATATCATATACCTGATGATATTGTAACCAGTCCGTAACTTGGCTTCTGAAGTTTCCCATGGATCTCTTACTCTAGCTTGATCTACCAATGGCATTTGATACCATTGACTATGGCACCTTCCTAGACCTTCTCTGTTGGGATTGGGGTTCCTCAGTGGTTCTGCTCTTACCTGCAGGGTCGATTCCAGAGAGAACCACTTCGTAGTTATGTGCCAGCCCCTGGCACTTACGCCGTGGGGTGTCAAAGGGTACTATTTCCCCCCTATACTACTTAACATTTCACGAAGTCACCGATAGTAGTCCTAAGAGATTTAGAGCACGAGGTCTTCAGTATGCTGTTGAAACTCGGCTCTATTTCTCATCCGAATCAGGACTGGATGTGTAAGTCATGAGACGGTAACTGGATGCAGTGGTGGGCTGGATGAGGGCCAGTGATCTGAAACTGAGCCTGGTAAGACAGTGTCCCTGTGGGTGGGTGGTTTTGCTGGCCATTTGCCTATTCCAGGCAGAGTCGGACTCCCTTTGAAGAAGCAGGTTTGTAATCTGGGGACCTTAATTGATTCATCCTTCTCACTTCAGTGGCTATGAGAGCCTTCGATGACCTTCGGCTGATATGCTCGCTATAGCCATTCCTGGATAATCTGGCCCCAGTGATCCATACGTTGGTAACCACTATGTGGGGCTGCCCTTGAGTGTGATCCAGAAACTGCAGCTTGTGCGGCATGCTGCTGCAAGGCTGTTGTTCTGTAGCTAACTGTTGTCAACACATTACACCTCTGCTGAAGCAGCTGCAATGACTTTCTATATGTTACCAGGACAGGTTCAAGGTGTCATTACTTGTTTCAAAGCTCTGCATAAATTAGGACCAGGATACTTGCGAGACAACTCCTTACACCCCTGCCTGGCCATGACATTCCAAGTCTGAGGACTTCCTGCTATTGGCCTTATGTCCACCATTAGTGGCAAAGTGGCATAGGATTCATTACCATCTGAGCTAAATTTCTGAATGAATTTTAAAACTATTGCCCACTCCTCATCTCACAGCATTGTACTGCTATTTTAACTGTGTTGCTTTTGGGGTTTTCTGTATACCCCTTTGATATATCACAATGTGAGTGGTTTATAAGTCTTTTAAAGCAACTTTCAATCTGAGATTGTTTGATGCTGAAGCAACATATATATGGAGGGCAACTTGTGAACTCCACATGGAGCTGTCCAGGGTGCTCTCTGAAATATCAATTCTTTACTCCCCTTGCTCTGCTGGAACCCAAACTGTTGTCTCGACCCCACTGTTTGGACTGGAACTCTCACACTACTGAGGATGTTGCCTGGAACAAAATAACCAACTGGTCTATTTCATATCTAAAGTGTTCTGCATCTAGATCTACATCTAGAGATGTAGCAGTGATGCCTTATTCTGCTGTCCCAAATGATTTCCTCCATTTCATACATAGATACATACATACATACTTGCATGCATGCTGTTTTGTTCTTATTTAGGCCAGGGAGATCTTTGTGGGAGGCTAGTGTGGTGTAGTGGTTAGAGCGGTGGACTCGTAATCTGGGGAACCGGGTTCACGTCTCCGCTCCTCCACATGCAGCTGCTGGGTGACCTTGGGCCAGTCACACGTCTCTGAAGTCTCTCAGTCCCATTCACCTCACAGAGTGCTTGTTGTGGGGGAGGAAGGGAAAGGAGATTGTTGGCCGCTTTGAGACTCCTTAAGGGGAGTGAAAGGCGGGATATCAAGTCCAAACTCTTCTTCTTCTTGTTCTGTGTTCCAGAATCCAGAAATTAAACAAGCAGAATTTGGCAACTCTCAGCAAGATGTTCTTTCAACAGATCAACATTCATGATCCTCACCTACATATTGACTTTGCAAGGGTAAAATAAAGCTTTACCTGCCTAAAGGTGAAGGTGGTTCTGGCCAAATAAAGAGGAAAAGAGCAGGTACTTGCGAAACACAAGCATGGGAAGGAGAGGAAGACATGATACAATTTCTCAGTGAGCATGTTATAAGGAGGCACGTCAAGGAAAATGAACAGTGCAAACTTGATCTTATTCACTGCCTTTACACTGCAGAAGGGAGCCAGAATTGCATTTTTGTTTCATTAGGCCGGATGATAGATGTACCTTTATGCTGTGTGCTGCGAGAGAGATTCTTCTTTGGCTATAAATTTGTCAGCCCCCTATTTAAGGGCACTTCATTCCTGCAACGGTATTAGGTGACATGATGCGGTCACTGGTGTGTCTGCTGCAGCAGCTGCTACAATTCGCTGATACCTTGAAGTGGGGAGACGCAGGAGTGGTTGGCAGCGTGTGACATTTTATGGCTGTTCCCTCTTGTCCTCTCATTGAGCTAATCAGAGTAAATGCCAGTAAACAAACCTCTCTGAGCCTCTGCCTCTGCGAGGCAAGCAGCAAAGTCTCGGGCACTTCCACACACTTGCAACACAGAATGCCTATCCCATAAGCATTTCCCTTTGTTGCCTCACTCCATGTACTGTGGAAATTTGTTCCTCTCTGCATGCTAAGCTGGCCTGCTGCAGAGATGCTACCATCATTGCTCTTACTTGAATTCAATACCTCATGATCCCAAAATACAAAACCTTTAACATTTAACTGTTGGACCTTTAACATGATGTCCCCCATAGCTATGCAGCTACTCATAGTAGGTGCAAGAGATTATTGCTATTTATAATAGGAAATAGAGAGTTTCCAGGCTAAGAATTCAAGAGTGTGTTATGAGTAGGGGTAGTGATTCCTTGGTTAGCCTTTGTTCAAGTTAACTGTGTCTTCAGGCTATAATGCAGCAGAAGGCATGGGATGGTATTCAACTAAGTTTTACTCAGACGAGTTTTACTCGTAATTCCCATGGATTTGCCTTTTCAGTGTAATGAATTCAGAAGCTTGAATCCTTCACTTAAAGCACTGTCAGTTTCACCTTGGACTTAATAAGATACACCCCACCTCGAACATATACACACACACAAAGACATATTTGCAGTGTGATTCTACACATCTCTACCCAAAAGTACCCATTACAAAAGTAAGTCCCATTCAGCTCAATGAGTCTTTCTTCCAGAGATAGAGCATAAAATTGCAGGCACATGAGCCTCTATGGCATTTGTTTTTGTTCTATCCGCTCTTCATATTGTTGAATATATGTTTGTTATATCTTGTCTGTGTCTCACACTGTCATTTACATTATTTGCACCCAACACAGGTATCATGCACACTCCCTGTTGGCACAAGACTTCTTCACACCTGCAACCTAACAACTGATTCTTGGTAGCTCTGTCTCTTCCCCTCTCTTTTATTAAAAATTTCTCCAAGCCACTGTTGGCCTTTGGCTGACGAAAGCTCAGCTGAACACCAAATTCCTGCTGCAAGAGCGCACATTACCCTGAATGTAATCACTGCGTTTTGTTGCAGGAAATACAAATCTGCTAGGGAAAATCCTAGTTCTAACTAACTAAAGAAGACATGTAACAAGCTATGCTTGGAATGGAAGGAGATTCCAGACCCTCCAAGTGTCCCTATTTTCCAGGGACAGTCCCAGATTTACAGATGCCATCCCGGTTTTAGATTTGATACTAGAATATCCTGCTTTTCCTTATGATGACCCTATTTTCATCAGAGAAATGTTGGAGGGTATGGAGGGTATGTGATTCCCAAGCCAAGGAGATAAGTAACTATACAACTTTAGAAGACACCTCTGAAGGCAGCCCTGTATAGGGAAGTTTTCCCCCTATTTCCCCTGTTTTTATATACCGTATTTTTTGCTCTATAAGACTCACTTTTTCCCTCCTAAAAAGTAAGGGGAAATGTGTGTGTGTCTTATGGAGCGAATGCAGGCTGCGCAGCTATCACAGAAGCCAGAACAGCAAGAGGGATTGCTGCTTTCGCTGCGCGCTGATCCCTCTTGTTGTTCTGGCTTCTGAGATTCAGAATATTTTTTTTCTTGTTTTCCTCCTCCAAAAACTAGGTGCGTCTTGTGGTCTGGTGCGTCTTATAGAGCAAAAAATACGGTATATTGGAAGCCTCCCAGAGTGGCTTGGACAACCCAATCAGAAGGCTGGGGTATAAATAATAAAATTGTTGTTGTTGTTGTTATGGAATAGGATGTCCCTATTTTAATTGGAGAAATGTTGGAAGGTATGAGGTTCAAAATAGATGTCTCCTCTCACGAGGGAGGTGTGGAGAAGAAGGAAGCGGGAAATTAGGTCAGCAACCCTAAAGATATCAGTCTAGCGCCTGATGGAAGATCAAAGGTTAAGCCAGGCAGGCAAGGCAAAAAAACAAGGAGGTTCTTGATCTACTTGATGCAGACACATCAGCCTTCAGTGCAAGCTGTGTTGCATCCCAACACGTACAAGAACAACAGCCCCATATTGGTAGCTATTTGTGGCAGAATGAGGCAGTTACCAAAGACATCATATGCCTGGGGGGCAAAATGTCTTGGCATAGCCCAGACCTTATCTCTACTTAACTTACACAGTATCTGAATAAGTGGAAGTCCCCCCCCCCCATTTGTCTTAACTTCTTTCTTAAAACAAACCATACATTTAAAGCACATTTATACAACCCTGGGAACTGTAATTTGCCCCTCACAGAGCTACAATCCCAAACACCTTCAACAAACCACAATTCCCGGGATTCTTTGGGTGCAAGTTATGTGCTTTAAATGTATGGTTACAATTTCATTGCTCTCCTTTAGTCTCTCCAACTTTGTTTACACCATTTCAGGTTTAGCTCATTTGCCTGCGCCTCCCTTGTTTCTATAACTCTGGCTCGTTCTGAAGGCTGCCTGCTAAGTTTCGTTATTGAGCGTGGTTGCTATGTGAGGCAAACCGTGTCGGGTGGCTAAGGCCTCCATCTTAAATTAGGGCCTGCGTGTCACAAAATCTCTCCCCTATTTACAAGGGTTTGTTTTGTGCCAAGTCGACAACCTGCTTGCTACGAGATGCTGCGTGCACAGCAGATTTCTGGAATCCACATGACAAGCTGGAGCACACGACGTGTTTGGCACGCCATTTCTAGTCATTATAAATCAGAAGTTCATGACAAGCACAAGTTCATAAGAAAGTTGAAGCAGGTCCTTCTCCAAAGTGGTACGCAACTCCACAGGGCACCCGATCAAACCACATTTTATTTATGGGGGATAAAACATGTCCATTTTTAACCTCTGACTTATCTTGAATAGCCGTGGTCTTTTCCAGATCACCTGGTTGATCTTATGTGCAAAGCACTGGGGCATTCTTGGGATTTCGGAGAGTAGCTCACATGTCTTTCGTTGACCTCTGAAGTAATTCGGCTCGAAGCCTCAAGAACTACACTTTGCTTTGTCGAGCCATCTCCATCTTAACTCTCACCCACAAAACAGAGGAAGTCCACCCTGTCAACCTTCATAGCTGCAATTCTGACCAAGAAACGTATTAGCAAAGCTGACCTCAGCTTGGTTTCAATGTCAGCGAGAAAGATATTTGGCTAACTTTCTCATCCCCCAGGCTTTCTTTGGCTTTAAGCAATAAGGTTTTGGCTGGTACTTTATGTATGATGAACAGGAACGGTATTGGGGAGGTCCCTGGTGCCTTCTGGGAAAAGTTGTTCTTTGCAAAGGGATGATTTCATCACTATTGTGTTCTCTCGTTTGCTGCACAAGGTTTTTTTCTTTTAATGAAGCTCAAAGGGAATATCTTTCACAGTGATTTTTTATTTTTATCTTGGTGGATGGCTCAAAATGGTGCAAGTTTGGGAACCTCTATAATATTTCTAAAAACTTGGCATTTTCATTGATTAACTCTTAGTACCATATTTTCAAATATCACACAATATTTTTTGCATCTTTTTATTTGTTTGCAAATTACTGTGTTGAACCGGTATCTCTCTCTATTTCTTTTAAACTTATTCTTCCTCCAGATGCTTCAGGACAGTGTAGTTGGGCATGTTTGCATTAATATGTGCTATCCTCAAGAATATGTGAAAGGTTAGAGGTTATGGTTGACCCATGCTCACCTACTAAAATTCCTGGTTCAGTAGGAGATTTTGAACCTAGATCTCCTTGATCCAAGCCTAACACTGTATTTAAATTCACTTAGCACATTTCTGTCCTCCTGCAATGCTCTCAACAGTGACCATATCTTCTTGCACAGCACTGGCTTTTATAGGCTTAGTGCTGGTGCATGGATCATTTTCGGAACAGCTCCATACGTTATAATTGCCGCAGGAATACTCCTATTGGGCTAGGTTTCCCAGACCCATGTGCAAGGAAGTTTAATGACACAGGGACACGTGGGCTTTACATCTATGCTTTACTGTTGGGCTACAACAAACATGAAATGTAGGGATGGTGAGCCAGTGGCCCTTCAGGTGTTTTTGGACTACAACTCCCATCAGCCTTGTGCAGCATGGCCAAAGTTCAAGGATGATAGGAGCTGTAGTACAGAATCTGGAGAGCAACAGATTTCCTACCCCGATGTCATGTTTTGACCTCTCTCTGTTTAAAATGGAAAGCAACTTTGTATTACCACATGTCAAGTGTTACCTATGGTTGCTGATTGTCCCTTTTCCTTCCAAGAGATTGATGCCTATGCTGTACACATCCTGGACTGAGGAAACCTCTTTAACATACCCTCCAACAAATGCAAAGAGAAATGTCTTATTCTATTATTATTATTATTATTATTATTATTATTATTATTATTACCCCACCCATTTGACTGGGTTTCCCCAGCCACTCTGGGCGGCTTCCAACGTACGTAAAAACATAATAAAACATTAAACATTTTTTTTTGAAAACTTCCCAATACAAGGCTGCCTTCAGATATCTTCTAGAGGTTGTATCTCTTCGGCTCAGGGGATCGCATAACTTCCTACCTTCCAACATTTCTCCAGTGAAAATAGGGACATCCTAAAGAAAAGTAGGACATTCCAGGAGCAGATCAGAAACCGTGACGGCTTCTGTAAATCTGGGACCATCCCTGGAAAATAGGGACATTTGGAGGGTCTGCTTTAATTCTGGCAGGACATAGCAAAGTTTCCAAAGACTAGATCAGTTTACTGGCACAGCAGGGGAGAAGCACAGAATGCCACCAAGATACAGAGCGGTTTATCGTTCCTTGAGGCTACTGCTGAGAAGCTGGTTTTAAAATTGCAAGAGCCATTACCTGTCTCCCTGACACCCCCCCCCCGCTAAGCAGTCCTTTCTCTCCCTTGAATAAGCCTTTTCTTTTAATAAACATCTATCATGTTACCTCCTACTTACTTTTTAACTAAACTACACGGTCCCAAACACTGCAACCTTTCTTTGTAGGGCATTCGCTTTATCCATGTGATCATTTCAGTTGCCCTATTCTGAAAACTTTTGCAACTCTACAATATGCTTTTTGAGGTGAGGCAAGCAGAACTCGGATTGAGAAAGATTCAAAACAGGTGACTCCTCTCATGAGGAGAAAACAGAAAATGCAATCAGAAACCCTAATCATAGGGATTTTTTTTCAGGGGGAACTCATAGGAACTCATTGCCATTCTAAGAGAACAAGGGAGGTGTTCATGGTAAGTTCTGGCACCTTTCCCCCCTAGAAAAATAGCACTGCCTAAGCGTACCAACGCTTAGGGACGCGGGTGGCGCTGTGGGTTAAACCACAGAGCCTAGGACTTGCCAATCAGAAGGTCGGTGGTTTGAATCCCCATGACGGGGTGAGCTCCCGTTGCTTGGTCCCTGCTCCTGCCAACCTAGCAGTTCAAAAGCACGTCAAAGTGCAAGTAGATAAATAGGTACCGCTCCAGTGGGAAGGTAAACGGCGTTTCCGTGTGCTGCTCTGGTTTGCCAGAAACAGCTTAGTCATGCTGGCCACATGACCCGGAAGCTGTACGCCAGCTCCCTCGGCCAATAAAACGAGATGAGCACCGCAATCCCAGAGTCGGCCACGACTGGACCTAATGGTCAGGGGTCCCTTTACCCTTTACCTTAAGCGTAGCAAATGGGGAAGGGGAAATGATCTGTTTCTTCTTTGTCCACATCTCTTTGCATTGTCACTCATTTCCACACAAGACCAAGCCACCCATTAAAATGGAGATCTGTGATTAGATCTCACAGAGCATTTATGTTCAGTAAAAAAACAGTTGCAGAGCTGCTCCAAATTGGATTAGAAGATCAGAACTTGAGAAGGATGGTTTTTTGGTTGTTGTTGGGTTTGTGTTTTTTTTTTGCCTGTGCCATTTTCCCAACTGTTGTTCAATCTACTAAGGGAAAATATAGGTTTCCCAGCCCCCAGTGTAACAAGCATCAGGGCGGAGTCTTTTAGGATCAAGATCAGGAGAATGGCCTGGGATAGTTTCTGTGTTTCCCGCAGTGCTGCTGATTCAAACTAATCCAGGCCCTCCAAAAACTGCTTTTAAGTAAAAAATAAATAAATCCAGTCATTAATCTTGCACCATGTAACATGCATGTATTTTGACCAGCATTTGTTGTTGTTTAGTCATTTAGTCGTGTCCGACTCTTCGTGACCCCATGGACCAGAGCACGCCAGGCACTCCTGTCTTCCACTGCCTCCTGCAGTTTGGTCAAACTCATGCTGGTAGCTTCGAGAACACTGTCCAACCATCTCGTCCTCTGTCATCCCCTTCTCCTTGTGCCCTCCATCTTTCCCAACATCAGGGTCTTTTCCAGGACGTCTTCTCTTCTCATGAGGTGGCCAAAGTATTGGAGCCTCAGCTTCAGGATCTGTCCTTCCAGTGAGCACTCAGGGCTGATTTCCTTCAGAATGGAGAGGTTTGATCTTCTTGCAGTCCATGGGACTCTCAAGAGTCTCCTCCAGCACCATGACCAACATATTGACTAACATATATACTGTTTAAAAGACGGCCGTAGACCCCAAACAAATGGTAAATGCTTTCCTGTGTGTAAATATGTTACTACTGAAAAGAACTGCACTTCCCCACTTCCTTACTGAAATACTCAGGGCTACCAGAAGATACTACAGGGAAATATTATACTCAACCACCAGATCACTTGCTCCTTAGACTGCAGTATTTATTTTAACAACTACTGAGAGGCTGCGATAGATGCCATGATACATGCAAGTTCTGGCACCGTCACTCCTGATTTCTTATTGTGGATCATAGCAACATCGCAACCAGACCTCTGCTCCTGGTTTCAGTTTCCATCAGAAGCAGCAAGCCAAAGAGTTTTCCTGTTTCTGACAGTGTGGAGAATCAGTCATGTGCATTGATCAGTCCTTTGTGGCCTGGTTCCCTGGCCTGATGGTGCTGACCTCAAAATCCTTGCTAAAGCTAAGATTCGTCAGGCCCAGCTCAACAACACCTTTCCCAAAACCCTTGGTAGAAATGGCAAAATATTTCTTTAAAAAAAAAAACCACCCCAACAAAGTCTGTGCAAGAAAAGTGTACACTACCTTTAACTTCATTGTGTTACTCATCAAATGTAACTTGTTCAAAATCATTTCTTCCCTACCTTCCAACGTTTCTCCCATGAAAAAAGGGACATCCCATTCCATAACAATAATTTATACCCCACACATCTGACTGGGTTGCCACAGCCACTCTGGGCAACTTCCAACATATATAAAAACACAATAAAACATTAATAAAACTTCCCTATACAGGATTGCTTTCAGACAGCTCAGGGGTCTGATAACTCCCTACCTTCCAACATTTATCCAATTAAAATAGAGACATCCTAAGGAAAAACTGGGCATTCTGGAATCAAATCAGAAACCGGGACGGCTTCTCTAAATCAGGGACGGCCCAGGAAAATAGGGACATTTGGAGGGTCTCTTCTTTCTACCCCAAATTCGACAGGGACTATCCTCAAACTTTTACACTGCCGAGTTTCAAATCAATCCGTTGAACCATTTTCTATAAGTTGTAGGCTGAAAATGTCTTTGTTAATTGAATCCTATCACATTGTGTTGCAGTTATGGGAAGTATTGCATTTTGCTGAACTTCTCCTCTTATGCAAAAACCACAAAGAATCTTGTGGGGACCTTAAACACTAACAAATTTATTATAAGCTTTCATCAACTAGTGTTCGCTCTATCAGATGTTTGAAGTGTTATCCCAAGACACACACACATATATACTCGTGAGGTCAACTACAGCTTATGCCTCTAACCCTCTGCAAATATGATCATTTTCAGGTTTTAAATTCAACAGCCAAATGATTGCTGTCAGATTGAGGACCAACAAAAGGGATTGTTTGAGCCATTCTGGATGCTGACTGCTTTAACGCCTTGCATTGGGTTGCTATCCTTGAGAGTATAACTCCATTGGAACCAGGGCAAGGTTTACATATTGCACTGTAAATGGGATCCACCTTGCTAATCCTCCCTGGGTTTAAGTAGATGGTCAATGCAGTGATTGACGACTGGGGAGAAGGGAGGAGTAGTCTGCCTTATGATGTTGGGGGTGCAGAACAGGAAGACAACACTCCAGAGTTCTGCGGCTGCTGCCATAGAGTAGGAGAGAGAGATCAGCCAGGTTCTTTTGCAGAAGCTGTTTAGTCCGAGAAGGGGCAGGGGTGGGTGTTTCATTTTCCAGACAGCTGCTAGTCATCTCTGCTAACCCCAAGAAGTGCATGAAGGCCTTGCCAGGGAAAAGGAGAGGATATCCACGAGTAGGCCTGGCTTCTTCTCTGGTAGTGATATTTTGCTTGTACAGTACAGATTTGCAGTGTTTCAGACCCGTTGCAACTCAAACACATGCTTTTGAGAAATGCTAATAAGCATGGGAAGTTGACTGAGCTAGAGAGGCTGCTAATAGCAGACATATGGTTGACCCTGAACTGATGGTCTTATTGACTTCTACACAAGATAGTTCCTGCCTGTGTGCATTTGCAGAACAGAACATTTGGAGTTTCTCCTACTGTCTTTCCTAGTCACTGCCCCATAATTCCTTGTAGTGTTTTGTCCAGCATCATGCAGGTGGCGTCAGATGGACCCTCTAGGCATGCCAGGACTGAGGTGTGGAAGGGGAAGATCTCGATAACTAATTCGGGCAATTCACTCTTGCTTCTTGAACTTTCAGACTTGAGTTTTGCTGGGTGGCCTTGGGTAAACTGTTCTCTCTCAGACTAACCAGCCTCACAGGGTTTGCCATCATGAGCTCATTGCAGGAAGGGTGAGAAAGAAATGTGGTAAATAAATAAACTGCTCTTCCCATGAGTGCAACAGATGGGGAAAGCACGGCTCCAAGAGAAAAAAATGTTTATACTAAACTTTTCTACTGGGGGGCAGGGGGCGGCGGATTCCAAAAACACCACTGCATCAGCAGGTCTGAAGAGCACCATTGATAACTATCCTCACTGAATTCATTTCAAACGTACCTTTTTACTTGCTCACTAAAACTTTCCGTTTTGCAGCTTTGTAGACTGGCTCAACAGGAATAAGCCACAGATGTTGCTGAACTCCACACCAGGTTGCAGGCAGGTGTGGGGGACTCCTTGGTCCTGAACTGTGAAGGACCAGCTATGCAGCCTGGGGGTCATTTTGGACTCACAGCTGTCCATGGAGACGCAGGTCAATTCTGTATCCAGGGTGGCTGTCTACCAGCTCCACCTGGTTTGCTGGCTGAGACCCAGCCCACAGACTGTCTTGCCAGAGTGGTGCATGCTCTAGTTATCTCCTGTTTGGACTACTGCACTGCGCTCTACATGGGGCAACGTTTGAAGGTGACCCGGAAACGACAACTAATCTAGAATGCGGTGACTGGGAGTGGCTGCTGGGACCATGTAATACTGGGGACTCAGCTATACAGTTGCAAATGAAACATTATAATGTGACACTAGATATCAATGATGAGCCTTATGGAAAATTCAACGTATTTTTAAAAAATGCTTTAAAAAAACCATTTTCAGAATGTTTTTCCATATGTGTGTAGATTCCACCTGGATCTGCATTGGCTCCCAGTAAATTTCTGAGCATTATTCAAAGTGTTGGTTCTGACCTTTAAAGGGTGGGCCCCACTACGAAGAAGACCCTCTGTCTGGTTCCCTGTAACCTGACTTCACTGCTGGCAGTGAGGGAACCACCAGAAGGCCCTTGGAGCTAGATCTTAGTGTCCCAGCTAAACAACGGGAGTGGAGACAGTCCTTCAGGTATACAGAGCCAAGGCCGTTTAGGGCTTTATAAAGATCTGCACCAACACTTTGAATTGTCCTTGGAAATGTATCGGGAGCCAATGTAGATCTTTTAGGATTGGTGTTCTATGGTCCTGGTGGACACTGCCAGTCACTAGTCTGGCAGCTGTGTTCTGGATTAATTGTAGTTTGAGTCACCTCAACACTGGTTGAATGTGTTAGGCTCCTGGTTTCAGCACAAGAACGGGTGCCCATAAAACAAAACTTGGCAACCAGCACAAAAGTGACATTTGGTTGAACTTGTATTCCAAAGCAATATCCAGCTGAGAAGTAGGAACACATGAAGATACATAATTATTTTCCATTTTGGTCAGGTAGAACAGAATGGGAAGCTTACTGGGCAAGGCAGACTTCAGTCTGCTGTCTCTCATTTGATGCCACAAAGTTTTCCTTGCAATTTCTGAGTTGGCCTCTACGCTGAAATGAAAAACCAATCCTCACTTTGTAAATATGCTATCACACTGTTTATTTGAAATGGTGCAGTGATGCAGAGGACTCCCAGGACTGTAATTTGAGTTGCTGATCATAAACTGTCTAAGCCGTTCTTCTTTCCTGGTATTCACTTGCACTGAACCTGAAGATTAGCTTACAGTCTGTTATGTGGTCAAGGATATTTAGGACAAATAGGAAGAATCGTTGATAAAGTCTGGCAACCAACTTCTTTCTAAGAAAACGATGCATCTTATAAGTGGACGAGGAAAAGTATATTTATACTTGTTTAGATGTACAGCCACCATCTGCCTGTGATTTTAATATTTTTATCTGCTGGTTAACTCTTGTAGCTTTAGTAAGAATGGTAACATATCCTGTTAGGATTGTGAAATCTGCCAATTCAACTTGAAATGGAGGTTGCTATCATATACAGTATATGCACTGCGGGGGCAGTGGGAATGGTATCAACATCACCTCAGGCATCATGCTAGAAGTGCAACCACACAAGCCTGTTCTGCCATTTGTCCAGACATTACCGGGGGGAGGGGGGATTTCTGAAAGGCAGCGCTTTGTCCTGGATCTTAAACAACTGAATCAATGTTAGGCAAGTTCAATATCTTTTTGGTTTTCCTTATAAAAGTTCGACAATTTTGGAGGGTTTCCTAAAAAAAAAAGAAAAGAAAAGCTCAGGATGTCCTGGTTTTTTACTTTTTGAAATTTGGCAGCCCTATGGAATTGTGAGAGATGTTGTGAACGAGCTTGCATTCCTGAGTTTGGGTTTATTATATATGTCAGTCATAAACTGTACAGGCTAATCAAATTGGTGAGCATTTAAATGAACAACTGCAAAGTCCAGTTTAACCATCGATTTATGGCTAAATTTATTTTATTTAATTCATTTAGGGCAACCCAGCCTGATGGGTGGGGTAGTAAAATAATAAAAATATAAAAATATAAAAATATAAAAATATAAAAATATAAAAATATAAAAATATAAAAATATAAAAATATAAAAAATAAGTCTCTATTTTCGTCAGAGAAATGTTGGAGGTTAGTATTTCCCACCATATTAACTACTGATTGCTTTTGTTCACTCCACTATGTTTATAAAATGTCAGAGGTTTATATGTGCAAGAACATAACTGTTAGCTCCGTTCTATGATTTGTAACTCTGGAGGAAGGCAAACTTCAGCAGCCTTGTTATATACTATGAGACAAACCTGATACGTTGTCATAGTGGCTGCAGTGGCATCCACAGGACTTTCATACGCTAACCCTCCTGCTTTCTGTGAGGAAGCAGATCTAACCTGAGAGATCTTTACGGCTCCCTCGAGAAGGGCTTTGCACTCTGGCCTTGCAGAATTTTGCTGCATATGCAACGTGCCACAAAGCAGTATCTTATTTTTAAAAAGCGGTTCCCTGGCAAAACGCAGCTCAGGGGTGCCATGCGCCGATGTGCCGAAACGATGGAATACTGTTCCACCGGAGTTAGGGAGCTGACAAACACGAGGGCGAGGCAACCTAACACCTTATTAGCATCATAAATTTTACGCTGCATTCCAAGAACGACCCGTCTTGTGTTTCTGGTTCATACTCTGGAAACGATCGCAGCCCTGGGAAACTTGTGGCTCGATATTATTCATGTAACGTTCCAAGTGCAAGGGGGGGAGGGATTGCAATTTGGGACTGGTCTTTAAATTTGTTGCCGTTGAGCCAACAAGTTACTGGTAAGTGACTGGAGAGGTTTTGGCCTAGAATATGCAGCCTTCTCTAAGGTCAGATTTTTATTACAGTGGATATAATACGATGATATGATACATACATACCCTTTCTGGTTTAGAAATAGGTTTAGAAACCTGCTGGAATGCAAGTTGGGCAGAAAAGAAACAGGAAGAAATGTGGCACCTGTTCACATATGTTTACCATACGGTTTAAATTAAGCTTTCTGCAGTGTGATGTGGGAGGTACTTGCAGGCTCAGGGGCAGAGAACATGCATTGCGTGGACAGGCGGAGTCCCCCAGATCCCGGGCGCCCCCCCGTCATGTGGAATAATGACTCAAGACAACATGCTATGGGATTAAATTGGCCACAACTTTATTATATTTCAGATGTGGGTAGACCTTGGCTCAGGCACTGGACCTTATCCCTCCCCAGTCCCCAGCCGGGGACCTAGGGAACATCAGGGTTATTCAAGTGCGGAGGGGATGGGCCGGCTCTGGAGAACATATGTTCAAGCAGAGATAGCCGCCCCCACTACGCCGTCGCCGCAGGGGAGAGCAATGACGACCTCTCAGCGTACGGTCAAAGCCTCCCCTCAGAAACCCCTTTAACGGGGAACCCTGGTATCGCCGCTGCAAAGAGGTGCCCAAGGATTCCGCCCAAGGCCTGATACCACCAAAGTTGTGACGTTTTGCTACAGGAAAGGCAAAACCTGCCAATGCAGGGAAATTCCTTTCCGGCCCTTTAACAGCGACCTTGACGTAGCAGCGCCTGCATACCTGTGAAGAAAAGTTATCCTGCAAAATAAGCCTTAACTGAGGGTGGATAGGGTGGGAGAAGCTCTGGAGCCAAGTGAGGATTCCCAGGTAAGATGCTCCCTCTATTGTGTGGGCAGGTAGTCCCTCCCCTACCTGGCCTGGTCTCCTTGGCAACGCTTCCCCCAGGTGGGATTGGACAACTGACTGAGGTAGGCAGAGACCTGCAGGTATCCCACCTGGGAGAAGGCGAAGCCAAGCCTGTGTTGATGGAGCCGCTCAAGATCCAGGGGCTGCGCGCATCACACAAAGGTCGCCCCCCGTTTTATGTGGGGAGCAGTCATTGTATGCAAAAGGTCCCAGTTTTAGTCTGAAGCATCTTCAGGTAGGGCAGGGAAATACTGGAAACCTTGGAAAACCATTGCCTTCCGGTTTACACAATACTGAACTAGACAGACCAGTTCTTTTTCTTTTCTGCTACTTCAATTGATTGATTTACAGAAGGGATTTTAATGGCATAAGAGCATTCCCCAAAGTTCAATATCCATTTGTCTTTTTGCCACGTGAAATAAATAGAACTAGTAAAATCTCATCCTCTAAGGTTGTTCCATAGTTACCCACAGCACTTCCAGAGTGTCACTATTTTAACAAACCTACTTCCCTCCCATATTGCGGTAAGAAGAGTGGCAGGCTGCATATATGCCATACATCTGAAGCACATGACTTCCCCCAAGGAATCCTGGGAACTGTAATTTGTTGTGGGCACTGGGGATTATACGTCTGTCTGGGCTAAACTACAGTTCTCGGGATTCTTTGAGTTTGTTTTGAACGTGTTAGCTAAATGAACTGGAAAGAGTGGGATAGAATTTATTGGTGCGAACTTCCTGTCCAGCAAATCGGAACGAGTGCTCCATAATTCCTCAGCACCATCTAATTCCGCCGCCCCCCCTAAAGAAATCAAGATGAATACTCAGTAAAGTGGATGTCTGGAAGTCATTCATTGCTGGTCTTCAACTGATGTTTCCCCTGTTCGCAAAGACTGTAAGATCATGCCAAGTATTCTCAAGGTCTGTATCTCCTTTAGCCTTCTGTATCTGCATGGTTATTATTTCTAGTTAAGCAGTGTCTCGGATCTGCGCTTTCCACAGTGCTATTGGTACCTGCTCCTCTGTCTCTGCCACCACCAGATGAGCAGCTGCCAATAAAAAAGGCATTATCTTTGCCCTGCAATTTTCATTTTCTCCACCCAATATTGATAATAGTTTTGAATCATTTTTTTTACCTTCTTCCATTACGTCATCACAATATGTACTTGCTACCCTGCAATCCCACTCCATGTGGAAATGTGTTTCATTCCCTCCATACACACCCCAGCAAACTTACTGTTTGATAGACTTAACCAGGCATAGGCAAACTCGGCCCTCCAGATGTTCTGGGACTACAACTCCCATCACCCCTAGCTAACAGGACCAGTGGTCAGGGATGATGGGAACTGTAGTCCCAAAACATCTGGAGGGCCTATGCCTGGACTTAACTTACTTTACATAGAAAAAACAAATGCATTTCTGAAATAATTCTGTCTTGTTTTTGCTAAAACTGCCCTAAGAGATCTCTATTAATATGTCTTGGACCACTGAAAGCAATGCATTTGAATCCTCCTTGCATACCACATTAAGCCTTTCTGTTGTTTTTGTAGACTCCTGTATTTTTATTATACCAGACGTTTCATTTAACTGGAGAAGTAATGATCTATATTGCTGATTTGCCCAACAATCTCTTGGCAGATAAGTAGAGGCTTGGAGAGAGACCTGGCATACAGTTCAGGTAGGTTAAACATGCACACATGAAACTTAAAAAACCAAAACCCTGCCTAGGAGCATCCCTCCAGTTCACAGTGCACAAACAGCTAAATTTGCATCTGCACTGCATGCATTACAAAAAATACTGAAAATATTTGGCATCCTGCTTCAGAAAGCTTTCACCTTGAAAGATACTTGGTGGGCTCTTCACTTTCTCTTTATGGATTTCTCTGCTAATGCTGTAATGAAATTACTTCTGCTTTCCCCCACTTTATCTGCCTAAACAGCTGTTAGGATAACCAGCTCACTTTCCATAAGCCTTAAATACCATATTACTCTTCTTTGCCAGATTGGAAATAATGAGATCAAAGGAACAACATATCTGAAATGCATGTTGGTTTTCATTGTTAGCTCTGCTGGTAATATTTCACCCGTGGGGCCAGTGACATCGCATGAGAATCGGAGAGGGGGAGAGTTCTCTGCTAAAGCCAGCCATTCTTTCTACTTGCCGCTTCAGTGCTATTAATAGACAATTTAAACAACAGCTCTCAAGGTCTGCCAGACATAAACGTTTCAGATGCTTTTTCTGTGCATTTTCAACAAAACGGGTGACTTTGTAAAATACGTTTTTACTCAGCATCCAAATCAAGAGTAAGACTGCCAACTTTTGGCCTGTATTGCGTTAAAAGAAAATGTTATGAAAATGGTATATAGATGGTATATAACACCAGTGAACTTAGCAAGAATGTATATTGGAATGTTGGAAATGTAAAGAAAAGGAAGGGACTTTTTATCATATGTGGTGGGAATGTAAGAAGGTGAAAGGCTTCTGGGAAATGATATATAACAAATTGAAAAAAATGTTGAAATATACATTTGTTAAGAAACCAGAGGCATTTTTGTTAGGAATGGTAGGAAATGAAATAAACAGGAAAGATTATAAGCTTTTTTTATAGGCAGTAACAGCGGCAAGAATATTGCTAGCCTAAAAATGGAAACAAGAAGAATTACCGTCGATGGAAGAATGGAGAATGAAGTTAATGGAATACGCAGAACTTGATAAACTAACTGGAAGGATCCAAGGCCTACGAGACCACAGATTCACTGAAGACTGGAGTAAATTTGTAGACTATTTGAAAAGTATTTGCGATGAACAATTAACGTTTGTAGGTTTGCAAGAGGCTCTGTGAAAATAATATTAGAAATATTGTTAAAAAGGGAATAAGAGGGAAGAGGTTTTTAATAAAAGGCAATACTAGATTAAGAAATGCGGAAGAAGGACTAAAACGGAGGATTTGCAGAAGAGCTGAGGGAACTCCAAAAAATGTATTTGTGAAAAATTGTGTTATGTGTTTTTATATTTTTGTATTGTAAAATGAATAAAAAATAATTCAAAAAAAAATACTGCCAACTTTTTTTCCTTTTGGGGCTCCCAAGCCTTGCATACTTGTAAAACAGGGAACAATTCAGCAGGCACTGCTTTTCTCGATGTGAGGAACCCTCCTCCCCCTCCATGCCCCCAAAGCATGTTGCAGGCATCACAGGGCTCTTTCCCCCCCTCCATGTGCCAGGAAAAGTGCAAACTAGTGAATTACGGTATGTCATGCATTGTTGGGTTGAAAATCACGACAGACGAGTGGCAGGTGTCATATGAGAGGCGTCTGCCGGGGCGAGCCCCGGGAACTCTCTTTTATTGAATATTACAAACATTGCCACAGGTGTGCTTGTGGCTGATTGGTTGATACAAACACAAAGCAACTTGTTGCTGATTGGTTAACATGGGTACAAGGCGGGAATTACATATAACTATTTATCACTGATAGATCAAAGGCTGAGAAACGGAGCTGGAACTAGACAGGCATGAATCCTCCTAATTAAATTATAACTAAAGATTAATATTGAGAGAACATAACATGAAAGAATACAACAATCACGTTCCGTAGATGTGGTCAGCAAAGCATTAAGAACAGGTCAGGGTACACTGTTTCATGAACTCAATGGGAACTGTTCAGAACATTCTCAGACTCATGTGCAGAGGCAAAAACTTCCCAGCATGCAAGAGAAAAGAAGCAATAGTTCTCATAGTAAGACTTCCCACAATGCCACAGTTATGTGCAGTAAGAGAACTGCAGAAAGAGAACTTCCCTTTAATGCATCCATTAAAGGCGCAGGAGCCCTTCCAGAACAAAAGTTGGCAACCCCGAACATTTTGCAGAACCATTTTTATCTAAACATCGGTCATCCCAATTTCCCACACATTCGGAATAAAGCTGCTGTGACATGTAAATGTTTCCAAAAGTCAAAAATAGGAAGGGTCTATTTTAGAATCCAACCTATTTATTTGCTAATGCATAGTTAATCTTGAAAGAAACAAAAACAGAGGATTGGGAAGTGCTAGTCGGAAAACATGAATCCTCCTCTTCCCAAGGCAGCTCTGCAAAGTTTAATTTGCATTTCCCCCCAGATGTTGGCTTCTGGTAAGAACCTAATTTAGCATCATAGCACGTAACAAGATGCACGGGAAGTTTTCTGAGAAGCCCTCATCCATCTCTGTGAACCAGTGAAGACAAGAGTGAGTCAAAGCACCCAATATATCACAGAGTTAAAGAGCTGTCCAACGGTGATCTCCATGCTTTCAATTAGCACTGCCTCCATAGGAACTCCTAAGATGGCGCACCTTTTTAAACACAGCGACACACACAGCTGAACTCACATAAATCCTTGCATTAACGTTAGACTCATACAGCTTATTTGGCATACAAGGACCTGAGTTTTGGAGAGCACATTTCCCAAAGGGGTATCAGCGCCATTAACCCAAAGTCTGCACTGGCTTTATATTTTCCTGTCGGAGAGATGTCTGCAAACAGCCAATTATGTGGGATTCGGCCATCCACTTGGATTCCTAGCCACATGCCTAAATAAGGAATTGCACTTGAGGGGCAAGAGATGGCTATTCACATCTCTCAGTTCATAACCCTGGCATTGGTTCAGGAAAAATGTAGGCTTTGGTCATAGGAGTTTGAGCAATGCTCTGGTAGTGTGACTTGTTTATTGATTTATCCCCAGCATAAATTTGACATTGTGATATCCGGGTGACTAAAGATCTAAAAACTACTGCGTGTAATGTTATAGGAGTTGGATAAATATATGCAGTGCAATTTCCATCTACAGAAATGGCCTCCCGCTGAAACATATTCATAAGTAACCCCACCCATGGTTTTAAATGCCATTCCTTCAAATTAGCCACATTTTCTCGCAATGCCTGTTCAAATGCGAGCTTCTTAGCACAACCGATAGGTCAGGATCTCACCAACCCACAACATTATAATTTAGGGAATGTAACATTTAACCCATTCTCCATCCACCATGATTCCTGCAATCCTGGGGGGTGGGGGTGGACTAGAGGATCCTGAGAGCCAGTGTGGTGTAGTGGTTAAGAGCGGTAGATTCGTAATCTGGGGAACCGGGTTCGATTCCCCGCTCCTCCACATACAGCTGCTGGGTGACCTTGGGCTAATCACACTTCTCTGAGGTCTCTCAGCCCCACTCACCTCACAGAGTGTTTGTTGTGGGGGAGGAAGGGAAAGGAGAATGTTAGCCACTTTGAGACTCCTTCGGGTAGTGATAAAGCGGGATATCAAATACAAACTCTCCTTCTTCTTCTTCTTCTTCTTCTTCTTCTTCTTCTTCTTCTTCTTCTTCTTCTTCCAACTCTACAATTCCATGAGTATGTGATTCTCCTGTGGCTTCCTATTGTAGAGCCCTCCCAATTTATTTTGAAGTTGAATCTTGCTTCCAGCGACAATGGGACAGTGTCCTCTACCACCCCTGCGACCAGCAGATTTGTTTAAGATGTGCAGGATACACCAGAGGGCTGATCTTGCTGCTCTCTCAACACCTCCCATCATCTATGGCTGATACGACTTCCTCACTTTGCTTACTGGTAGGGCTGGCCTTGCAAGGCAATTATCAGCAGTGGCAGGGAAGCTGCCTTTCAGGGAAGCTTGTCTGCAATGACTAACCTCGCTGAAAAATCCCTAACCAACTTCTTGGGAACCCCAAGGGAAAGGGCTTCTCCCAACCAAGCTTGCAAACCACTTTTCCAGTAGATGTTGTATTAGATCAGCTAACGGAAGTGCTACTCATTCATTTTATTGTTTCGCTGCTTTAATGAGAGTCAGGCCTTGTAAAAATCGGCACCCTTAAGAGTAGATGCCAAACAGCTTAGCGATTAAGAACTGGTGAAGGTAGTGATTTAAAGGAACCCCTTTCACCGGGGATATTTGTAATTCAGAGAAGCAGCTCCAACTGGGGGCTTCCAGAGCTAAGTCCCAGCTCTTTCCTGGTCTCTTTCTGCGATTCTGCTATTCCTTGACATGCACACCCACCTCCGTCAACCCCCTGCCCTCAGCTGGGAGGATGAGTCATCTTTGGTACCCAAATTTTCTCACTTTCCAGAGATCATGCATCATTACAGTTAAAGTGGCTACCTTCAGAATAATTAACAATGAAACCATATCAAGCATTCTTCTTTAATATTATTGTTGTTGTTGTTTAGTCATTTAGTCATGTCCAACTCTTCGTGACCCCATGGACCAGAGCATGCCAGGCACTTCTGTCTTCCACTGCCTCCCACAGTTTGGTCAAACTCATGTTGGTAGCTTCGAGAACACTGTCCAACCATCTCGTCTTCTGTCATCCCCTTCTCCTTGTGTCCTCTATCTTTCCCAGCATCAGGGTCTTTTCCAGGGAGTCTTCTCTTCTCATGAGGTATTGGAGCGTCAGCTTCAGGATCTGTCTTTCCAGTGAGCACTCAGGGCTGATTTCCTTCAGAATGGAGAGGTTTGATCTTCTTGCAGTCCATGGGACTCTCAAGAGTCTCCTCCAGCACCAGAATTCAAAAGCATCAATTTAATATTAGGAACGTCAAAACCGCCCGCTGCCTCTCCTTATATTCCTAAGTCCCACCGAGTTCCCAGGTGAGTATTGGGTTGCAGCCTCAATCTCCATAAAGATTACTCGTGTTTTCCAGAACATGTAACTGTTGCCCGTTTCATTCCTAGCATATTATCCTCATGCTGTGTTACTCCCATCATGCACAAATAGCTTGACGACATGAGGTTTGCCAAAATTCTGAGCTAAATCCCCAGTGCATCTCTGCTGGGCCCTCTCTTTCATCACCTCTGGAAAAATACGTTTCACAGAAAGCAAATGTTTTTACAGGCAGCAATGAAATGAAATGAAGCATATTGTTTAGGTTTAGATGCTCTCGGAGGAAAATACGGCATTGTATCCAGTGCTTTCCCTAGGAAGGCTTGGTGGGTGGGGTTCGCTGTAGCTTGATTAGATACAGGTGTGAATGAATGAGAATAATAATAATAATAATAATAATAATAATAATAAATTATACCCCTCCCATCTGCTTGGGTTCCCTCAGCCACTCTGGGCAGCCTCCAACAAAATATTAAAATACAGTAATGCAGCATTTCCCAACCTTGGGCCTCCAGCTGTTTTTGGACTACAACTCCCATAATCCTCAGCTAGCAAGACCAGTGGTCAGGGATGATGGGAATTGTAGTTCGAAAACAGCTGGAGGCCCAAGGTTGGGAAACACTGCAGTAATGCATCAAACATTAAAAGCTTCCCTAAACAGGTCTGCCTTCAGATGTCTTCTAAAAGTCTGGTAGTTGTTTATTTCTTTGACATCTGGTGGGAGGGTGTTCCACAGGGCGGGTGCCACTACCGAGAAGGCCCTCTGCCTGGTTCCCTGTAACTTGGCTTCTCGCAGTGAGGGAACCGCCAGAAGGCCCTCGGCGCTGGACCTCAGTGTCCGGATAGAACGATGGGGGTGGAGACGCTCCTTCTATTTGCATTTAAAAACAAACTTAATTTGTACTTTCCCAAACAACATGCAGAGCAAATGCGGCCATCCTTCAGAATTTGCACTTATTAGAATTTCATATCCTCCAACATTTCTCCAATGGAAAATAGGGACATCTTAATAAGAATAAGAATAACATAATGATAGTAATACCCCACTCATCTGACTGGGTTGCCCTAGCCACTCTGGGTGGCTTCCAACATATATAAAAACCTTAAACATTAAAAAGCTTCCCTATAAAGGGCTGCCTTCAGAAATCATCTAAAGGTTGTTTAGTTATTCAGCTCTTTGGCTCAGCGGTCGCATAACTCCATACCCTCCAACACTTCTCTGATGAAAATAGGGAAGTCCTAAGGAAAAGTGGGACGTTCTCAGATCAGATCAGAAAACCAGGATGGCTTCTGTAAATCTGGAACTGTCCCTGGAAAATAGGGACACTTGGAAGGCCTGGAATCCAGCAATGCAGTTCCCCAACCAAGAAACGTAGTATAAAAATGCATATACTAAAAGGTTCAAATAAGTGCATATATTAGTGAAAAGAACATACAAAAATGCGCCAGGTTTCAGGGAATTGCGTTGCAATTACAAAAGTCACATACAAAATGTGTACAGGAGGAGAAATTCTCCCAAAAATACTGATGAAGTTGCACAGCTTTTCTAAAAATTGCAAACGGAAGTGAAAATGTGGAGAAGATAACTCAGATTATAAAAAAGAGAGAGAAAACCTGAAAGCAAAATTGGCATATTTGCCCATCCCTAGGTAAGGGATGGATGGATTACCCCAGGCTAGTAGTGGGATAGGAGCCTTGCTTCCTTTCTAGGTTGCAGAGGAAGCAAGCCCTGCACCCCTGAGATCAGGCATATCCAAACTTGGCCCCCCAGCTGTTTTGGGACTACAACTCCCATCATCCCTAGCTAACAGGACCGGTGGTCAGGGATGATGGGAACTGTATTCCCAAAACAGCTGGAGGGCCAAGTTTGGCCATGCCTGCCTTAGATGAATTTCTGGAGCTACTTATTTACCTTTTAGTGGTACATCTAGTCTCTTGGCACATTGAGATCTGGTTATATGTGTTGATCTTTGGAAGGCTCATGGCAATGGACTTAGACTACTAGACAACACAGAATTTTGTATGGAGTTACATTATTCCAGCTGTGAGTTTGGTGCAGAGTCCAAAAACTAACACCGCCCTTACAGAGTTGCTCAAGGATACACGTTGATTGCATGGAATGTAAAAGGGATCTGCGAGCTGTTGCCTAGCTGCAGGTACAAACACAATCTATTCTTCAGAGCAGAAGGAAGAGGCCTCTTCAGAATTTCACTTTTTGGATGAATTCAAGAGCAATCTCTACTCAACAGGTTTGGACATGAGAGACAGGTTGGGCAGAGAGGAGCTGGGAGACCTGCCCTGCTAAATCTTCCTACTTGCCCCTTCCTCAACCAATGCTTAAATTTATTACAGAAATTACTTCTTAAATGTAGGGGAGATATTATTTGGAATCTGCCTGCCATGAAAAATCATGAAACTAGCACCAGAAGGGGGGATTAAGAGGAAGGAAGATTGACAAGTCAAGACTCAGATGGTAGGCAGACTTTTCCTACCCGGCCAATGAGATAGCAAAAACAACCAAACCCACTCTATGGCTATGATATCAATTCAAGAGCAATCACTGTGGCAGGGAAGTGGGATTCAGTAGTCTCTGCTTGCTGGGCCGAGGAAGGAGTCACTTTGGTGAAGCTGAAGCAGCAGTAGCAGCAAAAGTGTTGCCTGTTAAGCAGACGATGTTCTTACTTTTTCACACAAAGCCTTCTCAGATGTTAAATTGTGGGCAATTTCAGACATCCTGTTTATTGAGCATTCATCCCGATTTGTTTGCAGGGAGATTAGGTAATGTGGAGTATTTAACGAGCATCTGTGCCAATCTGTTTGTGGGAAGTTTGTATGACATTGCGCAAAGAAATGTTGTCCCACACATTCCAGTGCATTTTCTCATCACTTTTCATATCGCGAAAAGTCCGGTCTTTTAGGGAAGCAGGTTTGTTGCACAGGGCCTCTCAGTTAACCACAATTACACCACCAGAGTTTGCTGTTGCATGGCTGAAGTTGAATCCCACCTGAAAATGGCAACACCCATATCTAGCATTTGCTGAGTGTTTGCTCTGATTGTTCGCGGTGTGGTCACATGGCCACGAGTATTCATTGTAAAACATTTATATGTCTTCACATCAACAATTTGTTCATGTCACATTTTTTAGTGCAGTTCTCCATCAATGTCCAAAATGCTGATATATTATTTGGGCTACTATAGAAGGAACAAAAATGTTGGTGGATCAATAGTCCTCTTGCTCACTTGGTTAGGTCAGTTGCCGGGGGAAAGTGCCAAAACTAAAGGCGTTTAGCGATGAATTTTGCCTGGGGCGAAGCACCATTGATGGTCTCAGCCCACCAGCCAATCCACAATGAGTCTGGGCTCTCCGGCCACCTCCCCATAGGTCCAAAGCAGTTTTGCTTTTGCCTTTGTTTGCTAGTCCATGTCTGTGGGGTGCCCAGGACAGCTGCTTTGGGCTGTGGCGCCATGTCCTCTGTGTGCCTTTGCACTGCTTGGTGGTGGGCAACTGCCTCTGGGAGAATTTGACTAGATCCATCATGGGCAGACAGACCCGTGGAGTTACCCTGAAATCTGTGCGTTCAAAAGATGTGGTAAATGAATTACACAGAGCCCATTAGGAATGCCACTCTCTGTACTAGAAAACAGGGCGCACTCTCTGTGTACAAATATTTCTTGTTCCAGTGGCATCAGGGGATAACCCTGAAGGCCCCTAATGCTGGAGCTGTGCGTGAGGTCTAGGTCCACTCTGTGCCTAGCTAGGAGGCTGTTCAGAAGAATCTGCAGCATGCCTTGAATTCTGCGAAAGAATGGCACACTGCGAACGTAATACATAATGAGTACGTTACATACCGTACTCCCATTGATAGGTACTATGTTCTTTCTTTAAAGCACTGGCAACAAATACCCAAAATCTGAACAAGCAATTCAACAACAACAAAAAGCCTGATTACAACAAGAAACAAATGGTTAAACCAGAAAATGAATCATCTTAATGCAGATAACACCTTAAAAAATTTCCTCAAATTGATAAATAATTTGGTGAAGAATCGGTCTCTTTGGCCCAGAATAGAGATTGCCAGAAATTCATGGCATGCTAGCTTAGTTTAAAGATACAGTCAACAAGACACATTCAATGTTACTTCCCAAGAGGGTTCTGAAATGTCTGACTTGGCTGGGAAAAGAGATGCACAACAGGACATGAGGAGAAAGGGAGTAGGTTAAAAGCACGTGGTTTGTCCCCAACAAAATTCCAAATTGTGTCAAAAACTTAATTCTGCAGCTAACGTATTCTAGCTGGGAAGTGATGAGTGGAAACGTGAGAATGATTGATCCCATGCCAATCCCTGCACAGGCCACTGGGGGTTGGAGTAGATAACATCTGAGGTTCCTCCCGACTCTAAAAATCTATGATACATAGAGCCCTGTTTAATTTGACCTTGCATTATTAGAACGAACGAATGTCAAATCTACTTAAAGCTGCTTCCTTGTCCTCGGATATTTTTTATGTTATTTGGAAGAGAGAAACTGTTTTCTCTCCATACATTGAAAATTATGAATTGGAGCTGGTGTATCTATCAGCGGCCAATAGCATGCTGGAATATACAGCTCTGCGATAAGATATTAAGGTGTAGTTTCTCCGCCGGAATGTTTATTGGGAGACGTGCTACTGATTTTAATATACCCATAACATGCACATAGCAAGTCATATCATATCAGCTAAGTTCATATCATAATCGTCACTTACTACTTCAGCATAGAGAACACAATGAAGATGGCTCAGTTTACTTCCACTTGCCTGTATGCAGAATGGAAACCATGACAGGGACTCTCTTCATTCAAAGGTTTTTATCCCTAAATGGTCTAGGGCCCGCCTCCTTCCCCAGTACCCACCCCCCACTTGGCACACCTTCACTATAAAAGGCACCGAGCTGCTTGAAAAATCTCTCAGCTTAGGAATTGGATCCTCGGAGTCCGGATTAATTACAACTTTCCAGGTAAAATGGTAACCTTAGCCTTTTCGTGGGGATGGTCAGTGAATGAGCTGAGACTTAAAGGGATGGGCATTTTGAACTTCATGTTTATTTTTAATATGTGCGATGTATCTTCGACAAGGGGCACAACAGGTGGTGGTTAGATCAAGCAAGATACGTAGCGGGAGACCAGGAACATATCGCTCGATAGCGGCAAGCTTAAATTCAGAGGGAGATTTAGAATCCGAAAGACTAATGAACGGACCAGGAGATTTATGGTGAATGGAGGACTCTGTGGCAGGCCCAGGGCTATGAAAGCACAGCTTCCAAAGCAAGCAGGGCTCGCATGAACACATGAGGCATGCAAGAGAGAAAGTGAGAGGTAAAAAGGAGGAGGTGAAGTCAGGACCGGGTTATGTGATGAGCCTGTGAGTTATGGGCACAGTTCATGGAACAGGAGCCGGTCTGTGTAAATCTCATTGAAATTTCCCATTCATTTCAATGCGGCTTCTGCAGAATATCCTGCCTGTGAACTTTGCTCAGCATCACTTTTCTGTCAGACATGCTACTAACCCAGGAACCTGAGAGGATGGTTTCTCAAGTGGCACATTTATCCTTTAGGGAGGTTTTTTTCCCCCCTTAACAAAGTGTTTTTCAGTTACTACCTTAACTGACATAGTGACTTGACTTCACGAGGTTCTCTCTCGAGCAGAATGCCACACTCACTCACAGATCACAAACTGCACTTGCAAATGGCAATACATCTCCCACATGAAATTAAAAAACCTGTTCGAGTCTGGATAGAGATTAAACAATTATGGAACATAAGACGGCATGGAAACAACTTTGAATGATTATTCCAGAGGGGTAGCCTTGTTACAGTCTTTTCTAGCAAAACACTCTCTCTCTCTCTCTCTCTCTCTCTCTCTCTCTCTCTCTCTCACACACACACACACACACACACACAGAGTTTTCTGTGGCACCTTAAAAATAAAGGCAGTAATCTAGCCTCACTTACTTGGGAGTAAGCTCCATTGGCTTCAATAGGACTGACTTTTCTGTAGACCTTGTTAGGATTCCAACGTAATCTGTTTCTATTGTCACATAAAGCTTTTGAGGACACCTAGTGGTCGCTATAAAAAACTAAGGTTCAGGGGACTGGGTGTCATAAATAAGAGCAGAGAGAAGGCCGTGTTCTGTCAGCTTTACAGGTGAACTACATGCTAAGCTTCTTTCAGCTGTTAAGTGGCTGGTTTGAATAGACAGCCTGTGAGAGGTGACACCCAAACCTGGCATTCCAGATATTTGCCTGAATTATGTGCCTTGGAAACTCCAGAGCTAGTTTTGGGAAAAGAAGTGGTGGCAAGGACCATTATTAGGGAGCGGGTGAAATATTTTGGACAGCACCTGTTGCCTATACGGCTTCCACTGTAAGAGGCAGTCCCAAACTTCTTTGAGCTCTTTGGTGGTGGAGCAAAATACGAATGTCAGAAACAAAAACTAACTACCATATTTTTTGCTCTATAAGATGCACCAGACCGCAAGACGCACCTAGTTTTTGGAGCAGGAAAACAAGAAAAAAAATATTCTGAATCTCAGAAGCCAGAACAGCAAGAGGGATCGCTGCACAGTGAAAGCAGCAATCCCTCTTGCTCTTCTGGCTTCTGGGATAGCTGCGCAGTCTGCATTCGCTCCATAAGACACACACACATTTCCCCTTACTTTTTAGGAGGGAAAAAGTGAGTCTTATAGAGCAAAAAATACGGTAAGTGTCTGAAGATTTTCACTGACGGAAAGGTCTTTACTCTGGTTTCTGGTTTTAATGTAGCATGTGCCATGTTTTTGGTACTCAACGTCTTCTTTTCCTCAGAGGGTAAAATGAAAAAAAGTTGGGAACTATCCTCCCCCATCAGAAACCTCATAGTTTGTTTGTTTGGTGGTTCTTTCTGCAGCATTCCTGCTATGATTTCTACACAGCACCAGTTCTTCCTTAAAGCAGACAAAGGAATAATGGAGGACGAGGAACACCTGGAGGAAGGAGACAATGGCTGCTCCCTTGCATCTGACTCAGGTTTTCCTTTAAAGACAGTATCGCTTTCGCCCACTCAACCCTACGCAAGTTTTCCCCCCCTAAATCAGTTACTCTCATTAGCTCCCAAGTATTAAATAAGCAATGCAGTTGTCATTTATGAGTCTTTGGGAACACTTGTCCTTTATGTTTTCAACGAGGACGTGGTAACGCACAATGCAATTCACGACACCAGCCTCCGCACATTTATTCAGTGGTTATTCTGCGTAGGATTGCTGATTAAGTGTTTTATGCTGCTAGAAAGTAAGGAACAGCTGAATCAAATTTATTTAAGATCATTTAAATGGTTTTCAGGGAAATCAGGGGGGGCTTGAGGGCAGCCTGCCTTGAACCCTTCCAGGCATGCCGATACTCAAATTTTGGGCTGAATTTGCCAAGTGATGCCAGGATGACTGTGTTTATCTCAGACAGTGGTCTACTAGGAGGAGTTCTTTCTTTGAAGGACTGTCCACACCAAGTTTTAAAATAAATAAAAGACAAGAAGGAAGAGCAGGGCTTTGTCAACTGTTAGCTCCTGTGTTGCAGAATGAATAGGCAGATGGGTCTACAGCCAGAACCTTTCCATTTGTGATGAGATGTATTTAAATTACTTGTCGTTGTTGTTAATTTTTTGTACCCTGCCCATCTGACTGGGTTGCCGCAACTACTCTGGGCAGCTTCCAACATGATATACAATAGCACAACAACATCATAACGGAACCGAGCACAATTCAAAGTGTTAGTGCCTTCCTTTAAAGCCCTAAACGGCTTTGTTCAGCCCGAACACTGAGGTCCAGCGCTGAGGGCCTTCTGGCGGTTCCCTCGCTGCGAGAAGCCAAGTTACAGGGAACCAGGCAGAGGGCCTTCTTGGCAGTGGCACCCGCCCTATGGAACACCCTCCCACCAGATGACAAAGAGAAAAACAACTACCAGACTTTTAGAAGACATCTGAAGGCAGCCCTGTTTAGGAAAGCTTTTAATGTTTAACAGACCACTATATTTTAATACTTTGTTGGAAGCCACCATTATTATTATTATTATTATTATTATTATTATTATTAAAAATGTCCCGATATAGGGCTGCCTTCAGATGTTTATGGAAGGTTGCATTTACAGCAAATCTTTCTGATTTTGCACCTATATATATAGCTTAGCATATGCAAATCCATGCCCTCTTTTGGGAAAGGCTGCATGACATTATATTTGGCAATGCAGAAGTGGCTACCGTTAAGATACCAGCTTTGAGATGGGTCTACATAAACATATTTTTGTGTCAGCGTATTGCAGTGAACTGTATAGGCACGCCAAGATTTGCAGCTCTTTGTGAGACTTTTTACAAAGATTGGCTTTCTAAGCACCCGCAACAAAGCACAGCCCATTTTGTTTAAATTCCTGAACACTCTTACGTTCACAGATGACTATTGCTGACCTCTCTCCCCACAGGGCTGCCCCGCGTGTTCAAAATATTACAGAAATGGGTTCCTAAGGCCTCTCCCTATTTTGACAAAGAACATTACTGCTACGCTGGCCACCAAATCACCATTCAAGAGTCCATTGAAAACTTCGGAGCCGTAGTATGGCCTGGCGTAAGTTTCACACAGGGGAAATAACACCTCGCGAGTAAGCTTCTGTAAGATAATGGAGCGTCTCGCTTTCCTTGATAACTTGTTTTAGGATCTTAAGAGCTGGAAAGGGTCATCAGAAGGCTATGTCAGCCAAGCCACTGCTTTTCCATTGCTAGTGTTGCTTATGGCCTAAGGTCTCAGCACATTTATGGGGGTAAAAGTCAACCCTCTGCCCATAGAGAGCAGAGAGTTCATTGTGCACCCGATACTGGATATGTAGTTAACCCACTGAGCAAGATAACACTGTGTTCTGAACCTCCAGGATAGATTAAATGGATTCATTGTATCTATGGCTTTACACGGTTGCAGCTGTGATACCGCTGCATGGTTAATCAATGCTACATTAGTACTGAATAAGGCTGGGCGATATCTGCTTTCCAAAATCATAATATACCACCAGCTAAACCCTGCCAACCTAGCAGTTCGAAAGCACGTCAAAGTGCTAGTAGATAAATAGGTACCGCTCCTGTGGGAAGCGTTTCTGTGCGCTGCTCTGGTTCGCCAGAAGCGGCTTAGTTACGCTGGCTACATGACCCGGAAAAACTGTCTACGGACAAACGTCGGCTCCCTCGGCCAGTAAAGCGAGATGAACGCTGCAACCCCAGAGTCGTTCGCAACTGGACTTAACTGTCAGGGGTCCTTTACCTTTTTTAAAAAACCTTTGCAATATGGAGGTATATTACCTTGCCAGAAAGGAAGCGGAGAAGTCTGTTGTGGGCCATGGAGACAATTAGTCTCACTGTGCACAGCTTCTGCCTCTCTGTCGGGCCTGGAAGGGCAGCGTGCATTAGCCTGGTCGCCGCATAGCAGGGCACCGCAGAGCTTCCCTGGAACTGCCAGCCGCGGCTTGCCTCGATGATCTCTCGCCATGCAGCTCCCGGAAGTGCCACTTCCTTCCCCCCACTATTTGTATCTCCCTGACAGGTAAATGTGTAACCCCATCAAGAGCAGGCGATCTCCCACCCCACTGGTCTAGGGAACCACCAACAGTGCTTCCGACTTATCTGGATTGAGTTTCAGTTTGCTGGCTCTCATCCAGTCCATTACCGAGGCAAGACACTGGTCCAGCACTTCCACTGCCTCACCTGCAGATGTCCCTCATCCATGATCTGATTATGGAGGAGGAGGCTGATCTGGCATGTATTCCTGAAACCAGGGTGGGGGATCGGAAATTCCAAAACTGCTCTTGTGACTTTAAATTCAAATAGCCAGGGTGATGTATCGATATATTGCCTGAAACCTTAGTACTGAGCGCAGTAAGGAGGAAAAAGCACTGGGGAGGCTGAAGGGATTAATCCATCACAGCCCAGCCTTCCCCCTTTCATCATTTGCTTTTGGACTGAGCTTGGATTGAGGGCATCAGAGGGCATCGTCGGTGATTTCGCATGCTGAAATCATGGGATGCACATACACACACACACTATTGCAGCTAGATTAGGTTCTAAACATTAAAAAGGTAAAGGGACCCCTGACCATTAGGTCCAGTCATGACCGACTCTAGGGTTGCGGCACTCATTTCACTTTATTGGCCGAGGGAGCTGGCGTTTGGCCGCAGACAGCTTCCGGGTCATGTGGCCAGCATGACTAAGCCACTTCTGGCGAACCAGAGCAGCGCACGGAAACGCCATTTACCTTCGCGCCATTTACTTCGAGCGGTACCTATTTATCTACTTGCACTTTGACATGCTTTCGAACTGCTAGGTTGGCAGGAGCAGGGGCCGAGCAACGGGAGCTCACCCCGTTGCGGGGATTCGCACTGCCGACCTTCTTATCGGCAAGTCCTAGGCTCTGTGGTTTAACCCACAGCGCCACCCATGTCCCTTTTGCCACCTCCCAAACTCTGAAGACAAATTTATTTTTTTTAGGCTCTTGCTCTGTGTCAGTACTTGGAATCAAATCAACAGGAAATCAGTCTCCGAGACAAGAAGTTACTTGAACTGGGAGCTGGGACAGGCCTGGTGTCCATTGTGGCAAGTATACTAGGTTGGTAATTTGCTAAAGAGTATTGTGTGTGTGTGTGTGTGGTTTTTTTTACTTCTTGCTGCACATTTTACACACAGTTCCTAGCTACTCACATTACCCAGTACTCTCTTGAGTCCCAAACATTTGAATAGCATTTTGACAATGCTGTCTACCCCAACCTTTATAGACACAGCATGCCATACGAAGCCTAAAATGGGCTAACAGCTTAACTTGTGAGTAACTAATTACAAAAAGGATTCTGAAATCTATTTGTTTTGTGCCTTACTTCATTTATCTGGCAAGGAATATAACCAAGTGCGGTAGGAAACACTCCAAAACAGGCTTTGATATCCCAAAAGAGAATTGCTCCATTTATTAACCTGTAGGTGTTGCCCAAATGACTTTGATAGTCTGAAACAGAACCTTTCAAAAATGTTCTTCAGACACAAAACTTCCAGCTCGCCTCATCTATAGTAAATTCTCCTTGAAAATGTGTCAGTGCAGTAAATGGATTACAGTGCTAGTCTTGGGATTTCTATGATTTCTTCTAGCCAGAGGGTGTCCTGCAGTTTTATCCAGAGACTGCAATGGCTGCTTGTTCCTGCAGAGGACAGAAAGCCTAGCGAGTCAGTAATGATTACATCACTGAACAGCAAAAATGTAAACAGAGAACTGTCTTGCCTCTCTTCAGATTATCAAGGAAGACTAATTATTTTTATTCTCTTTCAGGTGCTTTTGTGACAGCTACTGACTTGCCCGAGGTCCTTGAAAATATGGAGTTCAATATTTCAAGAAACACGCGCAACCTGAACGTTCACAAGCCCGAAGTAAGAAAGCTGGTTTGGGGAGAGAATCTCCACGCAGACTTCCCCAAATCAACCCATCGCTATGATTTTATTGTGGCTACTGATCTGGTGTACCACCACACAGCTCTTGAAGCTCTGTTAGTCACCATAGGCTACTTTTGTCAGCCTGGGACAATCTTGTTATGGGCAAACAAATTCAGATTCAGCACAGATTACGATTTTTTGGACAGAGTTGGCAACATTCTCAATATCACGCAGCTAGCAGAATTTCCAGAATCAAATGTCAAGTTGTTCAAAGGCACAGTAAGGGAAAATTAAGATCCGAAAGAGTGCCACAATCTAGAACAGGTGCAGCCTAAAAGTTTACAAAGCGGTAGTTTTTAAAAGATGTTACTTAGCCTCTTCTTCACAACAGCCTGGTGCATTCAAGTTGGCTTTGGGGTTCTATTTCCCAACAATGGGTAATCCTAAAAAGCAGGACCGTATGCAACGGGGGTCAAATAAGTGGATTTTAGTAAATGCTCTCCTACTCCTTATGCAGCTGTTGCCCCATATGATTAACAGAACATGTTCAACCACCACCAAACTGCATCCTTTTGGAGCTACCCACGATGTTATGCCCTAGGCTTTTCCATAAAACTGATTTAATTGGACTTGAAAGCTTAACCCCACATCCTGTTGCTAGAAACAGAAAGGAGAGAGGACCATTTTACTCCGTAAATCCCATGTGACTACAGAAAGCAACTCCAGTAACATGACTAAACTGTAGTGTAATGAAGCCACAGCATTTCAGATTAAAATGTAGGGTTGTGCTTCTACAAGGATAAACCAATTCCAGGTAATGGGGCTACTATGCTATAGCTTTATAGAGTCCTTTTAAAAGTCCTCTGGTTCTATAAGCAGTGCCAAATTGTTGTCTCAATAACAGGCATATATCATATACGCTGTGACCAATATTTGCTACAATGCTGAAATGTAACTTTTTACTCGGCCTCCATGAAGTCATATAGACTAGATTGTGTGTCCTCCCTCCATCAGCTCTGCAAATAGCATTGATTTCCTAACGCCTCCCTTTAGGTACTCTTGAAAAAATTAGGACAGATCTCAGCTTTGTTTAATTGTTTTTATTATTAACAAAATTAAAAGTATGAGAGTGCGCACGTTTTTGATCTTGAAATTTGCACATTTATTTAGCAGTTTTACATTTCCCTCCCCCAAAACATTATTAACATATCTGTATGTATAAGTTTTACAATACCTGATTTAAGTGTTAACTGACTGTTTATACATGTATCAGTTTATCCGATACTCTGCAACACATGGATATTTGAGAGCATCTCTGAGTTGAAGATATTCAAGAGCACCTTTTGCACCAGCAATTCAAAATACATTTGCAGTGAGTGTGAAAGTTTTTAATTTTAAAAAAATTCAAAATGTAAACTCTTGCAAGTGATACTGGTAATTATGTTCCATTACTGTTAAGTCTAATAAATAAGGTTTTAGCTACTCCAAAGGAGCTTTTTTTTTTTAAGGCCTTCATACAATTGAAAACTTCAATGTTAAAACCCTGCTCATTGTAAAAAGAACCGCTTGTACAGGCTTGTGGTTAAAATTACAAACAGTTAAGAACCACATACACATGCAAGAAACCTTCCCATCTTCATTTCCTAATCCTTGGAGCTGGCTATTTCGGAACACCCATTGCCAGCAATGCGATGTATGCAAAACATTTTGTTCATACGTTTTTATTTCTAGGGCAACTAAGAGTTACACCCAGAAATTAAATATCTAAGCCTAAATAGGCTCCTTGATGTCAGGAGCCGAACCCTCACACAACCCCCTTGTCCTCTGATTAATAACACACGATATAAGCATTCAATAATGGATGAAAACATGCATTCCAGTAATATAATGTATCTTTATATCCAAACAACGTAAGAACATCTCAGATTTACAATGGCAGCAATTTCAAAACACACAATAATCGGGTGGATACATCACGGGAAGCCAGTTTTCAGTGAAAGATGCACAGTGTGTCCATCCAAGTAACTTCATTAGCTAAAGAAGAAAAAAATTAAAGTACACTTTTACACCTTCCACGATTAAACAAAGTCCACTAAAAAATGTTGACTTTTTAAAAAACTGCTTTCTATGAAGTACCAAAAGGGGAGGGGGGATTACATATGCACACACCTGATTCTCTACCTTTTTGGGGGAGCTGTAACCTTTTCATAAACTACCAGAAATGCCAACAAAACTTGCATGCAGCCTTGAGTTAGCCTAGGTAATAATGGAGATTACTTACCAGTATGCAATTCTTCAAGTTTTCTTTGGTAGGTTTCTCTTCCGCAAGCTTTGTTGCAAATTTGAGACCTCGGCCGTACATTTTATTTACCAGGGCGTGCTTATAGGCAAATGGTAAAACCTACACGGGGTGCAAAATAAAAGGTGAGATTTGTAAGCCAGGCAAACATCTCGGTCTCCAAAATTCACCAGCCCCTGTTCTATTTCAGACTTGACACCAGCAGTGCAAGAGGTTTGGGGAAGACAAGACCATTTCACACCTAGGTGGCTGAAGCTGCCCTAACGTTAATCATTCCTTAAAGCTGCTAAAGCAAAAGCTGTGAGGCTGTAGGATCCCTCCAAAATTAAATATTTGTAAGAACAGAAGTTATTTTACATTGTACCATCAGGCACTTTGCGGAGTTTGCAAGAGGACAGGTCCCAGGCCCTGAAGAGATTACCATTTCAAATTCAACACCAGGGAAACAAGGCAACACTATTTCAGCTACATGTGCTTAACTTAAGCTTAGTTACAGGAAAGCAGCCATTTCCAACACTTTGTTCTCCCGACACTTTGGGCTACAACTCCCAGCAGCTGCATGATTCACTGGGTTGGTGAAGGCTGCAACAGGCCCAAAGAACTAGGGGACCAGCCAGTGTGGTGTAGTGGTTAAGTGTGGTATACTGTAATCTGGTGAACTGGGTTCGATTCCCCACTCCTCTGCATGCAGCTGCTGGGTGACCTTGGGCTAGTCACACGTCTCTGAAGTCTCTCAGCCCCACTCACCTCACAGAGTGCTTGTTGTGGGGGAGGAAGGGAAAGGAGAATGTTAGCCCCTTTGAGACTCCTTCGGGCATGATAAAGCGGGATATCAAATCCAAACACAGAGGTGGAAGAGCCAAGAGGGGAATCGTCATTGCCTGGATGGCGAGGCTTGCAAGTGGAAGGCTGTACAAAACCATTTCTGGCCTGATGTAGCAAGACAATGCTTACACTTATGAAAACATTCACGATTTTAAAAACTGGACTATTTTTCTGCAGATTTGATTGTATGCTTTTGTTATCTACAGTATGAAAAATTGTAAGGCTTTTGTCAAAAAACAAACAAACAAACCCCACGAAGTTGGCTGTGGCGAATGGCTGCAATCCTACAAATTTGCATTAAAAACCAATAATGAGAGATTTCAGTTATTTTGTTGGCATTCTCTGCTGTGTATGAATACACAGTTTAGGCGGCCAAAATAATAATAAAAACCCCAATGCTTTACCAAAGGCTAAAGTTGAGACTACATAGAAAACCAGTCTCTATAAGCAGCATAGGAAGGATTCCCTCCTCCAGTTATAGGAATCTAATTTTGCTCCCCCAATTCCATATACCTTGGTGTCAAACAGGTCAGTCCATTTGGTTATTTCCCAGAAAGTTTCTGCCAGAGCATCCAAGCCACCCTCCTGGTGGTCATCTTTAGATTCTGCAACGCCTGACACAGCTCCTTCTTGGGCCTGAAACTGCAGGATTTGGTCGGACAACGCACTTCCTTTCCGACAGAGAGCATCCACTAATGTAGATTTCTGCTTGTCCATCTCACTAAATGGGAAGCACACAAGAGGATGACAGCACTTGCAGTGAAGCATGCCCTTTTTTATATAGAAAGAGTGTCCTGAGGTGCACAAACTGAATAATAAATCATTTATAATAGGTGTATATGCAGGGTCCCATCCCCATTACTCCCAAATACTTCAACAACTGGTTATTTTATATACATGCCAAAACTTAACTATCTATTATATTTAGATAACAAGAACACAAACTGCTAAGTTGCAAGGAAGACACAAGCACCCTAAATAAATAAATAAATAAATAATAGTTGATTTTATTTTGATTATGCATTTTGTGATTTTATATTTTGACTTTATTTCTTGAGACCTGCAGGTATAGGGCAGTATATAAATTCAATTATTTACTATTATTATTATTATTTGTGTGCCCCACCCGTCTGTTGCCCCAGCCACTTCCAACATATATGAAAACAAAATAAAACATTAAAAAAAACCTTCACATGGCTTCTAAAGGCTGTATAGTTAAATAATAATAATAATAATAATAATAATAATAATTATTCAAGATTCAGATAGGTAGCCATGTTGGTCTGACGCAGTCGAAATAATAATTCAGTTATATAAAATACACAGTGTTCCTATTTGGGCATACATGATGAGCACAGAATTAATCTACTACAATACAATCATAACTTATGCAAATTTAGCTTAATAATAATAATTTTATTATTTGTACCTTGCCCATCTGACTGGGTTGTCCCAGCAACTTTGGGAGGCTTCCAGCATATACGAAAACCATAATAAAACTTCAAACATTAAAAAAAAACTTCACTATACAGGGCTGCCTTCGGATGACTTCTAAAGGTTGTATTGTTACTTATCCGGTTGGCTTCTAGCATGCGTGATTTCAGCTTTACAAAGCTGAAATTGAGCAAATGAAATGCATGGAAGAACTTTTAAGCTTTCCAACTGGCTTACTGGGCTCTGGGGCGCTTTCGTGAGATCTCATGGAAACTCAGATGGCCACGCAAGGTCCCTTGAGAGCATCCCAGAGTCTGGTAATCTCTCTGCCTTGCTTGCGGGGAGGGTCAAGGCCTGCTTGGTACACAGCTCATGTAAAAATGCTTGCAGTTTGCTTTCAAGTACACATGCTTTTCAAAAATTAGCCAAGTTCTGAGAATGGAAAAAATTAGAAAGATATGGGGACAGCTGGAAATTTGGCAGTTGACAGGGATGACTTGTACATATAAAATAATAAGGGAGTAAATGAATAAATGGAACCTGACAATCTCGTTCATATATGGAACAACAGATTTAAGGACAGATTGCTTGCTGCTCTAAGGGAACTGAATTTCTACCCATTTATATAATTCATTTAAATGTTTGGTGTTGAAATCTTTAAAGGTAATTCATATAGTTATTTAAGAAATTGATACTTAAGACATGTTTTAAAAAGATGGTGAAATATAACTGATGTCAAAGGTTTTCAATTAATATCATATAGGACTATTGCAAGCTTTAAATAAAAGGATGCGTTGCATTATGCAATATTCTTACTAGCAAAACAAATGTTGTGATCTAAAACATCTGGAGGGGTGGGGGAGGCTGAGTTATAATGTATTCCCAATGCAAGATTTCTGGTCTTAACTCAGTCCAGTAATTATTCTGAATATTTCAGCGTTCTGTATTGAATAATAGTTCACAAGCTGCTGCTTAGAAAACCTGTGGATTTCAATTCTGAACTTAAGACTCTTGCCTGATTGCTCATGCAGATCATGGTCTCTAACCACTTACAACACCCATAATAAAAATCCCAGCCACTACCATCCATTTCATCCTAAAATTTAGGACAGAAGAAGCTTCAATTCAAAGCTGCTTCTAATTGTCACTGGCCACAATCCAACACAAAAAGTTCAACACATTAAGGCTCACTGCAACAAATGGACATTATGTTGGTTGGTGGTCACAGTTGTCCTATCAGGATCACGGAATTGATCTTTAAAATAATTTCAGCTTTAGAGTGACTTAATCTTTGAAGCTACAAAGTGGGGACAGCCTTAGGCCAAGTTGCAGAAATAAGATGCAAGGAAAAAGTATTTACTGGTTAGGTACTTTTTTATAGTAGCAGCATCAGGTCTGGGATCTGTCTTCATAGCAAGATAAATGGCGAGGGCTGTTTGATCAATATGTGAGATAACCGTATTAGCTGCCTCAATAATGTCGTTCAACCTTTTCATTCTTTCCTAGTGGAAACAAACAAAGCACATTGCATTATTACTCATGCATGAAGAGACATTAATGCAATAATAGGCTAACATAACTATTCAATACCTTTGTCATGGACCCAATAACACAAGATCAGGAATCATGTTGCACAATATTGGGGGAAAACATATTCAACATAAAGCCCTAAAAGAAGCAACTTGAATATGTTTCTGTCATTTACCAGTTTAAGTTCTTGCTGCAATAGGTGAAGGGACCCCTGACCATTAGGTCCAGTCGTGACCAATTCTGGGTTTGCGGCGCTCATCTCGCTTTATTGGCCGAGGGAGCCGGCGTACAGCTTCTGGGTCATGCGGCCAGCATGTCTAAGCCGCTTCTGGTGAACCAGAGCAGTGCATGGAAACGCCATTTACCTTCCCGCCATCTATTTATCTACTTGCACTCTGACGTGCTTTCAAACTGCTAGGTTGGCAGGAGCAGGGACCGAACAACAGGAGCTCACCCCATCGTGGGGTTTCGAACTGCCGACCTTCTGATCGGCAAGCCCTAGGCTCTGTGGTTTAGACCACAGCGCCACCCGCGTCCCCCTCTTGCTGTAATACCGGGATAATAAAATATTGCTGGTGGTTACTAGTTTTCAGCAGTATTGGAGGGAAAGGCCAAAGAGGTTTATGTAACACTGTATTAAAGATCAACACTCTTTAAAAATCTTGTGGCACTTTAAAGACTAACAGGCTTACTATGGCATAGGCTTTTGTGGACAACTTCATCAAATGAAGGAAAGGCAATCCTAAATTGGGAAACCTATTATTTTATTTATTACATTTATAGACAACCTTTATCTTCCAAGGATCTCAAGGTGATGTACAGGATTCTCCCCCTCCTCATTTAGTCCTTACAACAATCCTGTGAGGTAGGTTAGGCCAAGAGATGGTGACTGGCCCAAGGTCACCCAGTGAGCTTCATAGCTGAGTGGGGATTCAAACCCTGCTCTCCCAGGTCCTTGCCCAACCATTACGCCCCATGTTATGTACATATATATGGTGGTGAATTTAGGGGGAACTAAGTCTGAGGGGAGGAAAATGCAAGAGGATTACCAAGCAGATAATTACCAAGAAGCAAACAGGGCACTGTTAGCGATTATAAACATCCAGGTATTGAGAAGCTAATTTAACACATGAGCATGATAAAATTGTATGATTGTGGCTTGAGCTACATGTGGCAGAACTGAAACGCCCAATCTATTTTGCTTTAGTTGCTTCACACTGGAATTTTCATTTGGAGTACCTTTATTCAAGGGTGACCACCTTAAAACCAGTCACAGAATATTCCGGAAAATTAAAACGTTCTGCTGCTTGTTTCTCAGTACTGCCAATTTCTGATCTCCAACTCCTGCTCTTATGCATCAAACTCACCAAAGCACTGATCTGTATAAGTACTAATCCCCTGAACAAAATTTAAGTTATAATAATAATAAATCTTTATTTATAGCCCGCCCTCTCCGGCCAGGGCCGGGCTCAGGGCGGCTAACACCAAATATAAATTAAAATAAAATGTAACAGAAAAAAACAAAAACAGTTAATTAAACTACAGCTTAAAATACAGCTTAAAATGCAGCCTCATTTTAGTGTAGCTCATAAATCAAGACCATAAAGGGAGGAAACATCAGATATTCACCCGGGCCAGTTATCCATGCTGGTCCTACATGGGCCAGCAAAAAAGCAAAGGGAAAATTTATATGCCAAATCCCATATAAGGGGTCAAAGTGAGTCTAAGCCAAAGGCCAGGTGGAACAGCTCCATCTTGTAGGCCCTGCAGAAAGATGTCAAATCCCACAGGGCCCTGGTCTCTTGTGACAGAGCATTCCATCAAGTCGGGGCCAGTGCTGAAAAGGCCCTGACCCTAGTTGAGACCAATCTAACCTCCTTGAGGTTCAGGACCTCCAAAGTGTTGTTATTTATGGACCTTAAGGTCCTCCACGGGGCATACCAGGAGAGGCTGTCCTGTAGGTACGAGGGTTCGCTATTCCAGGCTGCCCAGAGAACTGAATTCAAAGCTTAAGATACGTGAAGTACAAATATGTGGCCGAGAGCAGACTTAAAACTGCCAAGTGCAATTTTGGTGTTTCTTTTAAATGCTTCTCACCTTTTCAGAATCCAGCTGATGAAGTCTTGCAACATACAAGGGCAGATGATTAGGGAAGGCCTCTTTCAATTCATTATACATGTCACTGGTCTCGAGCCTAAAGAGAAAAAAGTATGAATGAAGCTGCTGACGGAGCAGTCCCTGGGTAGCAGACCATGGAAAAGGGACATAAACTCCATTAATAAATCCGTTCTTTGAAGGATGCAATTTGACACTAGGAGAATAACAGAAACTTACTTAGTCATCCATTGTATCTTCAGGTCTCTTAAAGCTTCAGCAAATTCATCCTTTGCGTCTTTTTCCTTTTCAGGCTCTTTCTCCTTTTCCTTGTTGCCATTCTTACTTTTTATTGGTGATGGGATCAGATGATAGTGAACTGGAATTATATCCTGCAGAAGTGGGGGGGGGGGGGGGAAGCATAGTACTCAAAGCGCAGCCATATTCTCTCGCATTTATTTCCAAGTATTTTTTCTTAGGGCTACGCTACACAAACAAGAGCAAAGCAAGATACAAGCATGATAATCACATCAGCAAGAATACAGAGTACTTGTAAAAAATTGCTCTGTAAACACACAAGTGAATTGTAATCTCAGTTAAAGAGAAAGGTCACCAGTGTTTGCCTGCACGCTGTTACAGATACGCAAGTCAAAAACATGGAGTTCCACAGTTCTAGGACTGTAAGTAATTGGCCCCATTTCTCGCGCACCCCAGCCTAATGGAACGTGATGGCAGGCACCCCAGAAACACTCCTGAAGCAGACCTTAGCATATGGGCAGGATTATATGGGCAAAGATGGTCCTTCAGTTAAGCTGCTCACAAGGCCCTTAGGGCTTTAAAGGTTAAAGACAAGCACTCTGAACTGGGCACAGACTGGTAAGCCGGTGTGACCGGCACAAAACTGGAGTTATGTTTTGTGACTTTCTGGCCCCCCACTAGCATCCAGGCAGACGATGCAACTGCCCAACTGTCTTCAGAGGCAGCCCCAATGTCCGAATGCACCTGTATGCTGCTCACTTGGTCTAAGAGAAGTACAACCCTATCCAGGGACTGTTTCACACATCTATTGACACTATACTTCTGAAAGAGCAATGCAGTAGTAAAAGGGAGCGGTTGCTTATGTCTGAAGCCGCACAAGAAGGTAAGCTTATGCAATGATCAAGGAGTAGCTCAAATGATTGAGTATATTCACCTAAGCCTTTAAAATTGTGATCCAAAGTAATTTCAGCCAGCAGACTTACACATTCATTCCATCACAGAGACCCCAACAGACGGACTTAAAATGTGTTGTGCCTTATTTGATTCCAAAACCTCACACTCCCTTTCTAACTTTTTCCCCCCAATAAAGGAAAATGCATCAGATGCAGCTGTCCAACAGAGCAAACAAATTATGTCTGGTGCAGTAACACGGTGGAATTTTGTTCAGATGAAAAACCTGACCAGAAAAGTCCAGCTGTGGGAAAAAATAATTTATCATAATCTTCCCATCCTGTTATGCACTGTCATAATTCTCATGATCACATAGTTCAAGTAGGTATTTAATTTTTTGTTTTTTGTTTTAAAAAAGATCATTACAATGGCATTGGCGTCAAACCCCAACATGGTGAAACCTCAAATTTAACAATAACTACCTGTGCGCAGTATTTAACTAAGTAGTTGCACTAGTGCAGGGATTAGCAATAGCGCAACAGGATTTTCCCATCCTGCATATGCCCTGCACCATCTCCAAATTTACACTAGAGGCTTGGGGGGAAACCCTAGAACAGGCTAAGGGTCAACATGGGGGGAAGACTGTTCTTATGCCGACACAGCAAACCGCTTGATGCTACACAGAATACAACCTTTTATCTTGATACATGTTAGGTTTCTGAAAAAAGGCAACTATTCACACCACCATTTTCCGCTGAAGGAAAAACACACAAAGTATGACTACAGAATACCATCCTTGGTTTGTTGAACTCTTGTACAGCAGCTTGCTTTCACTAAATCAGAGTCCCTGCCAAATCCATCTCTTTTTAGAACATCTCAGTTGGGGTCTATTGACTCCCCAGAGAGTAGGTTTCATCCCTGAGCTCTCCCCAACCAACACACAGCCTCCAGTGTGAATCAGTGAAATGTGTGAAGTAGACTCATGTAAAAGGGAAACTGCTCTCCCTTTCCTAAAAGACAAGGATCAGAGCCAGACCACTGCTTTTCTGCCCAGTTCTCTAGAACTGTTCCAGGAGGCCCATGCAGCTGCTTAAAATTTAGCCAGTCATCTCAAAGATTCTGCTTTCAATTGTGTTTTATTGTACATATTTTTTTCTTCCCTGATCTTATATTTCATGAGACGGCTGTATATAAACACTTTCACAAACAAAACAAAAAAAAAGAATGGGAACAGCAACTAGGAGGAAACTTATCAGCTGAGATTTGCGGTGCTCAAAGAGAAAGTCACGAAGCTATGTTGCATGCACGGCTTCAGAGGAAATTATGTGAATGCATAGTTATGTACATGTGATTCTTCTTTCAAAATATTAATTCCAGCAGCATTATATAACACGAATGCCCTCAAAATGCAAGAATCCATGAGAAGTCTCCCCAAGGTACAACAGACCCAGGCAAATGGAAATCACTTTTAGGAATTATGCTATCAAGCAACAGATGAACAATGTCTTCTAAAGGCTATAAACTCAGCAGCGGCAGCAGCACCACCACCATCACAGTACAAATTCAGAAGCCACAGTATGATCAAATTAAATTAGTATGTAGAGTTGAAAACATGTTAGCGTTTTCTGGTAAGTGTCTCCTCACTGAAGGGATAGGTTTCCTGCCCCTGGTTTATGGGATCAATGCAAAAAGGTCACCGAGGTCTCCTGAACAATAAATGAACTGCCCACTTGAAAAACAGCAATGATCTCCTGGCATTAAAAAGTAGCACAAATCAAGCAGGACAGTGCTAATCCACAACAAGTGAGAAGAAATGCTTAAAACAACATTGGTAATGACCCTGTAATCTTCACCTGCTGTCTCCATCTGTTGGTAGACTGCTCTTGAACAGTTTGCTACATCCCCCCTCACCACAAGAACACAAAACAGAGCAGGCTACTAATATTGTTCGTTCCAAGAGAAGACTGAAGGCACCTTCTGGAAATATTTCTCAGACTCCACAGCAACCTCAAACCTCTGCATAGGAAGCACAGGGTTCGCTCAGTTTCATTTGCCAAGCACATACAGAGATTCTGAGACCATGAATGCGCAGGGCCCCTCTTCTTTTACAATCTCACACTGTTATAATAATCTAGATCAGATGCAATCAGATTTAAATTCTATTCCACAAAATGTTGCTAGCAGAACAGGAAGCGTCTGTTCAGCAAGGGGGACCAGGAGTAACATTCCCTCTGCCTAGATCACGATGGCTCTATCATAATATTTGCACTGGTCGTTGCAATCATTTAACCCAGACAATGATAATGTAAAGGGGAGAGCTGTGTTAAGAAAATGCACTGGGCCACCACAGCTCCATGATCAGAGTAAATTCTCTGCGTGGAGAAGGTCGCACCTTCAATCTCTGACAACCCCACATAGCAGGTGATGGGAAAGACCTCCTTCCACGACCCACTAAGCAGGTGGTCTCTAAAAGCTGGCAACACTGGGCCAGATCGGGGTGGCAAATCAGATATGAATGGTGAGCCAAATCTCAATTTCTCATACCCTTTGCAGGCCAAATTAGACAGGTGGGCTAATCAGGTGATGGATGCTTTAAAGTGCTTGCAATCATGGGGACATCATGCAGAGCTTGCAAAGAGTTGACCATCAGCATTTTGCAACTCCTTTCAAGGACTGGCTGACTGCAGAGTCTCCTCCAATAAGAGAAACTCAGCGCAGCTGATTCCATAGAGCTTAAAGAACGGAGAGCTCCACAGAGCATTCAAGTCAATGACAGGCACCAATTTGGGGTTTAACTTTCTGCCGCAACTGACTAAACTCCCTCAACCACAAGCCTCCCTTGCCAATGCACAATTGGGAAAGCACTTTAAGGCACTGGCAGCTGCAACTCCACCTGTCCTGGGCCTGATGTCGTATGTGGGCATTTGGGTGTGGTTTGGGAAAAATGCCCTTGCAGGCCCAACTGGAACCCATGGCAGGCCTTATGAGAATCTCATGGCGGGCCTTATAGTCCTGACCTGCAAATGGTGGCTTTCAAATGGCAACACTGTATGAACATTGTATGTATAGTTCATCTCATCTTTGTGGCTGATGGATAGTCTCGTGGGTTGGAGTAGCTAGATAGGAGAAAATTCCCTTTGAAACAAATGGATTCTGCAGGGCAAAGTCCAATTTTTACGTGTACGCCCATTACCACTGCTATATTATAATGAGTCACTATTCCAAAAAAGAGGCAATGCTCAAGAAGCATGGTTCATTTTGTATTAAAGGCAACTGCGAATACAGAGAAGTCAACTCAGTATAATACTTTAAGTCATATGCAAAAAGACTTAAGCACATCTTTCAAAAACTGACGATCAGTACCTTTTTAAACTTTCCTTGTCGCTTTGCTGCAGACTGCCCCTGGGAGTTAGAATAACACACTGTAAGAACACATGCACAAAACTCTGTGGAATGGAGCCACCTCCTCCGTCATGTTTTTGTTCTCTACTCAGGGACCTAAAAGTCAGTGCCTTGTTCCCTTTAAATATTGCTTATAAGATAATATTTGAGCATATTAGAATAAAACTAATGTATCCTGTTACACTTTAGGTGTTGTTGTTTTTAAAAAAGCAAGTGAATGTTAAGAGAGCTAAACAAATTGAGCTTTTGACATGGCCACCATAAAGTGAATGTGGCAATCTCAATTATTTAGCAACAAGTTAACGGGAGCTGCTCCCCGTCCCAAGTTAAAAAAAACCCCACTAACTAATTGAACATCTCAATTTCTGTCTCCCACTGAATATGCCGCTGGTTGTAGCAGGAACGCAACATGATGGATGCTATTGTTTTTAACACTCTGCAACAGGACTGTGTGGAGAAATTCTGACCAAATGTTCAAGTCAGCTTGAGACTTTGGTTCTCTTGAAATCATTAAGCACACATTGACATGCTCATACATTATACCTTGCCTTCCTTGGTCAACAGCTTTTCCCGCACACAACACTGCCGCCGTTAACGAAGTTATTTCTTTAGCATCAAAACACACAAAAAATAAGGTCAGGAAGATATAGGGCAAAGCACTTAGGCCTGTTTAAGTAAGCCTATGGCCACCGTGTTAAATTTCTTTAAATATCTATATGACCTAGCCTAAGGTGCTCCCTTGAGACCAACTTGTCTTCTCAGTGACTGCTCTTTGGCGAGCGGATCGTGACCACTGGTCTTGAAAGCATCTTCAAAAATATGTCAGGTTCTGACCCATTTTTCTTCTGGCTGTACTTCACCAAAATGTGCTACAACGGTAATCCTTTAGCACTGGTAGATAAAATATTTACAGCCCAGAAGAAAATGAGCTGGGGTAGAATCGACTGTTAATCTACTGCAGTAGAGTAATCGACTGTTAATACTTTACTGCAGTGTTCCCCATCATCCCTGACTTCTGGTTCTGCTAGCTAAGGATGATGGAAGTTGTAGTCCAAAAACAGCTGGAGGCACTGTTCTTCTGTAAGCACTATTAATTGCTAATATCACCTTCCACCTGTACTGATGCAAGCAGGCAGAAAAGCGAGCCAGGATGGCAGAAAAATATTCTATATGGGTAAAACCAGCTCAAAAAAACCCTAAGTGTAGGGAGAATAACACCACTATTTTTGGCCACTGTTGCTAATGGCTCCGCTCTTTTCTGCCACGGTGTGGCCAGAAGGTACAATTGGCAAGTGGTTCCCTAATTCGCCCCCCGATCCCACTCCAACATGGCATAAGAAATCTACAAGTCCAATATGAAACTGACGAATGACCCTTTTCCATAATTGGCCAGCTCTGACCAAGAAGCTTATTTGGAAGGCGATTTAATTTTAAAAATGAAGTATAAGGCTGCTGAGAGAGTTCCTGGATCACAATTATATTGATGCTGACCTCTAGAAATGTCTTAGATTTTGTCGTACCTTCTCACAATCCTATTACATTTAGCTCACTTACCTAACCTTTTAGAATGAAGGAATTTATGTCTATTAGAAAGTGACCTCTAGCCTGCTCAACACAGAGTAGATTTTTAAAAAAGTAATCCTTAAAAATGTGAAGTGAGCAAAAAAGAAAATGACTTAACTTTTGCAACCAGACTCGGGCACAATCCAGCAAACACTATTGTTACTGCAATCACTGAAATGAACACATATTCGCTCAGGGGCAAAGCTTACTGGTTTGTATCCTTAATGAAAATCTGTTTGAGGGAGAATATTATTTTCCTAGATCTCTGCATAAATACAAAGGATGCCAGATCACTTTTTACAGCTTTGTATTATATAAGGCAGGTGAAACCTCACACCAATAGAGCATCAAACGAGGGAGCATTGGAGACTAACAACCTCCAACATCTAGAGGAAGTGAGATAGGACTTTGTGCTCTATGGTGCAAAAAAGTACACTATCAAAGGGAAAAATAGCTGGATAAAAAGCACTATGTTAAGTATGTCTTGACAGTGTCTCTCATAATATAAAGTGTTGGATAATATGAAGTACTGGAAGTTATTGCGAACGTACACACTCAAAATGAAGCTAAAAGTATTAAAAACTGATTTTTAAACAGAAGAATCCTAGTATTTGGCATTGGAGCTGCGTGGAAAATTATCAGCCATTTAAAATGGCAGTAAACGGCAGTTTTCTTTTTGAAAAATGCAAGTTTATGAACTTGGGTGTTTTTATAAAAAAACAACTCACCGCTTTCTTTCCAAGATCAGTCTTTGAAAGGGTTAATGATCCTGCAAGGTAACAGCCTGGACTTGCTCCTTTAGGTACTCTAACAAAAAGGGAACCATAGCACAAAATGAATGGTACATAGTATAAAACGCCCAACGCGTAAAATGGTCACAGAAGAGATTTGGTGTAACAGGGGACTGGGAAATATGGCAAAGCATACCCCAAGCTGCGAAGGACTGGGGCAAGACACACACTGAGTCAAAAGTTGTGAAGCCAAGCCTAATGTGCTCTCTTTGCTTTGCTGTGTTAGGTAGGGAGAGTAGCAAAAGAGATCTAAACATCCACATCTATTCTCGGTGGAGATTGGAGAAAGAGGAGCTGAGGGTATCCCCCTAGCCCAGTCTCTAGTCAAGCCTTTCACAGAAGGAACTGCTTCCTAGGGACAGGGTGAGACAGAGGTTCCTGGACCACTGGAGGGCAATACGTAGGGAACACAGACCACCTGCTTTCGTTACCCGAGTCTGAACAGTTCCCAACCTTTATAAAGTGTTGAACACAGTAAGAGGATGCAAGCTACTTACTTGTCATCTGGCAAAGTGGAAACAAAGAAGGGCTGGCTATGTTTTGGTGGCAGAGACATACTGTTTGCCTTCTTCTTCCCCAAGAGAGCCTGGGTGTGGCTTTCGTAAATATCTAAATTCAGGGCACTAGACAGTCTATGAGAGATAATAAACGGAAGGTCTTTGAGACGATCCAGTTCGCTGTTCTGCTCGTGGCGGATCTGTAGCCGAACGGTGTAATCGCCTTTCTCCAATTTCATGGAATACTAAGGAAGAGAGAAATAAAGCTTTTCTTTAGCACAAAGAACAATCAATACTTCGTAAAGTGAACAATAAACCCTGAATTAAAAAAACAAAACAGTAGAGCTTAACACTTCAGTTCAATCTGTCATTTGTCCCTTTGATCAATTTCCCTTCTTTGATAAATACAACTAAAAAATAATATGTATTGAATTTAATTTATATACCGCCCTCAATCAGAGCGGTCCACAGCAAAAACATACAAGCAAAGATAAAGACACAAAATGCATTACAACAACAAAACAAAACAAAACATACCTGGTGAGGATAAGCATCTCCTGACCCCATCTGTTTTTTATTCTGGTCAAAGATGATCCACAACTGGCTGTCATATTCTGACTCGTACAAGAGCTCACAGAGCAAAGGACAACTCGGAGTAACTTCTCCACTCTTAGGCTGAAAAAAGTCAGAGAATGTTGAGGATATTCAATAATAAAAACCACATCTTTATACACACAGCTTAGGACATAGCTTATATTTAACATACAGTTAAATGCATTAAATGCAACCTACATATGAGAACAGTATTTTTTTTTGTTTAACAATGCGAACTTACTTGATGAAAGTTGTACGTCAAAACCATCTCATACAATTGCCGATTATTTGGCAAAACATCCCGTGATCCTAATGGCTTTATTTTAGCACTCAGAGGCCTGTAATTCAGCAATACAATGATAAGCATTAGGAGCTAGGTTCATGATGCATTTTTAAAAAGACATTTCACAAATTTCATATGCCACTTTTCTGAAAGAATTCTCATGCAAAGTGGTGTACAAAATTTAAACAATAAAATTAAAGTTCCAACAACCTAAAATTATCATCATAAAAAACCTGGGTGGTATCCAACCTCGCCTTTTAAAGAGGGCAGAGCAATGGAGTTCAGTATAGTCTGTTCTGCTAGTGGCTCTCAGGACTGTGACTCTCATTAGCCCAAGTCATGCTAAATATTCATGATTCTAGCTTTAGGTTTTCCATTACATCACTAATGGAAATAATCCCATTGTTTTAGACACATGAACTTCCAATTTAACTACTCTGCTGCTGTGTATCCTGAGGCAGAATCACTACCAACACCTGCAGGAAGCTTTTACCATTGCCACTTTTAAGACAGAAACAAAATGCAGATAGGAATCAACATCATACCCTCCTGTAAAAATCCCTGTACAGTCGTACCTTGGAAGTCAAATGGAATCCGTTCCGGAAGTCTGTTCGACTTCCAAAATGTTCAGAAACCAAAGTGCAGCTTCTGATTGGCTGCAGGAAGCTCCTGCAGCCAATTGGAAGCCCCATAAGCCCCATCGGATGTTCGGGTTCCAAAAATAGTTCAAAAACCGGAACACTCACTTCCAGGTCTGCGGCATTTGGGAGACAAAACGTCCAAGTACCAAGGTGTTTGGGATCCAAGGTATGACTGTACTTTCCTATTCAGCCTCTGGAAGAGTTGCTTAGTTTGAAACTTGTTTGGCCTTCACTTCACATAGGCCAAAACATATTGCGGATCAACACAGCTCCCTGGTTTTTGATTTAAACTACTGTACCTTAGTGTCTGAACCCAGCTTTTCAGATTTATGGAAGGTGCAATGTCTTCATATCTCAATGTTGTCTGAACATCAAAGCGCACGATGCCTTCCGAAGCATGCTAAAAAAATAAGGGGTGCTTGTTAGGACTTATTTTCTGCTGGACGTTATTATGAATTAGGTGGTATGCATGCGAACGTCTACATGAAGAAGCATTTGGTGAACTGGAACGTAGGAAGCTAACTCAGACCATTGATCTATCTAGCTCAGTATATTCTACGGTGACCCTCCAGCATTTCAGACTGGAGACATTCCTAGCCCTGCATCAAGATTGCCTGGGATTGAACAAAGCAGTTGCTCTACCACTGACCTACAACCCTTCCCAAAAATAAAGGGTTAGTAAGCTTGAAAATTCTACAAGGAGACGGGCATGCAAGCACACCACATTTATGAAAAATACATTCAGTTATTCTGAAGTCAGGAAGCCAGAAGCCAGTGAGACAGCAGGAAAGTTGGGGTATTAGGAGAGCAAGGAAGGGGAGAAAAGGGAGCAGCACCCAAAAAAACACCAAACCCCCAAATAAAGCAGGAGAGGCGGCAAAGCCTCCGAATATGAACCTTTCAAATAATTTATGTTACGATAAAATGCTGAACACATTTCAGATAAAAGAATGAGCATATAAATAATTAAGTCAACCACGATGAGTCAGCCAGGCTTGGATGAGTCAGAAAGGCAACCTATACATATTTTAAAATAACACTCCATGATTTTTTTTAAAAAAACCTCGACTACAGAATTTCATACCAAGAAGTCACAGCTCTCCAAGCATTTTCTCCCACCCTTTAAATGAACCATAAAGCAAAATAAAGACAACATGGAATGATACTCACAACGTTTAATTGAGAAGCAGTGCAAACTATGCCATGGAAGGAAAGGGTGTAATCAATGCTGACATCATTGAGGCTTGCCCACCAACGGGCAATGCAAAATTCAATTGTTCTTCCACCCTTCATAGGGGGGAAAAATAAGATTTAGATGTATATCTGACTTTCATTCTTTACGAGGCACCCCCCCCCAAAAAACTAGAATTCCAGTGCAGCTCAGAATACTTAAAAACAAAAACAACAATACCTTGGCTGCAAAACTACCTTAAAGGATCCATTATCATCCAACTCTAATTACTATGTGCATGCTTTAGTCATGCAACAACAGGCTGCCATAGGCAGACAACTTCAGATTTAGCCCACACAGATTCTATTAGGAAAACTATAAATGGCTAGCCACTTTATTCATAAAATGAACCCATAATGTTAATCTAGGGCAGAAAGGCGAACATTTTCTGGGCCGAGAGCAGCACTGACCCATCTTCAACCATTTGGGGGCTGCATATGAAAATCGGCATGGCCAAAATTGCAGTTTACAACTTTCTGATCAGTTTTTTTATATCTTTTATTTAACCATTCACTATTCATTAAGTTCCATTCTCTTATTTTCTAATGACAAAATTGGAGGAGTCAGGAGGTCACAAACCCCTTTTGACATCGAAGCAGGGGGCCCACAGGAGTAGCTAGAATTTTTTTTAATAAAAAAAAACACCACCACAATATTCAGCAAGTCATCATTGCCTATTACTGCACTCTATACAGCAGCACTTAACTCTGTTCTGAATTCAAGGCCACTTACTAGGACAGGAAAAGCTTCAGTAACTGATCCCTTTTCTGGTATTGAAGAGAACTTGTAGAACTCATGGCTTCGGTACGCCTTTTGCTTTACTAGTTGAACCGCATGGAGAACAAACTTGGCAGTTACATCAGGTGATGAGGAACATACTGTTACTTCTAGGCAAGAGAAAAGGCACAGCTTTAGTCCTAGTGCTCTATGGGCCTCTGACTCACTCCTCTGAAGCTAGCAGGCCGAGTGTGTGCTTAAAGCTTTGATAAAGGATACACTGATTATCTTTTAATGTACTGTATAACACAAATTCCAAACAGGTGCAGAATTAAGCAGTGACAACTTAAAATCTGGACTCAAAGTGACATGCAAATACAGAAAGTTTCACTCAGTTTTTAAACCGTACAATAACTTTTCGGCAGCATACATTTGGGTTAAGTTCCCTAAGTATTCAGGGAGACAATTTGCTACCTAATTTGGCTTACCAGCCCACGTTGCTCCAGAAGGGACTTCAACAAAGTGTCTTTGGATTTGACCAGGTTTAAAATGCACGTCAGTGAACTTGAGATCATAGTGTGAAGCTTCATCTGTTCTGTGAAGAGAGGAAAAGTTTAGAAAGTGCAAAAAACCTTATGGGGAGGGTTACAGGTTGGAATATGCAAGGTATTTTAAAGATGTCTAGAGTCAACAATTCACGTAGCTCACAAATGCAGGAAAAGCATCTCTCTCTCTCTCTCTCTTAGAAAAATGAGGCTCTGATCAGAGCAACTGGTTTAAGATACCTGTTAATGCTTCCATAATAATCAAGATCCACACTGACAGGAAACTGGACCCTCAATGATAACTAATTCAGGCTCCTTTAAAGTGGCAAATCATTATACTTATGTCAAGTCATGGTTTACATAAACATTTCCTGAGCATTAGATGTGTATAACACAAACAGGAGACATCACTGCTGCTGCTACTATTGAATATCAGATACTGCAGACATACACTAAGGAAAAGCTACTTTGAAAATTGGATGCCGGGCTAGAGAGTTTGATTTAGCAGAGTTCTTATGTACTGTCACTACTACCAATTTATAGAGAGTTCCTTAGGTAAAGGTAAAGGGACCCCTGACCATTAGGTCCAGTCGTGGCCGACTCTGGGGTTGCGGCGCTCATCTTGCTTTATTGGCCAAGGGAGCCAGCGTACAGCTTCCGGGTCATGTGGCCAGCATGACTAAGCCACTTCTGGCGAACCAGAGCAGCACACGGAAATGCCGTTTACCTTCCCGCCGGAGCGGTGCCTATTTATCTACTTGTACTTTGACGTGCTTTCGAACTGCTAGGTTGGCAGGAGCAGGGACCGAGCAACGGGAGCTCACCCCGTCGCGGGGATTCAAACCGCCAACCTTCTGATCGGCAAGTCCTAGGCTCTGTGGTTTAACCCACAGCGCCACCCACGTCCCCAAGAGAGTTCCTTACTGTGTTGTAAATGATTCCCATTGAAATGATGGGACGGTAAGCGACTTCTCAAAATTCTAACAATGAGTCCATGTCAGAGCCTGGAAATTTGTTGTCCCGCTTTCTAGCCTGTGATCTATGCTAGTGCTCACTCTTGCCATTTTAACTATCGCATTATATAAGGGAAGGTTTGCATTCTGCCTACTGGTAGTGGTGAAAGATACAAAGGTAGAGATAGAAGCCAGATCTTCCCATGAAGATTAGTTGCAAGTTTGTTTTCAATAAAGCATTGCAAGGCGTAGTAAAAAAAAAAAAAAGTCACTTACCTTGCTGGTATAACAACAGTCACTGGAATTCTAAAGAGTGGGCCTGCGTTAGGCATAGATATTTCATAACCACACACCTAAAAAAGTTGAAAATGCAATAAAATTAGGAATTGCCTTTAAAAACAAGCCTCAGTCCTTTGAAGATACTGATAAGCTGCCATGTATTAATCTTTTACGATTATACTTCCTGGAACTCTGGAACTGTACCGCAGGCATAGCCAACAGGGTGCCCTCCACATTCTGTAGGACTACAACTCCACTCAGCCCCAGCTAGAAGAGTCAATGGGAGCTGCACAAACTTCTAGAAGACATTGTGTTGGCCACCTTTGCCCTAACACATTAAATATAGTCCTGTAATGAACACACGCCATTCTGTTTCCCTTTCACCTTGTGAACAAATGCACATAATTTTTGACAGCCTAGGGCAGGGGTCAGCAACCTTTTGCAGCTGTGGGCCGGTCCACCGTCCCTCAGAGCATGTGTGGGCTTAGGTTGCCTATCTGTGATGGCTTGTGTATGCTCTTCACAATAAGGCGTCTGCTCACTCAGAGATATTTACAGTTCTTTATTTTACATATGTACAAGCAGCACATTACAATCATGCGTCCGAATTGTCCGGTTCAGATTCGGGGAGTGGCCTTCTCCGGCTTCTCCTCCAACAGAAAAGACGGGGAAGTTTCATGGGATGTCTCTCCTCCCTCCGTTTTAACCCTCTCCTCTCCTGTGCAGACGGCCACAGGCTCACTGTCTGTTCCTGAACTTCCTGTGCGGTGCTGGGGCTCTGCTTCAGCATCGGAGAGCCTTTCCGCCTCCTGGCTCTCTCCCTCTTCCCCATCCGTCACTTCCTCCTCTGTCTCCCTCTGACTGTTCCCGCTCCTCAAAGGCATTCCCTGGCAGTCCCGTGACATCACCCCTGGCCCAGGGCTTGTTAGTTCAAACTTATTCACAATGCTTCCTGAACACGTGTTCCTAAAATTTTCCCCTCTGCCTCTCTGAAACCATACCTCTGCAAACAGCCTCTTGGAGCAATTCAAGCTGAACTTTGTTACTGTCCTCTTGCCAGTGCTACAGGGGGTGGTTTGTGGAGGACGCCTGCTCCATCAAATGATTGTCAAGAGCCCAACCCAAACTGGTGGAAAGTTTACATCCCAAGACTAAAAAGGCCAGTGAAGAGTAATTATATGGAATTTATCAGAAACATGTTATAGTTACGAGCACTAACTGAAATATGAACGGCCGATGGAAAAGGATAAATGAAAATAATAATAAAAAAAATGTTAAACAATTTTAAGTAAAGGAATTTACTTAAATTGCTGCAAGAAGGGGGGGGAGGGAAACACGGCCAAAAAAACCCCCAAAACCAACCAACAGAGCAGGAAGTTAACTTTACATTTGTATTAAATTGTATTCATTGGATGTAAATTCATTAATTTTTTTGAAAACTAATAAAATATAATTTGCAAAAAAAGAGAGACAATACCTCTGTATAGTGAACTCCTTCTCGCAGGCCACGCGGATCCACGCGAATGTTAATATGTCTACATTGGTTCATGAGCTCCAGATGAGTAGGGCACTGAACCCAGGAAGCGTTTGAAGTTAAAGCTAAATGAAGCTGGAGAGATATCCTGTCAGCGTTGTCTGGAAGAAGAATGTGCAAAGTTAAGGATTTTACTCCATCCATCTGAAGCTGTTTTAATTAGGAAGAAATTATAAACACAAGGGATTTTTAAATTTAAAAGTTTTCTTGTGATTTTATGGCAAACTTAAACATAAGCCCGTACTTTCCCCTTTGTTCAGCCGTGAAAATATTTAATATCGCTGCACCTTTCCTACCTGTGTTTTCAGGGAAGAAGGGCTCTATGCCAACACCATGGTCAGAAGGCACCGCTACCTGGGCAGGATCTCTGAGGTAGATTCCACGGTTGTTGCCAACAGTAATGGTGAAGCCTATGTTGTCAGCAAATGTTGAGTTCTGGATGAGGTAGTCATAGGCTTTATCAACCTATTGAGAGAGGGGCGGGGAGGGAAATCAAAAGGGAATTTACTGAAAATGTGGAAGCCCATGGAAATCATCATTTTTAAAAAATTTATGACTTTCATGCCCATGTCGGCTTAAAAGTGGTAATTCAGCGCTCTTCGTAGTGTTTCCACGGGGCAAGGCTCTTTCCAGCCTGGCAGGAAAGCACGAAACGTCTTCAAAATGTGCCACAGCCTTTCTAAACAAGAAAAAGAGCCCAACAGTTCAAAGGCAAGGGGAAATGTTTTCAGTAGGTCAACTTCCCTGGGAGAGGCCCTTGCCAAGAGAGACCCAGCAGCGAGAACACCTGGACAGCTCATTTCACCCTATTAGAAAAGGGATGAAGATACAGTGGTACCTCGGGTTAAGTACTTAATTCGTTCCGGAGGTCCATTCTTAACCTGAAACTGTTCTTAACCTGAAGCACCACTTTAGCTAATGGGGCCTCCTGCTGCTGCCACACTGCCGGAGCACAATTTCTGTTCTCATCCTGAAGCAAAGTTCTTAACCTGAAGCACTGTTTCTGGGTTAGTGGAGTCTGTAACCTGAAGCGTATGTAACCTGAAGCATATGTAACCTGAGGTACCACTATATTCCCTTTTAGGAGGACCTTCTCAGCTAAGCTGGCACTGTAGAGGATCTTTATACTTTATCGTGTGATCACTTTCTATCTCTTTCAAATCTGGTTGGATTTCAAATTATCATATTTTAAATAGTGTTTCTGTGGGTACTCAGCAGCATGCTCTTTCAAAAGCAGGATATAAGGATAAGCAGTAACACCATATGCCAAACTGTGTGAGAAACACAGAAAAACTTCCACAACACAGGGTCTTTGCTAAGCCTGTGTTCAATGGGATTTACTCTCACTAAATGTGCATAGGATTGCAATCAACTAACTGGTAGCAAAAGAACAATGAAAAGAGCAACGAATAAAACAGGTTATGAGAAAATAAAAGAAGCCACTTAAACAGCTCAGGACCGCAATACCTCAAGGACTGTCTCTTCCCATATGAACCTATCCGGCCCCTGAGATCCTCCTCAAGAGGTTCAGAGGGTTGCAACACTGAATGGGCCTTCTCTGCAGTGGCTCCCTGTCTGTGAAATGCTTTCCCCAGGTAAGTTCACATGGCGTCTTCATTATACACCTTTAGGCGCCAGGCAAAAACGTTCCTTTTTAACCAGGCCTTTGGTTGATCCAACTTACATCCTATGCCGTTTTAAAATATTTTTTTTGTGTGTGGGGGGGTATTGGGTTGTTGTTTTCATTTTATTATGTATTTTGTGGTTTTAGATCTTCATTTTATTCCGTGAACTGCTCTTAGACCTGGGGGTATAAATTCAATAAATAAAATAAAAAATGTATATCAGGCATCGCCTCTTGCCTCAGGCATTGTTTTCAAGCATTTGTTTTAGCACTTAGTTTGCAGCTTCAGTATTGTCTGGTAAGCCATTAGGTTTGAATGAGAGCCAACTGAAAACAAGGAAGAAATATAGGAAGTAGTACAGGAAATTTTTTATGCTAAACCTCAAATACTGGAGTGGAAGACCAGGGATACATTTGTTGATCAACAAATAGATTTGTTCTTCAGCTGACCTAAAAGACTGAGACACTATTGATGACTACAACAGGATATGTTTATTTGCGCTCCAGCTTGTAATTACCTGAATAACACCATGTCCTTGGGCAAACACCTGTATGTTTTCCACCTTCACCGCAGTATTTTCCAGCGCTCTCCTGACCGAATGAACAGTGTAGCGCACATCATTAGCTTTAAGTCCTGTAACAGAGAAAAGGGGTGGGGAATTCATTGACAGCAGTAAGAGAAATGCTCCTCACAAGTGAATCTTCATTATCATATGAATTTCTTGCACATTATGAAACACTCTTTTGCTTTAACCAAAATGAACCTTGCTTTAAACAGTGGTGTTCCACATTACCTGATAGTACCAAGGCAATGCCACCACATGCGTTCGGTGAAGACATCGATGTGCCATTCATGAGCTGTGTCCCTCGTAATGTCCAGTTAGGGACAGAGGCAATAGCGCCTCCAGGTGCGCTGATGCTTACTCCCAGTGCTCCATCGGTACTGAAATTAATAGAAAATAGAGCAAAAATATAGTTAATACACCAACAACCCCCCTGTTACTTCATAAGCCAGGCTTCCTCAGCCTCGGCCCTCCAGATGTTTTTGGCCTACAACTCCCATGATACCTAGCTAGCAGGACCAGTGGTCAGAGATGATGGGAACTGTAGTCTCAAAACATCTGGAGGGCCGAGTTTGAGGAAGCCTGTCATAAGCTGTTCAATTATTCCTCTTTTAGAGTCATACACAGACGAAACCATGCAAAATCCCCTTCTGACTCCCGTAAGAGAATCCTAAATACATGAATGCTAATCCATCAACATGCTGCATTAATATAGATGACAGCCTACCAAGCAGTGACTTACCGTGGTGTGCATACAATCACTTGATACTGACCATCTATATTGTCCAGCAATGGGGGGGAAATGGTCACCTATCTCCTCTCTCTTGATTTTTTTTATTCAGTTTTTTAATCCACTTACAGAAGGATATGTACACCTGGCAACACACACTTCATCTGAGCATATGGAGCTACTTTTGGTTTACATACATAGTCCAAATGTCCACTGACTGGCAAGAGGCTCTCTAGCATACAAGGCTGAGATTTTTCCTAGCCACTGTTTATTGGGAACCTTTATCTGGAGATTGAAGCCAGAACCTTATGCTACTCAGCTACGGATGCTCACTACTTGACAGGATGAAACAATTACTTTGCCAAGTTGTAAGCTTTTAATGTTTGATGTTTTGTTTTGTCCCTCTGTATTTTGTTGGAAGCTGCCCAGAGTGGCTAGGGCAACCCAGTCTGATGGGTGGCATACAAGAAATATATTTTATTTTTATTATTTATTATACTAAGTTACCACTTGCTAAATGGTTGCCTGCATCTACTCACTAACTGAAACCCTTTATCTCCTCATCCCACTCCTGTCTCTTCTGGAATAATGTCTTTTCTCAAACACTTCTCTGAATAAAATCAATTAGGATTTGATTCTTTCTTACTTACTAGGCTCTTGGCAAAGTATCAGAAATTTGAAAAAAAGAAAAAGGCCTGATCTTGTAACTGATAGATAAATTACACAAGGTTTCTTGGGCTGTGTTGCTTATTCTGCTCATGACCACCTTGCAGCATTTGATATTTCAAAGCTCAGCATCTATTTTTCACTACGATAAGCAGGAAGCTGCAAAACTATCTCAGGAGTCATTCCTATTACATCAGTATAGGGCCCAGAGATCAGCGAGGTTTTTTAAAACCACATTTTCCCTTTACTTTCAGGCAGATTTTGTCAAATAATGCGACGCCTCATATGAGCTCATGAATCTATATATCACTTACCTAGGACCTCGAGATGACCAAGTGTACTGATTTGCAGGAAGTTTCTCTCGCAAGGAATACTCAGCAACCATCATATCAGGTGATACGTAAGCACCAACACCTGGAATGTTATTTGGAAGATGAAGGGGTTGAGAATACAAGGTCTTATCACCAAACCTATTCCCAGCCTCAATAAAATATTGGTTTCTTTCCATTCTCAGAATTGTTATGTAATTAGAAATATAGTGATAAAAATACTTGCCAATCACACTAGATGTAGTTCCACCTGGGCAACCAACTGTTGAAAGGCAAGGACCATTGTTCCCAGCGCTTGAAACATAGATTACATTGTGTTTCCATACAGCTTCATTTATAATTTCACATATTCTCCTAGAAGAGTTGCAAGAAAGAAAGGAAAAAGGTTGAGCAGGTGCCCTTTTTGCTTGTCTTCTTCTCCTGTGAAAAATGCTCATAGGCAGAGCTGGACAGTTTTCATTGAAGAGATTCCTATTTATTTAAAAACATTCCTATACTGCTTTATGATAAATGGAACCGCTAAGCGATTTACTCTCCAACTTCTCACAGCGCCAAAAGAAAGTAACAAATAAAGAACCTATCCTCATGATGCTGACACAAAAATTCTGCACATATGTGAAGCAAAGAATGGAAAAATCATTTTTCTTCCCCCCCCATCTCTCTCCAATTCATTCCATCCCATGTCTATGACAGCAGCGTCTCACACTGAATGAATGTAAATGACCTCTAGAACGATCTCTATCAACTGAGAACAGAGATGTTGTATGTACCCTTGTTATCTATGAAACTCCTTCAGTAAAACCATTTAAAATGTCAACGAAAGATCTCTGCATGCTGCAGCCTAAAGCCATTTACTATTTGCAACATACTGCCCACTTCTTGGCAGCGGATGCCACTTACGCAGCTCTGTGACATCACTGTATGGATGGAGAAAGGCCAGGGCTTCCAACAGAAAGAGGGCCGTTTCAAGAAAAGCGGTAACGGATGAGCACCCTGCCTTCTTAATCTGAAGCATTTGGGAATGTAGTCAAACAGACTGCTGCTCAGGTTGTCCGGAAAAAACACACAAAGGTGCCTCCCATCCCAAAATGCCTTGATTAGAGTGTGGGAGTTGACCCAAAACTAAAGCTATGAATCACTTGGCAAGAAAATGTTATAATGTCAAATTCTGCATTAGTGTGCGCTTTTCACTGGGTGTGCGCTTTTCACTGCGCAAAAAAGCAAAAGCAAAAAATATTTTTAAAACCCTCCAAGTCACAGGGCAACTGTGTCCTCCTTCAACAGCCCTATGGGCACTCTTCAGACCTACTTTTGTTTTTCTACTAGAACCCCAAAAATCTATCAACCAGAGCTTGAAATACATGCACTTCAAATTAAAGAACAGGGTGTCTCTGAGCACTTGTTGAGCACAGCAATTTCTAATTTAGGTGGGAAAATTGTCTGGTGGTTGCTATTCTTAAAAAAGAAAAGAGGAACCAGAAGCATTTGCCAATTTACTGCACGCCAGCCAGAGAGCAATCAACCAGTAATTCCCAATCTACGTTCTGCCCATCCCTGCTGCAAGCAACAACCCTTCCACATACTTCCCTGCATGACCGCAATAACCCAATGCCCTCAGTTCTCCGTCCCCCAGGTATCTGTAGGTGGCCAACATATCTGACTGGAAAATCCAGCACACTGTCTTCAACTGATAACTTCCTGTAGTGCCTCCCTTAAAAATTATGAGCTAGCACACTTTCTCAAACTTGAATCTCCAGCTGTTGTTGGACTACAACCGCCATCATCCGTGACCACTGGTCCTGCTAGCTAGGCATGATGGGAGTTGTAGTCCCATAAGAAGAGTGAGCCAGCAGTAAATCACTCTTAGCAAGTTGGAGTTAACTCTTTATTAGCAAAAAGAGGATCTGCACAGGAGTGTCAGGCCTAATGAGCACAGCAACTCATCTCTGGCAAGTCTTGCCCCCGTGAAGTAGTTGCCAGGCCTGAAGGTCCCCGCCTACCCACAGCTGCCTAAGTCCCCTCCTCTCCAGGGCTTTTCCCAAGCCATGCGAGACCGTGCCTGTGCGAAGCTAACTTTTCCTCTGCCCTTTTCATGCCTCTCCTGGTTCTGGGAGACCAGTGGGGAAGGGAGCTTGTTGAAGGAGGTAGAGACATTTCTGCTTCTTCATTAGCCAGAGTCATCTCTGCCTCTTGGCCTCCCTCTTCAGCTTCTGCCTGATTCTGGACTTCTCTCTGCCACAGACTCCCCCCACTCACCAAACCCTGTTACTTCTCCAGCTTCCGACACCTCCTCCCAGTCTTTTCCCTGTCCCCCCTTTGACCACTCACTGCTTACTTCCCAGGCTCTCAGCCTTCTTCCCTTGGGGCTTCCCCAGCTGGTTCCTCCCACCATTCCTCTGCATCCAACCAGTCTGTAACATGGGAGCTCAAGTTGGGGAAACACTAAGCTAGCAACTAAGATTTATTTATTTTTTATTTATTGAATTTAAATTGCTCCTAAGGAGTCCAAGGCAGCAAACACCTCTATGATAAAAAAATACAAAATAAAAGAGAAACGTATATATTAACTGTTAAAAGCTAAAGGTAAAGGGACCCCTGACCATTAGGTCCAGTCGTGGGCAACTCTGGGGTTGCGGCGCTCATCTCGCTTTATTGGCCGAGGGAGCTGGCGTACAGCTTCCAGGTCATGTGGCCAGCATGACTCAGCCACTTCGGGAGAACCAGAGCAGCGCACAGAAACGCCATTTACCTTCCCGCCGGAGTGGTACCTATTTATCTACTTGCACTTTTGACGTGCTTTCAAACTGCTAGGTTGGCAGGAGCAGGGACCGAGCAACGGGAGCTCACCTCGTCGCGGGGATTTGAACCGCCGACCTTCTGATTGGCAAGTCCTAGGCTCTGTGGTTTAACCCACAGCGCCACCTGCATCCCTATATTAACTGTTAAAAATACCTAAAAACAATTCAATATAACATGTAAAACAAATGGGGAAAATAGAGAAGTGTCCAAATCACATGTCTGAATAGGCCCACTGAAACAGAAAACTCTCAGCAAGTATTTAAAAGAGGACACTGTGTTCCAAAGCAGAAGTGATGCCACATTAAATGAATGACTCCTGCCCCCATTATTTTGTTTCCTTCATGTTACACGCACCGCTTTGCAGTGGCTGCCTCTTCAAAGAGCCTCCACCTCTTCCCAGCTCCTAGGCCAGGGGTCAGCAAACGTGTTTCAGCAGGGGGCCAGTCCACTGTCCCTCAGACCTTGTGGGGGGGCTGGACTATATTTTTTTGGGGGGGGGGGAAACAAATCCCTATGCCCCACAAATAACCCAGAGATGCATTTTAAATAAACACATTCTACTCATGTAAAAACATGCTGATTCCCGGACTGTCCGCAGGCTGGATTTAGAAGGCAATTGGGCTGGATCCGGCCCCCAGGCCTTAGTTTGCCTACCCATGTCCTAGGCTTTGAAAGCGGAATCGGCCAGTGATCTGGGGCACAACAAGACTCCCTTGAACCACGTGCAAATCAAGAGACACTCCGGTAGATGAAAGCTGAAAACTAGGATACTGGAGCTGGCTACCCACAACGGAACAAAGTAAAGGTCATAAAAACGTAGTCTACTCACCCAGCATTTGGCCAGTGAGTTGCCTCTCCGTAGCTGTAGTTGACAAGGTCACACTTATATTTTATTATTTCTATCATCTGTTGAAGTTAAGAGAATTGCAACGCTTAAACCACAATGCATACTGCGGCACTGTGCTTGCACAATATTGCTAACTGGCATTTTTACTAGGATCACATACAACTTTTAAGAAGCAGGTCCCTGTTTAGGGAAGTTTTTAATGGGCAGGGTATAAATCATCATCATCATCATCATCATCATCAGCTGGTATTACTCCCATGGTGTGGGGACCCAAGCAAGGGTCTTTTTGGTGGCGGGTCTGCCTTCTTACAAAGGTGTGTCTGACACAGCATCTTTAAAGTTTTTGGTAGGTGGTTATGACACAGCTCTTTCAGCAGATGGCGGGAAGAGGAGACCTAAACGACTGCTTCTCGGTCAATGTGCAGGGTCATATTTTTCCACTAAGCTACTCCAGCAGCCTTTCGACCGAAGAATGGGGCGAAAATGCTTAATATAAATAGTATGTGCGTGTGATCCTCAGGCAGCTTGTCTGAGGAGGATTTAATTGAAGCAGCTGGCTATCTCTTGTTTAAATTAAAATGTGTGTGACCTTTCACTCTTTGCCACTAGTGACCGCTCAGAATTATTTTTAGCCGCTTGCTATGTACACTCATGCTAATCGCTTGGCAGTGGTACTCTGAAAGCAAGTGTGCACTTCTTCATTTCCAAAGAACTACTGTTCCCTTGAAGTAAAGGGGAATTTCATGGACAACTGGAACAAAATTTAATGAACAAAATTCTACCTGCACTCCCCTCCAAAAACACATTGACACATGACATGTACTAGCGTTGTCTGAGATAGCTGAGGTTGGAGTCCCACGCTGGGCAAGATTCCTGCATTGCAGGGAATTGGCCTAGATGATCCTTGCAAATCCTATGATTCTATAGTCTTCCATGTAACAACTCTGCCAATACTTACAGCTCTGATAAGGCCAGTGCCAGTTTCCATGGTGCTTAATCTCGTATCACCAATCTTAATTGCGAGAATTTGTGCACCAGGGGCCACCCCGTTACGATCTGGTTCATCTGGAAAATACCCAGCAGCTATGCTAGCAACATGTGTCCCATGTGCTCCTGAAAGAATAAAGACAATGCACATCAAAAGAGCGGAACCACTTTTTTCATACAAGTTTGGGTATACAGCTTTCCTTACCACCACTTACAAAGCAATGCTGACAAAGCCCTTTCAACGTGATCTTTGATGTAACATTCAGCATGACAATTGCACTGGGAAAGGCATTCCGGATAGCTGTTCTGCAAACGGGCTCCAAAGGTGGCAATGCTCATCTTTCATAGACTGCTTTGGTTCATGTGTGCAGCTATATAAATGCTCATGATTATTCATTCATTCATTTATTTTGAATTTATATACTGCCCTATACCCAGAGGCCTAACGGCAGTTCACAGAAAATCATGAATGTGTAGTTCCATGTGTTATTGTGTTGTGAAGGTTGTCCATGCAATGTGACAAACTGCAACCACATCAGTGGAGCTCTTCACTCAGGTATTGCATTGGAGTGATTAAAATAGGCTCAGACTTTTTGTAGATCTGCCTGTGAGCACGTCTTACCGCTTATGGAATGACCTTTGAAACTGAATGTTAACACAACGGCTCCTCCCTTTTATCTTATCTAATTTATCTGAAACATTAGCTTTCCAAACAGAGCAAACTATACATTTAGAAAAGGAAGAAAATGAAGGACACTGAAGAATTGTTTCTGGATGATTAAGCTTACCTCCACTGGTGACAATCGAGAGCAAGTTCCCTTCATCATAGATATTGACAGAGTAATTCAACATCTCCGACGTGCCAAACGATCCAAATTCTTGACCTTCCTTGTAGTTGCGTAAAACTGTGCAGTTAGAAAAGTCACCAGTTTCACTTGAATCTATACAAGCTCTAGAGAAAAGAACATATACACACCTTGCAAGTTAACAGTTTTCTTTTCTTGTATTGAACTATCCAAAAAGGGTAATTAATATCCTGCCATTCCAATACATGCAGTGGTTCCCAAGTTTATGAACCTGATTCCACAAATGAAAGAGTTCATCAGTTTAGGGTTTCCCAATCAGCCATGCTGCCTGCACCAAAACACACTACTGTATTTTCTGGTGTATAAGACTACTTTTTAACCCAGGAAAATCTTATCAAAAGTCGGGGGTCGTCTTATACGCCAGCTACAGCAGCAGCTCCTGCAGCAACTCCCCACCAAAGGATAAAACGACAGCAAATTAAATCAGAGAACACCAAGCTCTCTAGATGAAGCAGAAATATGCTTGAAAACTGGCCCCAGAAGCCCCCCGGCCACTGGGAAGTGGAGCGGATTTCCGAGCGGGACTAGAGACTGGTTTTTTAATTTTTATTTGGTGTGTGTTGGAAGAGGTGTAGTCTTATACGGCAAGTATATCCCAAACTCTATATTTTAACTGGAAAAGTTGGGGGTCGTCTTATACGCCGGAAAATACGGTATTTAGTTTTTTTGTGCCTCACCGGTTGTACAGCAGCTCTAGGCAGGACTGAAGAGCAAGTTCCCAAACTGCTTTATTTGTGAAAATAAACATTGGTAACGCACAGGCCCCTAGTAAACATCCAACATACCCCCTGTCACTTGGTAGCCGCCGTTCCAGCTGTGTACCTCAGTGGAAGAGATGAGGGTGGCTCACTTCATCCCCTCTGCTAAAAGATCAGCAACATCAGGCACCTCCTACATGGAACTATTTTCACTCCAGCTGATTAATCTTAAAAACTGGCACCCAAGTAAGTGGCAGTAGTCCTGGGCAGGGTGACATTTGGCCCAGTTAGTGGTCAGGCTTCAAAGAAGGGGTGACTAACTTGTGGCCCTCCTGATGTCATTAAGACTTTACCATCCCCAACCACTGACTGAGCTGGCTGCACTGATGGTAACTGTAGTCCAACAACACCTTGAGGGCTACAGGTTCTTCACCCCTGCTTCTAAGCTACTTTCATTTGTTTGCCCTAAATCTTCTAACATTCAGTTTCACTGGATGGCTTTGAGTTCTGGTGTCATGAGAAAGGAAGAAAACACTTCTCTGTCCAAACGCCGTAAACTTTCCTTATTGGAGGGTGTCTCCATCCCATTAATCATTTTGGTTTCCCTCGGCTTCAAAATATCAGATAAGGTTAGGGACAATACGTATTTTAAGGGCATAAAAAAAAAATTACCTCCAAGTTTCACCATCATGCCACACCAAGCAGTCATATACAGGGCCAGGATCACTGTATTTTTTCTCAAAAGAATTCAGCAACTCCACTTGACTCTGAAGCTCTTCCTTCATCAGTTTGCTTTCCTGAAAGATGAGAATTTGTCATAAAGTATGCTAACGCAATGATGCCCGGATTCAGCTGTGCCATGTGTGTATCACTCGCTTCAGTGGGAGCTGAGGGCATAAATTACAAATGAAGATGCAGCCTATTCATACTGAATGAGATCTTTGCTCCCCTCCCCTTTTTCTGCAACCAGTTATATCTGAACAGATTGCTTACGTACAGCTAGACCCGAATTACAGCTACATAAGCATATGCCATGCGCAACGGAGCATCATAGCCCAAGACAGAAGGCAAAACCTCATCTGCACGACGCAGTGCAGATGAAGCCTGCAGAGAAAGGTGGAAGTTAGGTACCTGTGTGTATATTATTACAAAATGGATCACAAGGTCTTATGCAAGGGTGGCTGGACACAAACAGAATGGACTTCCACCCATGAAACAAGACATCCCTTTCTTCCTCCCCCTCAAACTCCAAAATCTGTTCTAGAAGCTTGAGGGGGACCCTCCCTTTGTGTGACGTTCTGTTGTGTGAGTGGAAATCTGCTTGTCACACAGAACAATATTTCTTAGGGGAGTTCGTTCTAAAATAGTAACCTGCGATGGAGAGCTGTGAGCAGCTTCAAACTCATCTTGCTTCCTGCAGGCTTCCGCGAGCACCAATCTGTGAACAGGATCCCAAAGCTTTTCCTTGCGTTCTTTCTGCAAGAGATGATATACTGAATTTTAACAATGACATCTTTTCACACTCAAATGAGAAAAAGGGTTTGTGCCAAAAATGGCGGGCTTGCATGCCATGCTAAATCACATAGGGCAAGTATAAAACGCACTTTGCGGGTTGAAACATTGGCCAACCAGGAAGGAATAGGGGAAATCACAGCACAGAAGGGCAGGAGGGAGCATGAGAGTCTAACAGAGCAATCCTAACTCTGGGTGGGAAATATCAGGGAATGACACAGCGGTACAACTGGTGCTACATGCCCACCACTCATGCCTATTGGAGAAAAAGGGGGAGAAGCAAAACCACTCTTCCCTAGTTTGGGCTAGCAGAGCAAAGTGATGGCAATAAGGTCAACTAAAAATCCATTGAATCCCAGGCCAGCTCAGCTACTTCCCCAGAATGATCTGTTTTGGGACTTTCTGCAGGCTACCTCCAGTGGGAATCTATCAACAGGTAGAGGCCAGGAGAGTTGTTTTGGGCAAGTTAGAGGGAGACCGTTGCCCTATGAAACCATCACCCAGCAAACTGGGGCTTTGGATTGTAACCTAAGGCTTATTCCATTGTTTTCAGGCTTTTAAATTTGTTTTAATGCTATTTTTAAATTTTACATAACTTTAATAAATTTGTTTTATTCCAACCTACTTCATTTTATTTGAATATTTGCTGAAAGAGCAACAATTTTTCCCACTTTTTAAATGGGCATGTTGAGATCTGCCAGGGAAATTCAGCATTTTATGTTTATGTTTCAGGCTAAACATAATTTCTATTATGCGCTACTTTCGTACTATGAAACTTTTGGTCTACAATGTTTGGGTGTGTAGATACAAATAAACAAATCTAATGTACTGTTGCTACTTTTGCAGCATAATTTGGTGTAAAAAGAGAGCCTGTATACAAATTAAAGACTTTAAAAATGAAGATGCAAAGAATTACCTGTATTCTTTCCTTGAGAGCTTTAGGGTAGAAGTCATAACCATTTTTTAAGCCAATGTGATATGTTCCTGAAGGATTTACCCAGTCTGTTGGGATCTGAAAAAGGTAGAATTTAGGAATCTACATATTTTGTCCGTTCTATCCACCTCAGTGACCATGCACAAAATATATACAATAAGAATGGTGAACTGCTAAACCTGTTCACAGCAAAATCCTATGCATATGCCTATATACTGTACATCCAACTAAGTCTAATGCATTCAATTGGGCTTACCCCTGGGATGCAAGCAAAGGACTTAAGAAATAAGAAGATTAGTATTGTGCAACAAAATTCAAAGAATATTAATTAACGCCCAGCCTATTCTCAGTTCTTTCACAATCAAATTTCTATTCTCTGTTATACAGCTACAGGAATGCTTGTCTCTTTTATAGGTACATTGCTTTGGTCGCCTTGTATGACCATTGCCAGATTACTACAACATGTTGTACGTGGGGCTGCCTCTGATGATAGTTCGGAAACTTCAGCTGGTGCGGAATTAGGAGATCAGGTTGCTCACTGGTGAAAGACGGTTTGAGCATATAATGCCAATCCTGCCCTCACTGCACTGGCTGCCAATCAGTTTCTGGGTCCAATTCAAAGTGCTGGTTTTGCTCTATAAAGCCCGAAATGGCTCAATACCTCAAGGATGACCTCTCTCAATATGAACCTACCTGGACTCTGTGATCATCATCTGAGGCCCTTATTTGGGTGCCTCCTCCAGATGAGGTTTGGATGAAAGCAACATGAGAACGCTCTCCCCAGTGAGGCCTGCCTGGCATCTTCATTATGTAGCTTTAGGCATCAGGCAAAAACATTCATTTTCTTGCAGGCCATTGGCTAATTAAACAACCTATGGCCTTTTAAACTGGGGGGGGGGGCTAGTTTTTGTTTGTTACCATGGTATTTCTCCCGTTTTTATATTGTAAATCATTCGGTGATCCTCAGATGAGGGGTGGTATAGAATTTTAATAAATAATAAAAATAATGATGTTATAAAAATACATTAGGAATATGACTGAAGCTGTAGATTTTGGGTTGCATCAAACTGAGTTATACTCAAACCCACTGAAATTAATGGACGTAAGTTACTCATGTCCGCTACTTTCAATGGGTCTACTCTGGGTAGGACTGATACGGGTTGTTAATTCATAAGGTGATATCTAATTGTGTCACCCAGCCGACAGCAAGGGTTCCATCACAGAATGGGGGAGAGAAGCAATTTTCAACTATTTCCCCTTCCCCTCTGTAGTCTTCCCAATCTGCTGCAGGATGAGTAGCCTTCCCCAGCAGACTGGGAGGCAAGGGAAATCACTTAAAATTAACCCCACCCTATTCTCCTGTTGGAAGCCTTGTCATCAGCTGAGTGACACCACTGGCTTCAACCCATTGACCTTCCAAGTAAACATGCATAGCATCAGGTTGCAAAACTTGACAATGCCACCAGAGAAATCTAAAGCGCATGACTACAGAGCACCCTTGAGTGCTACTGGCAAACATGAGGATATTCTCTTCATCTTAAGAGTTTACTACTCTGGTGTCAGTCAAACAAGGCCTTTGAAGACTCTAGGCCTCAACATAACAGCAAATTACCCAATAGGCTGACCTTTTACTATGGAAGACAGTAAAGATGGGATGCAATGAATAAATAAATAAATAAATAAATATGAGAAAGAGAACAATCCACAAAGTCTTAGCTTTTCTTGATGAACTGCAGTTTCTTGTGTCAAAGGGGGAAGCTGCTCTTTTAAAAGGTAGCTTGTTTCTCTGGCAGTGGGAACAGTTCAGTGAAAACAGCAAGCAATATCTCAATGTACAAGGGTTCACTCCTGCCAGTCCATTCTCTGGACTGCAGCCACAGGACTGCACTGAATAAACAAGTAAATCACCAGGGCCAAGCTATCAGGGTTTGTAAAAACTTGAAGTGGGGATTTAGAACAGCTACAATGTCTTAAGAATCTGGCTGCCATGTAGACTCTGAAATCTTTTCACAAGCCTCAGTATAAATATCAAGTATCAACTTGCGTGTGCCGCATTCTGAGTGAGCCAATCTCTACGTATGCTGTTAATTTTCGGGAATTATTATAAACAGAAAAGTTCCATGGGCAGTTTACAACAGAATACAAAAACATATGCAGCATACAAAAACAACAGAATTTAAAAGACAAACAGTCCGGCTTGAGTCTAGATTCAATTAAGAAACGATTTGAAAAGAAAAGCTTTCAGCTGCTAGTTGAAAGCCAGTAAGGAGACAAACAAGCACCCTAGGCAGGCTTGTTTCCCAACTGGTGGACTGTCACCGTGATGACCTATGACCACCTACTAAGAGGAGCAGCTGTAAAGCAAATTCTCTGGATGATTTCAGTGTACACTATAGAAGGCATTCCTTCAGACAGACAAGAACTAGGCCTTGTATTCCCCCAATGCAATTTTTATAAATACGGTACTTAAGTACAATTAAATGTTAGGAGCGCAACTAGGACTTTCAAAGTGTTTTGAGATTACTGATCGTCCTGCTGTATATATAGCTGGAGAGTACTTTGCCTGTGGTTCAAATCTGTAAACTCCTGTCATATTTAAACAGAGTATCTTGGAATTTTCAACCGAAGGATGACCCAGAAGAGGCCACCAACTTTAATTCAAAATAACCTTTACCTTCAGAGTTCTTCCTGAAAGACCAATGATTTCTCCATCTTTTGGTTCTACAACAGTTGAAGTGTTTACATCACCACTGCCTGTTGTATCTATTATGTCAATTATCTTAGGTTTCCCATCAGTTGTAATCTGAAAATAATAATAAAAAATTAGGAGATACAAATATAAATGCTCCATAGACACAGGAACTCTTGAAAAAAATGTATGTCCTACGCAGTGCAGGACATCTTCTGCTTGGTGTGGAACAAACTGTTTCCTAAAACAAAGTTATCTGCATTAATTTTAAAAAAATATATTATATTGTGAGCTGTGGCAGGATAGAATAACGACGTTCAAACAGTACAAATTTGATTTAAAAGAGCACAAACACAGTATGATAAACACATATTCAATAATGTGTTTTTCCAGATAACTGCAGCAAAATAAGAGTAATAGCTTCAACTTAATTAGCGTGAAGATTAAAAACAGGCAAAGGGAACAATCCCAAGCTCCCAAGAGGGCAACTGAGGGGATGCTGATCACTGTGTCTACCCTGTTGTTTCCCCAATGTATCCCCACAAAACCAAACAAAAAATACGCCATCCCTGGAGATGGTGCAGCTATTTTCCCTCCCACTGTTGTCAACAGGAGGGAAAGTCTTCAGTGGCTCAAAGAGGGGCAGAGAGAAGGAAAATCTCTCCTGCACAACCAACCTTATGTCAGCTAGGGCTTTGGAAGAGGTTGTTTCTCTGCCACAGAAACTGCTCTGCGGGCGAACAGAAAGCCTGCCCCTTTTTATATAAAAAGGAGGCCATTCGAATGAAGGTAACATGAATGGATGATTGTCATAGATGGAACCCTTAAGATGTCCTTCGGTGATGACCTCAGGAAGGAGACAAGTTCATATAATAGATTAAAATAGTATAAATGTCTGGCCAAAAAATATTCAAAGATGGCACCCATAAAGTATTTATCCCTGGAATACCAATTAGGAACACTAAGATTGTCCAATCGCACATCCATCTCAAAAGTGTTTCTTTTTTTAAAAAAAGAGAGAAAGAGATGGTTAGAGATAAGGATAAGGAGTGTGGGATGCAATAGGAAGTGATACAACACAGGGAGAAGCAGACAAACAGGATACTGTCACAAACAACAGCTGTATGGAAGGACATGTGGGTGGATGTGACAAGACAGGGGCAGATCTTAACAGGAAATGATAAGATCACAAGGCAAAATACATTGCAGGAGCAAACATATAATTGCCCTATTTCAGAAGGACAGGAAATAATTCAGCCTTTGTGCCAAACCTCTCGGAGTCTGCAATTGATCAGCCCAATGTGAAAACCCTCCAGCACCTATACTGAAGTAAGTACACATGAAGCAAGGGTGAGACTGGCTATGCTTACATTCACAATGGAGAGTCAGGAGCAGTGCCAACAATTCACGCAACAGCCAGCAGCTATCTCCCCCCTCCACCCCGTAATATATAGAAGAAGCCAAACATCAAGAACCCAGCTATCAAAATTCTAGCAATGTTCCAGCCTGGATGGAAGATGGGCCACATCTCTCCATATGATACTACCTGGACCCTGTGATCATTTCCCCAGGGAGGTTCGGCTGGCACCTTCATTATACACCTTTAAACGCCAGGCAAAAATGTTTCTTTTCAATCAGGCCTTTTGGATGATTAACGTCCTACACCCTTTTAAATGTGTTTGTGGGAAAGGGTGGGCAGAGTGGGGGCCATTGGTGTGTGTGTGAACGTGTGTTAGTTTATTTTTATAATGTGTTTTGTGCTTTTATCTTGCATTTTAATCTTGTAAACTGCTCTGAGATCAAGGAAGGGCAGTATACAAAATAAATAAATAGACAAATAAATAAATAACAGAAAGCAGCTGGAATCCCATAAGTTTTAGTTCTGATGATGGCAACTGTTGTGCTTGTACTTCATGTTTCAATCCGCCAGGAAACTGTTTTTCAACAAAGTTTCTACTGAGTGTTTCTACACTAAGGAATGCAAACATGCAAGACTACCTTTCTCAATTAACTCAGATGCTTGATCTTATTCATGAACTGTGAGCAATTATAACACCCCAAACACAGCAACTATACTTTGAATAACTAGTTAACTGATGAAGAACAAGTTCTCCCAGAGGCAAAATTTAACAATACAATTACATTAAGCTTAATTCCCTCCCAACCTCCCTAGTCATTCATGTCATGCTTCATAGCATCTCCAGAAGATTACCAGAGCCTGTTTTCATCTCTCCAGTCTCGTGAGAAAAGCCAACCCAGTCAATTTAATCAGAAGCCATTTTAGTTCCATTAACTTTATGACAGGTCCAACTCTTGTCAAAAAATGTGCATCCTTACAAACAGTGTCAAAATGTTTTATCATTTAAGGAGGATAGAATTACTACTTACTAGAGAAAGGGATATTATCTCTAGTGAAGTGAAGTACCTACACTTACTTATAGAACAAAAGCCTTAGGGAGAATGCTGACTGTTATGCATTCAATATATGCTGGACAAGAAACATGCCTATCAGTGCTATTTGCTTCAAAAGAAAATATACCTGGATCTTGGGGGGGAAAGACCAACCAAAGAAGTTGATGTAAATTCATATGCTTGCTAGAAGGCTTACTTTTAAGCAGACAGGCTACATTTCTACTTGCAGTACTACTGTAAGAGACAATAGCCATAATTATGCACACAGTTAGCCACACTTAAATCAATAAGATTTAATTGTGCTTAAAATGGGGCAGCAGTGTGCCACTAGCTTTAATTTGATTTGAGAAGGGTAATAAACATTTAGCATGTGATGCACCCACACTTCAAACAAAATTAATGGCCTCCTTCCTCCTCCTGTCCATTAAAAATCAAGGTACTCCCTTGTGATTCAAATCTGATTATCAAAAAACTTGCTAGGTAAATATAATCAAAGTCAATAAACCTAAGCCAAATGCCTAGTATGGCATAACTGGTTTGCTTTTTTCCACCGCGAACAATTTATCACAGCAACCTACCATTAACCTACCAGCAACCTATCATTAACACGTTTGGACAAATAATAAGTGTTACTTTTATTATTCCAACATGTACCGGTAATTGCTTTAAACCATAAATCAGAAACCTGTGCCTCTCCAGTTCTTGTTGGACTCAATTCCCATCAGTCCTAGTCAGTGTAACCAACCGTCAGTAATGATGTGAGTTTGAAGGACCACATACCGTAAGTTGCTTAAACCATCTCTAGTTTAAACACTGCACATGAGGCAAGTGCTTCTGAAATGTAACTCCTCTGACCTTTCATAAATCTGTTCTACCTTGAATTTAACTATACTTAGGTGGCTTTCCTTGACCAATTGCAGTCAGAACTTGAAGAGGGCTATTCCTTCATTACATTTTGTACAACTCTATCTTAATAAAATCTCTCCTTTCTATAATGAACTACCACAATTCTGTATGAATAAGTTGCAGAGTGTTCTGAAGAATAGTAGTATTATTTAACCAAAAACAACAAAACCTGTAAGTAAGCAGAGACATGTGACAGGATCAATCAATGCATAATTTGGAACAAAGGCTCAGAGACAAAAGCACCGGAAAGAACTAACATCTTTCAGCTTGGACATTTTCAATGCACCACAAGTTTCACTGTCATCTTCTGTACAACGCAAAAACAAGGATGCTCTCCTACAATATAAGACCACACGCACAGGCTCTCTTGTCAAGCCTGGTCCATAACCGCCTTGCCATCGTTTTTTTAACACACTCGCCCGCTTCAGCTAACACGTTCTATGCACAAGAACCGCTCTCCCTTTATCTTTGCCCTTTAAAAGGATTCCCTGCGAACATTTGCAAGCTACTCGCAACACAACAAGTCTGCCAAGCTTTAAAAATAATTGCCACGAGCCTAGGAGCAGCTGCAAGCCGTAGTGGTTATACGTGCACTTCGCAGAGACAGCGTGCCTCTGAATACAGCAAGATAAGGCTCTATTTTCCCACCACCAACCTGCTTCCCATAACCATCTGGCTGGCCAGGGTGGGAAAAAGCATCTGCCCCAGCAGGACTCCTCTCATACCCTTTAAGGCTTTCTCCAGATGAATACACCTACCATTCTGTCACTTAAGTCTCATTAATTTTATAATGAAATGATTTTATTATTTTACTGTTGTTAGCTGCTCTGAGCCCGGCTTCTGCTGGAGAGGGCGGGATATAAATAAAATTTCATTATTATTATTATGGGTAATTAAAAAATAATAATACCTATTTCCCAATATTTTCTGTTTTCCCTCCACTGCTATCCAAATCCCCACAACAGGAGTGGCTCAATCTCCTCTTCCCAAATCGCCCCCCCACCCCCCAAGGAAGAGATGGGGGTCCCTTCTCTCACCGCTAGGCAACACTACCCACCCCGCCCGTGCTGCCTTACCTGCATGCCTGGCGCTCCGGGGTCCACGCCCGTGTCTAGGACGGCCAGGAGCACTCCCCGCCCGTCATACTCCGGGTACCGGGACAGGAAGGAGGCAGCGCCGGTCTCTTTCTTGGGAAGAAGCCCTTGGAAAGGGTACTGCTCCTCACCGGCCGCCGCCGCCATGTTGGATGAGCAGAGAGAGAGAGAAAGCGAGAGACAGAGAAGGCGAGAGGAGAGTGACCGGTCACGCACGCGACGCCGGCGCCGGACCGGGTGACGTCACTGACTCGACGCGAGCCGGGCGTGAGGCTTCTGTTCGCGTCAGGCGCATGCGCGATGCCCCCCACTCCGGCCAATGAAAGCGCGGCTATCAGGTGCTACATGCCCCCTGCAGAGGCTTATGTAGATTTTCGAGCCGGGGCGGGGCGGCAGCTGCGAGCCGGCGTGCAGCCACTCAAGTTGCAGCGCGAGGAGAACTCGCGGAGCCGATTGGTCCTCGCGCCGCGCCAATAGGGGAGGGAGAACCCGGCGCTTGATAAAAGCGGCGAGCAGCGCCCGCCCTTCCCGCCTTTTGCCCTTTTATTGGCTCTGGCGTTTTATGTTGAAATTGGTTTTTAAACGCAGGAAACCTGCAGCCCTAAAGCCCCACCCTTCCCGGAAAAGCATAAACATCGCAGGAAAACATTCCGCCGAAGTTGTCCAGTGAGAAGATGCAATAAAGGGATTATTACAGCTACGTCTTTGAAGGCGTTGGCATTTATTTTACTTTCTTTATTTTTTCCAGCTAAAGCTTTAGACCTTTTTTTACCCCCCCCTGAAAGAGCTACCCTTCCAAACTTTTCTTTTGCCACCGTATGGTTATCTGCAGATGCTCCAAAGCATCTCAAAATGAGCCACACTGGTGTGGCAGGAAGATTCAAGGACAATCAAAGAAACATTTAACCAGTTCAGTATATAGTAGTACTAAGTATAGCATAGCATAGCATAGCATAGAGATTTTTATATATAGAATACACACACACACATATGGGGAAGCCCAGCCAGATGGCCGGGGTTTAATTAATAAATTATTATAATTATTACTTCTTAATATTATACTGAGATATATATATACATACAAACCTATACACATACAGTGGTACCTTGGGTTAAGAACTTAATTCGTTCTGGAGGTCTGTTCTTAACCTGAAACTGTTCTTAACCTGAAGCACCACTTTAGCTAATGGGGACACCCGCTGCTGCCGCGCCGCCGGAGCACGATTTCTGTTCTCATCCTGAAGCAAAGTTCTTAACCCGAGGTACTGTTTCTGGGTTAGCGGAGTCCGTAACCTGAAGGTCTGTAACCCGAGGTACCACTGTACAGTGCTATTTCTCTAGAAAAAGAGATTCCAGAACTCACGATGAACACCCCCCTTGTTCTTGTATAATGGCAATGGCACCCACCTGAGAGATACTAGAACTGAGTTCTGGCAAGTTCAGGCTGAAAAAATGCTGTGTGTTTAGGGTTTCTGACAGCATCTTCTATTTTCTTCTTCATGCCTCTCTCTTCCAGCAAGTTGTGGCTGAAATAAGGCGTTCTCTCTATCCAGAAACAGTATCTACGCCCCTCTTCAAGAGTGTTGGCTATTCTACAGTTCTCCACGACAAAGGATCGGAAAAGAGAAAGGCTTCTTTGCGTTGATGAAATGAGAGTATGTTTGTCTCAAATTAGACCAAATATGGATGAGATACCTGGCAAATGCAAGCTCACACCTTTTGTTGAGTTTACAAACAAGAAAAGAACAGGCTTCATACTAAGCTTTCTATTTATTCTGGAGTTCTTGAGGAAACAACCACAATTACAGTAGTAGTATAACTGAGAATGTTACAACGTATGATTGTGCTAATGACTGCCAGCGTAAATACCTGTTAGCACAATCTATTTGCATTTATTAAACAGCATGCAAACTTAAACACTTTTAAATGCAATATGCCTAGGCAGAAAGCAAGCTCAAGCTGGTTTGCTAGTTAAAGCATTTTGGAAGCCGTATTAATTTTAAAGTAGATTTGACAAAATTAAACACAAGGGCTTTTATCTAAAGCAGTCTTGCATGAGCAGAAAGCACTTCTACGCCTACAAGGTGAGTTCCCTATTTTCACAATTCCCTGTATTTGCTACATAACCTGCACTGCATCCTGTGGTGTTATGGAAGCACCCAAAACCCTCAGAAGCAGCTTTTTGAGGTGCAGTGAGCATTAGTGTACAGTGAACCTGTGTTACTTGAGCGAAATGCTTTCTGCTTGTGCAGCAAAACCTTTGGATCCATATGAGCCAGTAGTTTTACAGGTCTTTGTAATAATGGCTAAGCCTGTTCCATGCTTGATGCATTTTAAAAATTTGAATACATGCATTTGTTTACATATTTACCTTGTCTACTAACAGAAATCCTGTCTGCTTACAATATATCTGAAGCAGCATACAATAATGAGGATAAGAGTTCCTCACTCAGGTTGCTGATCAACGTGACTTGTGATTTGAGAGGCACAGAGGAGCAAAGATGTTTACAAAGTTTCCCCTAGTTCAGGGGTGGGGAACCTCTGGCCCACAGACCACATTTGGCTCTGCATTTTCCCCAAACCACGCCCATCCCTTATCAGGTGCAGGGCAGATAGAGACAGCATTATTTGTACAGAACTAGTGCACAGAAAGTAGTTTTTCCAGCCCTAAGCTTGGTCCTTGGTGTTAAGTTGTGGGTGAACATATCAGACGACACAGTGATTCTTCAAACAGCTCTTGTTTATTCACAGGCCAGAACAGAACTGAACTGAAGGGTTCAGCCAGCCTGCTTATATAGAGCTCCAGTACAACATAATTGTAACAACTTTCTAAAACTATCCAATCACTGAACATCACTTTCGATCCCTTATTTGCATATGTGGACCTGAGTGAAAACTATCTACAGTATCCCCCTGCTGGCCCAGGGTGAGAACTTCAGTACATAACGCTTGGGAAGCACCAAGCTCAGGGTTTCTAAAGCGCTTTGTGCTGTACTTCCAAACACTCAACATGGAATAATAAAATTGTAGGATTGGAAAGGACCCCGAGGATAATCTAGTCCAACCTCCTGCAATGCAGAAATATGCAGCTGTCCTATATGGGGACTGAACTTGCCACTTAAAACTAAAGCATCCATGACAGATGGCTATCCAACCTCTGCTTTGAAACCTCCAAGGAAGGAGAGCTCACCACCTCTTGTGGGAGTTTGTTCCACAGGGAAACAGCTCTTGCTGTCAGAAAGTTATTCCTGATGTTTTGGGGGGGGGGGAGGATTGTACACATGGGCATAGGAAGGGGAGGCAGGACACCCAACTCTCATTGTCTGTCTGGCTCTGTCCAGCAGATTCAGAATAAAATGTCCTGATAACTTTTCTTTTAAATTACAGTCGTACCTTGGTTCGTGAACACCTTGCAACTTGAACGTATTGGCTCCTGAATGCTGCAAACCCAGAAGTGAGTGTTCCAGTTTGTGAACGTTCTTTGGAAGCCAAACGTTCAGCATGGCTTCTGCAGCTTCCGATTGAGTGCAGAAAGCTCCAGCAGCCAATTGGAAGACGCGCCTTGGTTTTTGAATGCTTTTGGAAGTTGAACGGACTTCCGGAACGGATTCCTTTGGAAAACCAAGGTATGGCCATACTTTCCTTTGACCCCAAGTGCTCAGAAATCTCTTTTGAAAAATTTCTACTTGTAGTTAAGTATTTTTATTTATGATTTAGAGCAGGCATAGGCAAACTCGGCCCTCCAGATGTTTTGAGACTACAATTCCCATCATCCCTGACCACTGGTCCTGTTAGCTAGGGATGATGGGAGTTGTAGTCCCAAAACATCTGGAGGGCCGAATTTGCCTATTCCTGATTTAGGGGGAGCAGCTGACCCCTTGTTCCCTGGCTACACCCATAATTCTACACCATCTAGGAGGTCCCCCTCCCATGATTGATGCAAGAAACAGTGGAAGCACTTTTGCTTTAGAATCATAGAGCTGGAAGGGACCTTGAGAATCATCTAGTCCAGGCATAGGCAAACTCGGCCCTCCAGATGTTTTGGGACTACAACTCCCATCATCCCTAGCTAACAGGACCAGTGGGAATTGTAGTCCCAAAACATCAGAAGGGCTGAGTTTGCCTATGCCTGATGTAGTCCAACACCCTGAAGTGCAGGAATATACAGCTGTCTCATACAGGGATTGAACCTGCAACCTTGGCATTATCAGCACCATGCTCTAACCCAGGGGTCAGCAACCTTTTTCAGCCGTGGAACGGTCCACCTTCCCTCAGACCATGTGGTGGGCTGGACTATATTTTTTGGGGCGAAATATGAACAAATTCCTATGCCCCACAAATAACCCAGAGATGCATTTTCTATAAAAGGACACATTCTACTCATGTAAAAACACGCTGATTCCCGGATTGAGAAGGCAATTGGGCTGGATCCGGCCCTCAGGCCTTAGGTTGCCTGCCCCTGCTCTAACCAGCTGAGTATTCCTACCTCCCCACGCGACAGCTGTTAAAGGTAAAGGGACCCCTGACCATTAGGTCCAATCGTGGCCGACTCTGAGGTTGCGGCACTCATCTCGCTTGACTGGCCGAGGGAGCCGGCGTTTGTCCACAGACAGCTTCGGGGTCATGTGGAGAGCATGACTAAGCCGCTTCTGGCAAACCAGAGCAGTGCACGGAAACGCTGTTTACCTTCCCGCTGGAGTGGTACCTATTTATCTACTTGCACTTTGACGTGCTTTCGAACTGCTAGGTTGGCAGGAGCAGGGACCGAGCAACGGGAGCTCACCCTGTCATGGGGATTCGAACCGCCAACCTCCTGATCGGCAAGTCCTAGGCGCTGTGGTTTAACCCACAGCTCCACCCACGTCTCTGTGACAGCTGTTAGTTAGGTCCTTTTTGGACTTCTCTGGTTTCGCTTCTGGGATGTTCTGTACAGAAGGAGTAGATCAGAGATAGGCAAACTCCGGTCCTCCAGATGTTTTGGGACTACAATTCCCATCATCCCTAGTTAACAGGACCAGTGGTCAGGGATGATGGGAATTGTAGTCTCAAAACATCTGGAGGGTCGGAGTTTGCCTATGCCTGGAGTAGATCCACTTACTGTCTGAACCAGAGTTTAGTTTCAGGGAGCCATTCTGACTCTCTGTGCCTAGGCCGAAGGCTGGGAGAGCAAAAAGTTGCTGGGGAACTCTAATAGTGGCACAAAACAGATCCTTAGATAAGGTCTCCCTCCAATCATTCCAAATAAAACAAAGGAGAAAGTATATCTCATTCAAGCCTGTGCTGGAACAACACTAGACTTTTGTTTATTTGGGAATGAAATACTGAGCCATTAGGCTAATA